CACCTCAACTCAACCAAACACTCGCAACCTGCAGCTGTTTTCGGCTACTGCTGCATGGATGTGGTGGCCCCAAACAAAAAGCAGCATAAAGCTCGCGACCAACTCAAAGGGCAGCTCGGCATCAAAGGAAATTATGACCTTATGGCTGGGCCCTCACTCCCTGCCCCGGCGAAGCATGGGACCATGGGATGTCTGGTCAAGCTGTAGGGCCAGGCTGACCATACAGAATCAGCCAGTCCTGGAGGGTCTGGCCTCGCTACAATGGGAAGCTTTAGATGAGAACGACACATAACTTGAGAAGACGCTGAAGCAGCGGCGGCGGAGGTTGTATGGACAAGTGAAAGAAACCTGGTAACGCCTTAGCAGCTGGCCCATGGATGTCGGAGCGATGGCATTCATGTTTCACGGAAAGAGCAAGAGCTTACCAAATTTACCAAGATAAGTCGACGACCGGAGCCGCATCCGGAGGGTCCCAACTTAGGTCTCAACGGATTGTTTGTGGCGCGCAGTTTGCAAGCACTACTCTGCCAGAGCTTCAGCCCAGATGCAGGGTGAAGGATGCGTCTTCTTGTTCCTCCATGTCTCTGTGGCGCCAGCCAAACTGCTTGAGCCTCCAGCGCACGCTCAGCGCACGCTCAGCGATGTCAAGATTGCTGCTACTGGAATGGAAGGCACCACTGAGATGAGAGCAGTGGAACAGCCGCTTCATGAACAAGCATGCCATCGACCGACTGTGCCTGAAAACTATGGGTACATCTCCGAGTGGCAGTACGAACACTTGGGCAAGCGCAATCGCAAACTGCCGACATCTGCCAACCAACCCTCTGAGAAGGAGTCGATAGCATCTACAATTTCATTGTCCTGCAAAAACAGCTTGCAGTCCACTTGCAATCCACAAGGCCAGATAGTCATTTGGGTTGGCTCGAAACACTCGTGCGGACCGCATGACGGCATGGACCCGGTGGCCCTCAATCCTGCTGACGTGACAAGTGTGCGGGTGGTCGAGACAACCGTGTGGCTTTACGAGCTTGTGACATCTGCTGAGATTGAGGGAAGGCTCAGGCTGGCAACAGAGCAGGCAAAACTCAACACTGCAAGCAGATGGGAGAGAGTGAGCTTGAATGGATGGCAGTGACCTCTGGTGGCATGAATGTGCACCACTCCACTCTTTTTTGTCCCCTGCAAGAAACCCTACTCGGCTGGTGTTGCCTCCTCTAGCAAGACAAACTTCATGCACACGTGTCATTGCGATTGTCTTCTTCTGCATCAGATGGTTTCAAAGCTAGCCATCACAGCGTTCACTTCATAGCGCACCAATCTTTCGCCTTTTACTAAAGGTTGCCGTGAATGGGACGCATCAATGTGACTCACACAATTTTTGCGGAGCTTCGTGCTCCAACAACAAAAACAACAGCCATCACTCACTGCCAGGGGCACCACTCTGCCTGCTGTGAGACTGCCAGCCTGCCGGCTCATGGCAGATGGGTTTAGACTTGCCAAGTTCTTGACAGAGGTAAGCGAGAGCACACCCACACAAAGCAGAAGCTTAGAAGCAGTATGAAATTGTGCAGTGAAGACTTGTGAACTGATTCAACATCTGCCAAATTCAGCACGGAGAGGCAAGAGTGAGCACACCCACATAAAGTTTGACATCAAGCAAAAGCTGACAGCACCCTAAGCGCTTCCCAGCCGGTCCCCCAGGCCAGTACTAGGCGGGCTCTCCACCGCTTAACTTCGGAGGTCAGAAGAGATCCGGTGCATTCGGTGAGATATGGCCGTCAGCGACTCTACAGTCATTAACAGACTTCAAGGTTTTATCGCTGGACTTCTAAAGTTCTATCCTAACCTTTGAGCCACATGGCCACTGCTGCTTCCGAAAAAAAATAAGCAAATTCTGTACACTCCCAACTCAACATGCGAAGGCCTGCTTCCCAAATCTACTAACTTTGGTGCAAGCTCGCTAAGCAAAAAAAAACTCAGGAACACGAGCGAGCAGCTTTTGGCCCCCACCAAGTTGAGGAGCAGCACAGCAGCATCAAATTCCCCTTGCTGTTGGCAACAGCTCACAAGCTAGTTGCCTCTCAAGAAATTCTGCTATGGATGACTCCATCGGAGACTCCTAAGGCGTTACAGGCCTCAGAGTGCAGTGAACTGCTCGACCCTATGAGAGCGAGCTGCTGGATCTCCGCCCAACACTAGCCAGGTAAGTTTACACAGGAGCTGCTAGTCACTTACCTGCCAATGAACTTTTTTTGAGCATGGGGTACAGCAAGCTAGCTGGGCCTTCGACTGATAGTAGGTTCCTGCTCAAGAAGAGTTCAAAAATCTAATCAAGAGATCTAAAAAAAACTTGGTACACTTCTCGATTTGTGCGTGTCATCCTTGCGCAGGGGCCATGCTAATCTTCTCTGTATCGTTCCAATTTTATCGGATGATCCCCGAAGGGAATCCGATTTCGCTCGAAGTTGCCAAATAAGATATCTCCACAACAAACCCGAGAAAAAAACCTTGCAACTGAACCAGTTGCTGGAGGTGAGTAGCCTTACAGTGTGAGCTCAGGGAGTCAGACAACTCAAGGCCAAAGGTGCAAAGAGTACCTCTTATACACTCTGCATCACCTCAGGGAGGGAGCAGTTGCTAACACCTCCACCGAAAAAAAGCCAGCATAGAGGAGCTCGCAATCGCCGAGGCACGTGCCCCGGCCCCCGTTTTGTCACTTTTGTTCTTGCCAGGTTGGAGGTTTTGGGGGTGTGTCTGGATGCAACTGACTGTCGATGCAGAAACTTTAAGAGCCTGAAAGTCGGGCCTACTTCGTAACACGACCTGTTGCGGGTCAAAGATGCGCATCCCAGGATCAGAGTGCCCTCAACAGCATGGGGGAACGGCCTGGGGGGGAGGGCCCTCCTCGGACCCCGGCATGCCCGGGGCTCAGGGGGGTCAAGCCCATCAACTCACACAGTAGAAATTCGCAACCAAAACGACCGCTGAAGCTCTGCTGGAGCTCGCTGCTCCGATGGAGCTTTCGATGAGCTTTCGTGATCATCGAGAACTCAAGGGACTCCAGTCCAAGTTTGAGCCTGACTTATTCATGCCAGAGTATGTGATGAGGCAAGTGCAGTAGAAGATGAATTTCGCTTGCTCTGTGCAGACCACTGACCTGCGGTTCTTGAGTGTGTGGTCGTGTACCGGAGACGCTATGGTCACGGAGTCATGGCAAATAGCATCATGCATTCTGGGTGTCAAGAGAATTCTCGGTTGGCAAGCGATGCTCCTCTGCTGACACCACAGCCACGCAGCATTGCGCACACAGCTTGGCGAGGGGTTCGCGCACATCAGCCTCTGACATCGCAGGTAGACATTCAAGTAAGTCAATCAAGCTTTTGTGATTGACGAGTACGGCATAGCACAATGCAGCACAGCAAAGCCTTTGCCTTAGCCTCAACTCTCAGGAGCTCCAAATAAAGCGCCTGCACACGGTGCTTTTTGCTCATGCTGTGCATCGCTGTACGTCGTTGTAGTGCAGTGCAGTGCACCAGAACAAATAGGCGGCCTCGTCGTCGGGCTCAAGCTGCAGGGTGGATGGCTTCCAAACCTCCACAAAAGCGTGACCAGTTGTGAGCCGTCTACAAAAAAACACTGATCATTGGCCTCAGCTGGTGTCTCTTTGTAGTCGCTTACCAAGCCCTGCACGTCCTGAGAACCGTACTTTCACGAGCATGGGCGAAGGCCCAGAAACAGGGATTCAACAGAGATGAATCTGCAAAGATCCTACGCAGATCTACGCAACATGTGCTCGAAACTCTGTCAAATGCCGCATCCTCGTTCCGCTCGATTGAAAGGTTGGAGGCGCCACTGCACTCCTCAGGCAAGAGACATCGCTTGCTGCTGGGCACTGCATTGGGACTGTAACAAGGGTGCGGGAGCCTCCAGGTCCTCAAAGCGCCACTCGCCCAATGCCAGAACATGCGGAACAAATCCATTCTCGCCTGCGGCAGTCCACAGAGGAACCAGACTGGCTTGAGCATTGGGGACTCAGTGTCTCCAGATGCGAGCCTGTGGGGCCTTCACTAGAGCATGGCCGCAGCAGGTGAACGGGAATGCCAACTTGAGGGAGGACCTCGGACAAACTCGCGTCGCCTGCATTAATCAAGCAGCTGCTGCTCAAAAGAAGCAGAAGTATTTGACCCTCGGCTCGTGACCGCGACTCCCTCCACGTGGTACATGCTGTTGCCCTGGAAGACTTTGCATCCAACGAGCCGCACGCAAAACCTGAAGTCATTGGATGAGCAGGGCATCACTGGCTGGGCAATGCGGTCAGATGCATCTTGCCAGCTCACATCTTAAGCTGGATGGCGAACTAGTAAATTCAAGAACTTCGGTCAGGCATGACAAAAATTGTAGTATTTTGCAACAACGGGTATAGGCAGTCACTCCACCGAACATCACACTGCTACTGCACACCACCAACACTAGTCGGCTTTAGTCACCTTGAAACAAATCCTGCGTGTCAATGCGTGAAAACATTGTAGGTGTGGACACATGCCGGTGCAATTGAAATGGAGCTGTTGCAATCAGATTGAACGCGCCAGCAAGGACAGTCAGTCGCATCCAAGCACGAAGTCACTAAGCACGCTGCTTGAGGTACTCCTTCGAGCGGTGCACAGGCAAGCTAAAGGTTGTCTCAAGAGCACACTCCAACTCACAAAGCTTCATGCCGGGCCAGGGCCAGTCCTGCATGCCCAGAAATCCTCCAGCCACCAACAGCAAGCGGGCCAAGCTTCCCATTGTCACAAGGGGTTCAGCTTGCACCTCAGCTCCGCTCTGCGAATGCTGTGCTTTGAGTGGGTCGTGGTGCTTTGAGTGGGTCCGGGATGCAAGCCACATACTGCCCGCCGTGAGCAACATCTTTCGTTGTCCCCTCGGGAGAAGCGGTGGCAGCCTGCTTTCATCATATCCACCTCTCACTCTACAGAAGGCTGTCTGAAAGCAGCAACATTAAATCATGCAGGGCTGACTGACTGGCAGAAGAGCCAGAAAGGCTCTGTTAAGACGCGAAGACTAACATCTTGCCGCTCACGATACACGTGGACTGAAAACTTCTCTTCTTCTTCAACGACCTGCGGAAAAAGCAGCCAGAACTCGAGCACAAAATACGTGCAAAGACAAATGGCCTGCAGAAGCATTCCTGCCAGCTCCTTTGGCATGGCATCACGAAACGCTGTGTCCCGGAGAAGCTTCTGGGGCACCTGTGAGTCGTACGAATGTTTACCCCGTGAGAAAGGCGACGGACCATGAAAGCAACTCGCACTCGCCTGCAAACTGATAAGCTCGCTTGGTGTCAAGTGACGAAGCTCCTGCCATCGCTCAGCACTGGCCTGCAGCAGCACATGAAAGCATGAATGACCACGTGCAACAAATGTCATGCTGCGCATTTCCATCTGAAGTTGAAAAAAAAGCATCTCAAATACAGATTGTGAGGTGCAGACCAAGCATGGAATGGGCTCCGACTGCGCCACCTCTTCCGACCATCTGCTGAGAATCTTGGCCTCGGATACCAACGCAGTCGCAGACCACAGCAGACTCTCGCTTGCGTCATTGCAGGCAGTGTACCTAGATCCTAAGGCGCGCACCGCGGCCTGGCGTATGTGCTGCGGCCTTGGCCTTGAATCAACGCAGCATAGCATATAGCATAAAGCTTACCGCTTACCATGTGTTGTAGCCTTGAATCAGGCTTCGATGCGAGTAGACACTTGCATCCAGGTGAGGAAGCGCTGAAGCAAGGACGGCTGGTGCAACTCTGGTGTTGCAGCTAGACCTGGCAACCTCGGCACATCTGGCCATCAACATCGACTCTGAAAATTGAGGGACTTCTGAACCGGACGCTGCTTCACAAAGCTCCAGACATCTTGAAGATTCCGTATCTTCGTAGGTTCTCCACTGCATCCTTTCCAGCCTTCAAGCCGTCACCCACTGCTTCCCAGACCACACCCACACAAGAATGCACAAATTGCGCAATAACTCCACACCACAGCCGCGTACGAAAGGACATTGAGCATTTTACTTGTTTAAGTTTGCCCGGTGCAGCCTCGCAAAGGCAGCTGGCCAAGCGAAGGCCAAGGTTCATCGAGGATGAATCGAAGGACATGAGCCTCGGAACTCAAGCCGGAAAGCTGTCAGGCTGTCAGGCCCTGCCCGAAGACTGTCCCAAGGTCCCAAGCATGCCAAGCATGCCCTAGTAACATGTGACGTCAACCGCACTCCTGAGGAACTCCTTTTGGGGCCCGCACAAACTTCGGCACACTTGTACCAGGCTTTCTAGTGCTTCCACCGGAAGTGGAGCTGCATGCTCACACCCCAGGACGAGAACCTTTAGTCAGATTTACATAGTCAGATCACAGCAATGGAAGGCTCTCTAAGCATCCTTGCCTGCACCAACTGAGGATCTAAGTTCCGCTGGCCGCCCTGCAGGGACGGCAGCATGGCACTTGCCTGCCACTCAAGCAATGACAACTTCGTGCCAGTCTGCACCATGAATGGGGGTACTCCATGGTCTACCCATGTCTACCCCAGGGAAAATGGAGAGAAAGTAGCGGCAACTAGCAGAGTCAGGTTACTTGTCACATTCGCGGACCGTGGGGCCTATGCCTATGCTCATGCCGGGTCAGCATGTACAGTAGCGCATCTGGGCTGCCTGCTTTGGGCGTTGGGTTGCTTGGAGGATGTAGGAGCCGAGTAGAGGTGAACCCTTCGCCAATCAGCCCACAAACATGGGCACAAGTGGACAGAGACTTTGCCAGTGCTTACACACTAAAGCGCAGCAGAAGCACTAGCCAATGACAGTGGAAGAGGAAAAACAGGAAAGGACCCCATTTTCACAAATGAACCCCCAGACGAAAGTGGACACTGAAGGATATTGATGGATTCCCACAGCGTGGTTCGGCAAAGTCCATATCAAAGTCGAGACAACAAGACCAGCAAGAGACGTGTGAATCTCAAAAAGAGAGGCGGGCAGACCAAGGGGAGGAGGCTCTCCACTGCCAGCTCTCGACGTAGGCGCCGCAGCGGCAGCGAGCCGTCTTTGCCCTTCTGCAGCACTGCATCCGAGCGTGGGACCTCTAAAAACCCGATGGCGCTTTAGAGTGCAGAGAACCGTGTCATGCTGATTCACCAGGTCGCAGGCCAAGTATCCGAGCAAACTTTTTGCAGCGTCTGACAACTTGCCGGAAGCCTCAGTTCAAAAGCTGCCTCGACCGCCCTTGAGAAGAGTACAGAGTGTATTACTACAGATTGCACGTGGCACAGGACATCACAGGACAAGCCGACAGCCACAAAAAAGTACGGCCTCGATCTCAGATTGATCGCACCCATAGTCCAGGAGGGCCCGCACAACCTACATCGATTCTGCTGTACTTTGCCCGTGGCACCGACAGTGAGGTCTCATTGTCCAACGTTTCTGCATGCGCGTGCTGCGGGTTAGTTTCCAACTGTCGTGTTGAGGGCTGCATGGCATGCCTCAAGTCGGCCGGTTCGAGCTGCGATCGCAAGTGGAGGTCCGAGAGGTCCCTTCGAAGATGGCTCAGTCACACAACGATTACCATCAACGATTACTGTCAAGTTACTGCCATGCGGGTCATGCACCAGTCCACAGAGCACGGGGCCTTTGAGGATCTCGGACCTGAAGATCGATGTCATCAGAAAGGTCTTTGAGAAATGTTCATCTCTTGACCTTTGCTGCCTTTGCTGCCTTTGCGGCCTTTGCTGCCTTTGCCGATTAAAAGCAGGCTGTTTTTTTAAGGCTGTGACAACCACGCTCCAAGAGGAGCTCCACCATCTCTTGTGAGCACTGATGCTCCACAGCCTTTTAAAGCTTCTCTCAGTGACAAAATGCAACAATCTCACAGTCTCACAAGACAATCGCAAGCTCTCCCGCTCTCTTTCTCTGCCTGGTGTTGTTAAGCTAACATAAGGTGCCAACGACAGCCAGCACGCTGTTTCCTTGCCGGTCACATGCGGTCAGGTCCGCTCTGTCCTAGGCCAAAAAGCAAGATACTTGCAGCAGCTGGAGCATGAACATGTCTGAACGGTAGCTGCTAGCCCATGGCCCCATGCCAAGATGCTCACCATCAGAACCCTCTTTGCAAGGAAGAGGTCGTTGCGCGGGAGTGCGTGCTTCATTAACCAGTCCTTGCACTCACATGGACAATGGACAGTGGCATTACAGTAGAGCTACAGAACCCCATCCCTGACAGTACGACATAGTACGACGCTGGCACAGCTCAGGTCCTGCGTGAGGACCATAGGAGACGGCAGGTTCGCCCGCTTCGGCAGCGGGACCTTGCCGTAGATAGCAAACCAGTTTGCAATCTTGCACGTACGGCTTCAAAAATGATGAACGTCCTCCATGCAACGTGCGTTAGAGTGCGATGCAGGGAAAAAAGTGCGGTGGATGGCGTTCTTCACGTCTCAGATCCGAGGCACGCAAGCCGGCAGAACCTCTGGCAAAGTGAGGCTCGTCGCTCTTTCCTGCAGAAGTCGGCACATGTCTGCACAGCGCTTGTGTTTGCAAGATGTTGCAGGTGATGTGCGGTTCAAGATCCATCTAAGCGTTTCCAAGAGAGCCTTTGCCTTATTTTTTCAGAATGCCCTCGCAGTGCTGTTGAAATTCCAGCATCTCGATTTTGTTTTTTCTCAGCAGCTGGGACGAGCGCAATGTGTCCGAGGATATCCGAGGATAAGCTGAGAATCCGCGAGAACACTGTAAGAACTAGAAGGACAGCCACAGCGTCCCATCATTGTCGACGGCCACATTGAAGATATTGAAGCAAGACGCTTGCAAACCCAAGAATGCGCGGGCGTTCCACCCCTGCAAAACAGATGCAGCGCTCCTCTCCTTACCTTCCCCTTACCTGCCTTACCTCTCTACGCCTGCGGTCGTGCTTGGTTACGTCGCGAGTCGTCCAGGAGCTCCCTGCTTGATCCTGCTTGTGTCTCTCTTGCGTGACTTCCCATTGCTTCGTGACTTCCCATTGCTTCCCCTTCACTCCGGCAGTTTGTCCCAGGCGTCATCCATGGAGAGCACCGTGGAGGCCGAGCGATCCAAAGCCTCCAAAGACTCCGGATCCGACTTGCCATGCTCTCCCTTCAACTTGCGCAGGGCCGGCGCCAGGCCTGTCAAAGAGAGCACAGAAAACAGGCCTCCTAAGGAACAAATGCACAAGAAAGCGCAGGTGGGGGAGTGACTACTGACTTAGACTCGCAATTTTTCGAGTCGGGGGCACTTTTGAAGGAGAGCATCAGCATCAAGTCTCCGTTCTGCCCAGGTCGAATAGACTCATGCCAGCAGCTCACGCGATTCAGCTCACCTCAGTTGCACTTGGATGGAGTGGGTTCTGAGGAGCTAAACCAAAAGGGGCAATACCTGGATCCGAAACCTGATCCGAAAAATGCAGTGGCCTTCGCGGAAAAAACAGGGGGCTCTATCTGGGAAAGCGAGGGACCCTGATCGCAAACAACCCCAAAACCCTAAAGACCCTATAAAATCCTTGAACCTTGCCTGATACTGCCTACATTGGCCTACAGTAGTCCTACAGTATTGCCAAGAGACGCAGCCACTGCTGTCCATCATGTTCACCTTTGCCTTTTAAGATCTCATCCGCTTCAAGAGCCAGGAAGAGGAGGCGCAGGCCCTGCACCGCAAAGTGGTCGTGGTGGAGTTCGCCTTCCACCCGTGCCTGCAGCTCCCAAAGCGCTTCCTTAGCAGATTTGAGACCGGACCAACGAGCGCAGAGTGCTCCCAGCACGGCGTGCGACAGCTCCGCCTCGAGCTCCACCTGCTCGCGCATGGCCCTGCTCCCGCAGCTCGTGCACGAGAACCCGTCGAGCGCGTCAGACGCGTCAGTTCCCAAACTGTTCAGCCCTGAGAGGCATCTCGTCATTTTCATTTTCCCCGCACAGTTGGTGGCATTGCCTGCACACGGAAGCACCCGACTTGGATCCCCATTGGCAGCCTCAAATCGGCAACGGTCACACTCGCAAAGAAATCCCTTGAGATACCACAGCATGCGCCTGCGCTGTGTCAAGGGTGCAAGCGCAACCTGGAGCTTCATGTAGGAGACACCCAAAACATCACCTGCTTTGATGGGGCGGCAGGCACGGAAGTGGCCCTCGAAGCGGCCCTCCTCACAGCCATCAACTCCCGCATCTCCATCAGCTGACTCTACAGAGGAGTAAACCACATTGGGAAGGCAGGAGTGATTGATCATGGTGCCCCACTTCAGTAGGCCACTTGTGCTTCCCGCAGCCTTGCAAGGGTGGCTGTTGACACAGAAAAGCCGCAAGAGTCGAGACAGCGACAGAAAGTCTAGACCTTCCAACCATGGAAGCTCCTGGCTAATCAGCCATTCGGCGACTTTCGTGGTGGACTGCATCGTTTCTGAAGCTGGGTGCATCGAATCTTGCATTGCCAGCACTTCCTGCTGGATTTCAGTCTCTGAGTTCAAAAACTCGAAGAGAAGCTTCATATGCTCATTATCAAAGATCACAGCGCGAGGGAAACCCGGCTCCCCTTGGATCTCCACTGTTCCAACTTCGGCCGGCACAGGCCGAAACATAGCTAGTGGCGGAAGCTCTGCGGGCCCCCGCAGAAGAAATTCCTCACGCAGAACCAGGCTGCCGGGCTCGAAATCTGCATCCGCCACCAGTCGCTCCTGCTCCGGCGAATCGGTCCACTCCAAGCGAAGCCCGGGTGGTGCTGGCCCGCGAGGCGCGGCGTGAGGAAGTGTCATAAGGACTCCATCCATGGACCACAAAATGCTATGGAGCGGTTGCCATGGGGCTGTTGCTATCACAAAATGCTATGGAGCGGTTGCCATGGGGCTGTTGCTATCGAGCTGTTGCGCGAGCATATAGGATATGAGTACGTCTGCATGTATTCTATGTAGATATGTACATGTGCGTGTGAGTATATGTATATATAGATTGTAGAAGGAACCCATGGATGACTGTGATCGAAGTGATGTGGAGGTAGTACGAGTAGCGCTGTTGAGTTTGCCAACCCACCCACAGTTGCGAAGGGGACCGGCAAGCCAAATTTGCCTTTCAGGCCATGTCAGCCATCTCAGAATTGCAACATTCAGAAAGAAGACCCAAAAACAACAACACAAGCAACGTGTTACACAAGCCCCAAACACGTTCAGGTCAGTTTTTGGGGGGAGTGGGTGCCATATACATTATACAGAGTTGTTTCTGCGTCATTGGACTTCGAAAGAGTCTCTCTGCCCCGCATCCACTGCAAATGGAACCTCCTTCTGCGCCCGTTAAACCCACCCTCCCGCTGCAATTCAATGCAACTCCTCTGGAAATAACGGACGGGCGCAGTTGCTTCTGCGTATCGGTATCGGGACACAGTCGGCTAACACCGACCATATGGCAAGCGATGGTATGACTTTCTGTGATTGGGCAGCGCATGGCAGCGCATAGGACGGATAGGACAGATTCCGCTGTTCCACTACAAGGCCTTCAGCACAGAGAGTCGGATGCCACCATGGAGCATCTTCACCTGCACAGCCTCTGCACGAGCATCACCGGCACACTTCAGAAATCAACTATAAAGTATAATCTGTGCATGCCATTGCCAAGGCCTCCTGCTCCTCCTCTACCAGCTCAGCTTCACGCCAGTCCTCGGATAACTAGTGTCGGCTACCCAGGTACGAGTCAGGATGTGACAGACAAGGGATGACAGGAGCCCCACGTCATCGTCTTCCTCCTCTTCGGTGGGCTCCGGCTTTCTGCTGCGTCCGGTGAAGAGCTGGCACGGAATTGTGAACACTTAGTAGCAGCTGGATCCCTCGTTGCTGCATTGTGTTGATTCATGCTGTGTCTGGCATCCATCGTCGTAAGGCCTCATAGAGGTGTGCAGCGCTGGAGTAAGCATCCGAACTCTCCTGCTGTGGCTGTACGCTACCTGCTCACCTGCTGACGCGCCCGCTACAGCCTTCAACCCCCACAGCAGTGTGCAGCCTCATCCAGCTGGCTGCGTGACTCGAAAGGCACGTTGACCAGCAGGCGCCCCTGCTTGCCCCTTTTCAGGGGAGCTGCCTGCGCTCCATGATTCATGGTAAAACCAGGACACTCTCTCATACAGTACAGCCGTATAACCTGTCAGGCAGAATAGGCCGAATAAGTCCCAAGCCAGATACAGCCATTCTGCGAGCCGTGTGAGAAGTCGGAGTAGAGCTGGGCAAAGGTGTGTGCCATCTTGCAAACCACGACGAATCAGTCAATGGCATGCCTTGCCTTGGCTGCCAGGTGGCTCCTGACGCAGGAGAGACTCCCATTGAAGCAAGGAATTGCGTGCTACTAGCACCGGTAGTTACAGAATTTATTCTTCATTCTGTTTTCCTGGGGGGTGGGGAGGCGGCCTTTGCTCTCCAGACATCCCTACTGCCGCAGATGTGTTCAGCCCTGTCCGAACCCTTCTCAGCCTAAGCGTACTACTCCTGCAGCGAACACCCTTCTCCACCAAACTCAAGTACCATCCAGTAGCATCCAGTAACAATGCCGTCTGAAAATATGATGCGGCACTGCTTGGGCTCACAAGAGCTCGCAAGATGGACCACTACAGTCACTACAGCTCCCAGACAGCAGGAGCTCCTGGGGACCCGGTGATCCCTGAACGGCGGAGAACTGCAGCACGTCGAAGCTGGCACGGGCTGCATCAAGAGCCAGGGCGACAGCACCACCTCGGACACACGCAAGCTTTTGTCTAGCAGCCCGGCAAAACTAGAACTCGCATCAATGCATGAAGGGAATGCGAACATTGCAGGCTGGGTTTGCGAGCAGAGGCCAGCATCCAAGAAGAGTATCCTAGCCTCAAGCCGACAGTCAATCAACATCACAGCATCCGCTCAAAATCACACAACGTCACAGGCTGCCTGCTGCGACCGGCTGCAAAGACCAAGAATTCGCTTTGCAGCGACCTCAGACTGAGCTCTGCACAGCTTTCCACTTGAACAGCACAGGTGCCAGTATTCTGGTTTCCAGTTGTGTTGAAATTTCTGAAATGCGGATGCAGATGCTGCACAAGACTTCGAATCTTTGAGCTTCTGGATGTCTTGTTGGCACGTCTCGGCCTAAGCGCGTGGACGGTCAACTGAGTTCCAACCCATCCGAAGCATGTGCAAAGCGCTCTGACAAATGCGAATGCTCGTGTGAGCTCACGTGAGCTCGTCAGATAGGTGTTTTGACATTGTTGGGATACCTTCATGACGCTTCGTGGCCTTGAGGCTTCCATGATCACCCATGATTCCACCATGCATCTCAGCCTGGCACTGTGACTTGAGAAAGATCTGGCGCCTGCAGGGCGACAAGGGCGAGAGAATTATGATTTACATAGCTGTGCAACCCGACAGCCAGCAAGACAACAAGTTCCGTTCCGTTCCCTGCAGCTGTTAGGAACTACACACGATGAGGTCTTAAGAGCCTTGCCTCTATGCACTTCTCGCAAAGCAGGAAGGCCGTGCGGGGGCAGAAGTATGCCACCACGCGGTGCGGCTCCTACGCGTACTGGATACAAAGGAACTTCACCTAAGAACGTTCTCCTATACAACATGGCGCTGAGGAATCTAACAGATTATATTCAATTGGTAGGACCTCACCATCAGGAATCCGGGCTCCTGCTCGCATGCCCTGCAGCCTCCAGGCCTGAGATCGGGAACAGGCCATCTCCGTGACATCTGGTTTGTCATGCCACATCCATGTGAGTCGTGGCGCTGCGAAGCGTCTGAGGTGCAAGCATACAGTCATCGGCAGAGCAGCGGACAGGTTCGCCAAAGAGCGTCCCCCGCAACCCATGTGGAAAGCAGACTTGGTGCAATCCTGTCGGCAAATTTAGGCTCTCCGCCCCGATCATGGATGCACATTGCGGCTGCATCCTAGCCTTCCGGATAGCACTCAGGTCTGCACAACTCCAGGGCCTCCACTGATGGGCTCCAAGGATTCAGTCTCGTCTGGTCTGTTTCTTGCAGTGTTTTGCCAAGGACAGACGCAGCGCAGACCATACAGAGTTCGACAGGATTCAACCGATCTAACGGGATCGGAGACAGTCATGCCTAAGTCCTGCCAAGTAAATGCTAAGCAGCAGAAAGTCACAACAAGTCCTGCGTGCGAGGCTTTTCACCAAGTAAGCGCCGTCCCACCGAAAGCCATCGACCGAATTAACAGGAACACTCTTAAAGGGAGCCTGTTTGGTCTTGGGGGGCACAGGATCCGGCCCCCCACTGGAAGTTCTGGGTTCATGCGTCCATTGTTCTTGATGGGATGAGGTTTGTTGGGCAGGGCACGGGGGTTCAATTGATTAGGGTCGTCCCCGCTTTTCCTCAGACCTCACGGCGACTAAACGAACATCCATCATCCACGACCCAGGGGCGCGCTAGGCAAATTATCGTTTGGCGAAGAAGGCGAAAATGGTAGACAACTACTGTCTTGCCAGAGTTTGCCGAAAACTCTCCCACCTTCGGTGACAAAGCAGATCTCCGAGTCCACGTACCGTCTCCCACGATTTTAATTAAGTCTGGATGTTTCGCTGCTCCTACGCTCGAAAGTCTGAACACTCGCTTGTGCCATCATCTGTCATTGTGATTGACTGATCGTGTTCTCCCGCATTTGCCAAGGAGATGGCTGGATTGTGCTATAATCTAAGATTCCGGTTCAGTGAGCGAGCTCTCCTATGTTTATGGTTCGGATGTCTCGACTGCGCTTGAATCAGCGCGTTCTCCCGCGATTGTCGTTCTGCATGTCATGTCGCTTGCGCTATCATCTACCATCTCGGTTGACTGAACTGCCTGCACAGCTGGACAGTCGTGGAACATACAATTGCGCCAAATGCCTGTGGCTGGACGACACAAGACTTTCTAGTGGTACAGCCGCGGCATTCTTATGCTTCCTCGGAACTCAGACCTGGCCTTCTTGACAAGCCATAGATCCACACAAAACCGAGCAGATCTGATTCACTGATTCGTCACGTGCGAACAAACGCAGGCACAAAAACCTCAACTGATAAACATCTTCGCGACACAGCAGCGGCAAAGGCCGCAAGGTATTTTGAAAGATCACGATCTACCCCTTCAAGTTGCCCATCTGATTGAGGGGATTTTGCGAACGATTGCATCTGCATCATCCCCCATGTCTGCCAGTTGTGTTGTTCATGTGTGTTCATGTGTGTCTGAAGGATGCAGTTGCCAGTGGCAGTTGGCGCACCTCCGTTCGGGTCGGCTTGAGCTTTGGAGAGGTCACTTCCAGCTCCTGGTCCGGAACTTCTTCCATCGGAACCTGAGGACCGGAACCCTCATCGAACACCGAAGATGCCTGACGTCTCAGTGCTGCAAGGGCACATGCACGCGAACCTTCGAGTTCGGCAGCGTCTCCACAACGACTGCATTGAGCCATTTACTGCCCGGGCCGTGCTGTAACTTGCACTGGGCCTAGGTAAAGGAGTTGCTTGCCAGGTATGTTCAGGCATAGCTGCAGAGCTCGGGAAACTCGCACCGAGCTCACTGCCCCTAGGCGCAACGAGGCTTCAGCCACTGCCAAAGCCTGGCCTGCAAAAAGGGCACTGGGTGGCCCCGTGTCACCATCCAGACCAGCACACTGCCATCGCTGCTAAGATCCTTCAACAGGACAGTGTCCAAGGAAGTAGCTGCTCGCTTCCAGGCCGTGATGCCGCCGCAAGGGGGCCAATTGGTATGGCCTTGGCATGGGCCGGGTGGGGTCCTGGGATGCTTGCTGAAACTCCTCCCCCTAGGTGAGCTGAACTGCGTTGTAAGGAAGCGCCTCGTGCCGAAACTCTTATTGACTCGCTGAGTCCTACGGTCCATATGGTCCTATAAGGACTTCGACTTCTAGTTTCTAGTTGTTAGATACTGCCCGGAGACACCGCCACACTGGTACAGAGTTGTTCCAAGATCCCAATTCCCTTTGTTCCTCCAGATGAGAGGAAACATTCTTCTTGACGTGTGTATGTGTGCGTTCTGCATTTAGCTGTACTATTATACACGAGTTCAAAGTGCCCCCATTGTCTCAGCATGCTTGTCTCAGGCCACCCTAGGCATGAAGCCCGGAACCAACATCGTGGCCATGGTCTCCTAAGTCCTACAGCTCCCGCTCGGACCTTGCGGGTTATAGGCTTGAGCGGCAATATTCCTTCCTGGTCTATAGGGCCATCGGGCAAGAATTCTAGCCAGTGACACTGCCATACGCCGAAAAGACCAAACGCAAACCGGTAAGCCTCCAGAATCTGATGGTTATGTGAAATGCCGAAGCAAAACATCAGGGGACAACCCCTGCAGATCTCAGCTCCCTGCTGGCAGCAAACGTCACACATGAAAAACTCACAGGCTTCGCAGCCAAAGCCGCCAATTTTGTCGCCTTTTACACTCAATTGCAGGAAGGAATCGCTCGTAGCCGATGCCGCGCCTCTGTCTGCTGGCCCGGAGAGGAAGGCCTGGCACAGGTTTCTGCTCGTCATGGCTCCACATGAGCTCCGCAGTGGCTCCGCGCGGCTTTGCATCCGCATTTCGCTGAAAATTCCCTGAATCATGTATGGAAGACTGCAGGATCTTGAGGCGCGTCTGTTGCAGCCTGTCACTGTGGACTACGGATGGCTAGGGCGTTGAAACCTATCATCGCACTGCAATTATTCTGTCTGTATTCATTTCAGCGATTCCTCCTCTTCCTGCGAAGTATCCTTCCCATCTCTCTCGGCCTTGCCATAAGCTTGCTGGACTGTAGAACTGTAGAGAAGCAAAGCAGCGCAAAGCAGCGCAACACAATGCAATGCTGTGCAAGAGTTCGCGGAGTGAAAGTTTTTGAGAGTTTCAGGCCTCTCTGGTCCCTTCAAACGGTCGTCTGCACACGGCCTGACACGCCGGGACTGCCATCTGCTAAGGTCTCTACCACGCCTGGTAAAGAAGTGACCCGAAGTAGTGTGAGAAACATAGCCCAAGTTGCACAATGGCCGTCATGATCCAGCCGTACCAAACTGTGTGGATGAAGGTCTAGCCTGAGGAAGGCTCCATTCAGACATCATTTGCCAAAGCGCGCTTGTATAGCTCGCGATTATAGTGCGCTAGGATTCCCACACGAAGAGGGGCAAGCCCGTTTGTGCATTGAGGTGCTCAGCAATGAGGGCCGGCGGATAGATGTACGGCCGCCTGAGTACGTCGCAGGACTTGTAAATCGGCCCCACGTATCCTTATGCGGCCCTCCAGTAAATTCAGTTGTGGGCAGGGAGCCGCCACACTGGATCCGCAAGTTTCCTGAAGAAAGCACCTGCGACTCTCAGTCCATGTCCAGAGGAGCGAACAAGCACTGCTGCAATTTACAAAACGAGATGAACACCGGTGCTTTGAAACCAACTGCCTCCACCACGACGCCGACCTGAGTCTGACGCTGACCCGATACTCAGTATGCTTTCCACCGCTTGGCTTTCCATCCTTTTTCCCACCCGGCCTTGCCGAGTGTTGCTTCCATTTGAGGCACCCAGCCGCCCTGGCCCAAACAAAGGCGCATGGCCTTGGAGAGGCCTCAGTCAACAACTTTCATATAGGGTAGTCACTGGGTAGTCTGTAACAATGGCATCTGAACGCCCCGGCTGCTTATAAGTCTCACCTCTGAGCCGGCTGTGATGGTTGACCTCAGCGATGGCGATGTCATGCGATGTCGACTAAGTCTCTGAGTCAATTTCGAAGGCGAAGGCCCGGACCCTCCAGGACCCTTTGGTGGGGCCATGGTGCTCACGTCTCTTGGCGAAGCGCCAATTCCAAGATCTTGTGGATCAAACGTCGGGTCGTGTGGGCTTGCGAGGGCTTGTGAGGGCTTGCGTGTTGGGCTTTCCTGGGGCTTGCCCTCAGGAGCTGTGAAACCTGGCTCGTCTTCTGTCTCCTTCTTGCAGTCTTGCAGTGTCGCAGTGTGTCGCCGGATAGCTGTCCCAGGTTTATCTACTTTGAACACACCATGAATGTCTGAGAAAGTCGTACCTTGCCGGCACCATGAGGGGTCCATATGTCTCAGCTGAATATGTGCAGCGGGTGGAATACCATGCAAGCCACGGTTGCCAAGTGCAAAGGCTAGAAGTGGCGGGCTGGGTTTTAGCGCTGCAGCTCCACTCCCCAAACTCTCAGAAGACGCTGCCGAACCGTTTGCTGAACCTCGTCAAGCACTGCAAACACCCTGTGCAGAAGATAAAAACTGGATTTTGAGTCGCGGCTATGCTACAATTGTGCTAACCGTGCAGCGAAGTCATTAGGCCAGCAGCAACGTTCAGTCTGCGTGAGTTTTTTGAACTCCTCCGCCAGTATCCGAAGGTCCTTGCGCAAGCGGAGGTTGTCCTGCAAAAATGCAGTTGAACTCTTTGACGCTTGCAATTGTACGGTAGCACAACTACAGGTCGCGCACCATCATTGCTTCTTCAGCAACTTTTTGCAGCTCTTCAAGCTGCAGTCGCTGGCTCCTGGCGGCAGAAGCAAGCTTGTGTTCTGGGCAGTGTCAACCTGGCAAATCAAGTCATGACATGATGAAACCGTATACTAGCATCACTAGGATCGAGGGCCACCTACTGTCCCAGACATTCCCACACTGCTTCCTATGGCACCTAGACCTTTTCTGTCCAACAGTGCAAAAACCTCGCGGGAAAGGGAAAGGGAGGGGCTCGCCGTCTGCATCGAAGTCGGCGAAGTACACAACTGGACATGCAAGATTGGACAGGCGCTTGCTGTCCTCTGCCGCTGCCAGGCCACGTTGGTGGTATACTATATCACACCTTAAAACGCATAATTACTTTTGTCATGCAGCGCAGGGAGGCAGCTACCAGCTTCTCCGCACTGGCTTCGAATTGGCTAAATCTCAGCCACCACGCTTGCAACGTATGGATGGTGCCTTGCGGGGGGAGGGGTCGGGTTTGCCTCTTCCTCCTCCTCCGCCTTTTCCTCTGGTGAGCGGCACCCCGGACGAGTTTGAGACTGGGCCAAGGGTCTCCACTGCCCCTGGCAAGCCATGCCAACAGGCGTTGCGGGGATGTGTGACGGCGGTTGCAGTAACGCCTAGCTGCACTTCTCGCCAAGGACTCATAGACAAAATGCGTGAACCGCCATTCGGTTCTTTTATGTTCTTGTTGAACAATGCAACGTGCTGAGGCATGCAGCAGCGGACCTCTTTTCCGCCATCGAGTCAGAAAACGACCAAGACTGCCGTGCTAAACCCAACCAGTTCACAAAGCATGTCAAATGGCTTTGGATTGCGATGGGCTGTGGCAGTGTAGCATCATTCCACTGGCACGAGGCCGCCCGAGCTCGTCTCCTTCCAGGACCTCGACGCAGAAATCCGAAGAACTTGGCACCAGCTCCTCGCACTCGCGTGGCGGAGCAGTCAAACAAATCATAAACGAAATGGTAGTGCCCTCTGATTTTCTTGCGTCCTGGCTTCTGCGGCTTCGCCTTGCCCAAGGACATCCCAAGGACTCCAAGACTCCAAGATACTGTCTGAGGCAAATGTCTGAGGCAAAAGCGGGGTTGTCCAGCTCACTCTCTGTGTCCGAGCGAACGGAGCGCATGAGGAATGAGATCAGTTCCTACACAGCAGGTACATGCAGTTGCACAGCGTCTCTTACCTTATTTCATGGAACGAGCCTCTTTCTCTTTGCTATCATCAAGAAGACACTGCCTTCACGGTACAGCTGCCAAGGCATGTGCACGAATGACGAAGTCACAGGCGGACCTGCTGGATGCAAGCAGGTCAAGGTCTTGCTCGAGGCCAATATTCTGCTGCTCCAGCTCCTCAATCTTCTGCACCTCATCTGTCCAAGCCATGAACGTCAGCCCTGTGGTCGTCTTTGCTCCCAAGAACAGCGCATACAGCAATCCAGAGGATTCAACAGCCTGGACGAAAGACTTCAATGTTCAGAGCTTGTTGGACAATTGGCTGAACATTCGCGGGATCATGTGCGCGTACCTCGACCGGCCCTTGAGAGTTGGGTGCTTCTGCCTGTGAAACGGACGAAGAGATGAAGATGGCAATGCCATGGCAATGGTACCATTTGGATGAAGACGTGCCTCGGGCTTGGCTGCCGGTAGTGCCATTTGTTGCTGGCGCTGCCGGATTTGAGCCCGCAGTGTTTCTGCCTCCCAGAAAGGATTCCGGAGGCCCAGCTCTGCCCAGCTCCGTCCGCTACTCTGCTTCGTAGCACTTCGCATGCTTCGTGCATGATCGTGCCCCCAATCTTCCAACATTAGGCTGCTTCCGCCTGCTCCGCCTCACGGCGCCGCGCGTCCTCCGCAGCGGCCCGCAGCCCCTTTGGACTTTGACAAGGCACATGCAAACGTTTCTCGTCAGAGGTTGTTTAGCATTAAACGTTTAGCAAAGCAAACCGTAAGGAGTCTGAAAGAGCACTCACACGAGCTGACACATGCAGAAACTCACCCTGCGAATTCTGGGAAGAGGAAGTTGCGAAATGTGGCGGGGACGCCTGCAGCTCCTCCTCCAGGTCTACCATGCTCGGGCCATCGCCTTCAGCGACTCAACAGAAACTCTACCAGAGACTGCCTCAGACATAACACTGAAGCTGTGAAAGACACCGAATTCACACGATGTTGACACCAGTAGACACGGGCCTTCGAAGTGTCGAGACCAGGTTGGGCTGGCAGCCAGGCCCGAAACCTGACTTTTGAAATCTCTCAATTGAAACTCTTTCCAGCGGCCCCAGCCTCCCACTCAAGGTCTGCCGTGTCTTCGTCGCACACTTGTACACCTGCAGCCTGCAGTTGCACAACGTAGCTACAGCAGTCCATTCGGAACGTCAGTCGTGAGCCGTGAATCGATCTACAATTTCAGCGCTAATGTGGATTTCTGAGGTTGCTTTGCCTGGTGAGATTGGTTGCTGATGCTGACAACATCTTCGTCAAGGTGCTGCGCTTCGCAGTCATCTGGCATAGCACGAAAGGAAGCTTCTTGCCTGACTGCTGGTTCTCAGATCCTGCGCCTTGTCGAAAGCATTCGGAAAATTGTGGACCTGTAGCATCCACAACTTGTGGAACATCATCCAGGTCATACTCCAGCACTTGGGACAGAATGTCCTCCTGGAACCAACCACTGTGCACAATGGGTGATTCAAGACGCGGGAGATGCAGTCCTGAGCAAAGGCCAGGCGCTCCCGTTGGAGGACGCCCCTGTGCTCCATTCTCTCCTGCCTGGTGTCAGACTCGTGTCCAAGTCCAGGTCGAGCGACATGTTGCAGTATTTATATTCTGCCCACAACTCGTGATCCACCAATAATGGGCTGGAAAGCCCGACTAGTGCGTCTTCAGCATACGCTGCCGTGCCAGTGTCAGTTTCTAGCGCAAGAATATCGGCACTGGTCCAGGACTTCGAACGGATTTGCAGTCTCAGGTCTCATCTCCAATCATGGTTTTGATGGAGTAAGCGGTGGCAACGCAAGCTCCACCCAGAACTCTGGTGAATTTGACACTCCGAGCTCAAAGAACTGAAGCTCAAAGCTCAATTTTTTTGTACAACTGACCCCGGCGCGTGGCCTTCTGTTCACGCAGTCACTTTATCACGCGCTAACAAAACAGGCGTTGCTTCACTTGTTTCTGAATATATGCTTGGCCTAGTGACATTCCTCCAGTTCAATGAAGCACGAGAAGACCTGTTTGCTTGAGCTACTAGTCACATGGTCATCCCTACGCAGATTTAGCAGGCAGTCAATCTTCAACGGTCATTAGACACATGTGGCGGCGCATGGCTTCCCCTCCCCCCCCATAGTGTCCTCAAGAGAAGCGACTCGATCGCAGCATCGCGCTTCCTCTCTTGAAGGTCCACAAGGACTGGTGTGACTCGAACACATCTCTTCCCGCAGGTCCCTGCTTGCACGCGGCCTGACTTGACTCAGCACTGACTCAAGATGGCACTGCAGCTCGTACGTCAGGCCTCAGTGGCTGGGGCTCAAGGCTGCTGGGCTATGCTGGGACTACATCCTGAGATTCTTGGCAAATCCTAGACGGCCATTCGACTTGACTTATTGACTTAGGATGAGGTGCGGGAGCTTCCTTGCGAGGATTGCAGCCGGCGACCTCAAGGACGGCCCACGAATCACAGCGTAGTCTGTGCTGCTACACATAGCCACACATGGGCCAATGCTCAAGTACGAGAACACGAAATGCCCTTTCGCTCTGGCCTAATTGGTCGAGCTTCCCCTCCGAAGAGCGGAGCTGCTCCTCCAAATCGGACAACCTGCACCGCTGGACCATGGGTACTCGCTTGAAGATCCGACTCCCAAGGATCAACCAAACTTGTTTACTCTTTCAGTCTTCTGCCTGGGCGAACCCTTTGGCCTGCTTTTGTCCGCTGCTGCCTCAGTCCATGCTCTCCCCATGCTGTCAATGCTGGGCCTAAGGGCCTCATAACGATTTGTGCGACCATGATGATGGAGATACGGAAACAAAACGGTGCGGCCTTCTCTGTGAGACGCCCGATCTGCGCCTGCAGCTTCTTAACATGAACTCGCTACACCTCCTGCGGCATCAAGTCCGCTTTTTGCGACGGGCACCATGGAACCTGTTGCTGGTCCACTGCTTCGCGAACCCGCTCCAATTCTTTCTGCCTTCCATAGGTTTGCATCTGCATGCCCTTGCAGATTGCAAGCCCTAGGCTCATCGTCAGCATTGCTGGGTTGGCTCGAGCCCCCGGCTGCTGCTGTACTTTGAACAGCAGCACCTGGCGCAATCAAAACCGACATCGAGTCTTCGCCGCGTCTATGCTTTGCAAGTGCATGTCCCATAACTGTGCCAGGCCCTGCCGTCATGCCATCCTGCAACTAGGCAAGTGCAACAGTTGGACTAACGAGCACGTTTCTGGCCGAGCCAACGGATTTGAAGAATTAGGGTTTTGGTTGAACCTTTCACCTAAATTTGAGGGTGTACTTGGCCAGCACAGATGCTGCATGTTGTACTCGCCTTGGCTTTCAGCCGAGAGGCGTCTAGAACAAGCAGACCAGGATCTGCTTCCCAACCCCATCTTCTGTACGCCTCCCCACCCCCACCCACCCTGTGGGGCCCAGGAAAATCCCCTGCCTGAGACTTTCCTGCAATCCCTGAATGCCGGGACCTCCCCTATAACCCCTGCTAGGACCGTTGCGCACGCTACACCCCGTGTTGGGCCAGCCCGGCTGTCGAGGCTCAGACAGCTGGTGCCTTACCACGTTCTGTTGACAGTTCAGGAGAACAGAAATGCGTACAGATTTCCAATTATTCCAGCACTCTTGAAACTTGACATGAGAGGCTATTCTTGGAGTAGAACAGGGTGTATTCTGGCTGCAGAACGTGGTAAACGGATGTAAACGGAGACAAGTAGGCAGTAGTATTGATGCTGTGCTTGCTGATACTTGTTACTATACACTGGTGGAGCTTTTTTGCTCAGAAGGTCACGACATCGTCAGACGGCTGTCGGGGGCAGGGCTCTTGGAATGGGGCGGGGCAAGGGGTAGTTCAAAGGCCAGGATGCCGACGGAGGATGATGCAAGTGTGCAGTGAATGACATCCTGCAAGCCAGGCCGTGCAGAGGGGCGGTCGCCTGAGTATTTTCGCTTGAAGGTGGCCTTGAACCTGTGTGCTGTGTACATTGGGGCCCCGCGGCATGGGCAAAGGGAAACGGATAGCATGAAATGTGATGAAGTCTCAGGAAAACCCCAATCATCAACGGCGTAACGCGGACTAGTTCCAATACGATCTTGCAGAGAAACGCAAGAGTCGTCTCGGCAGGTTATAGGACATGCTTGGCCTGCCTTGGCTGAGGAACATTGAAGAATATTGAGGAACTCTGGCGAGTGGACGCTGCCAGTAATCTGTCTCATGGCAAAGAAGAAAACTGTCAATGTTTCGTGTGTGCACATTAGTCACATTAGGGCCCCGCTTCAGGGAAGACTTGATTCCTTCACCGCCCTTCTTGCCATTCCACAGATGATGGAGATGCAAGGATGCAGGGTGGGGCAGCATGTTGGCGACAGTTGGTCGGTTAAGTGTGCAATGCCATGAGCTGCACCATGTCCTCTGCTTGCCCACCGCGCTGGACTTTCGAACCTGAAGAGCCAGGCAGCCAAGTTCCAGAGCGCTTGACGCAGTGAATTCGGATCGCTTTCAGTTGCTGTGTTGCCGGCTGGAGCCGCTTTCTTCAGGCTCCTTGATGCGGGGCACGTGCGAGATGCCTTTAAGAACTTTGCACTCTTGTTTTTTCTGGTCTGGACATGTCTAGAAGCGCGAGTCCTCTGCGCAAGGAGCAGTTGCGGCCTCATTGCTAGGGCGTTTGACACGCGTCGATGCTCGAAGCGCACAGCATCTGCCGTAAGCTGAGAGCTCTTTGTGCCGACATCGCATCATTCCGTGCAGAGGCCAACTCCTGAAGTGCACCAACAGTGTTGGAAACCCGCATTCGCCATGGTCCGGCTAATAGGAGAAGAAGACAAGGTTGCTTGCCTCCATTGCAGCTTTCAAACGTTCTTGCAATGAATGGACCTCGCCGCCCATCCAGGGACAATGTTCAACTCGCCAAGGCCCATCGCAATCTACCTCCTCACGTGCTTCCGCAGTTGCAGCATCAGCCTGTTGGGGTTGCCCGAGCAAATCCTGTGTGTGCAGTTTTGATGCCTCTGGCCAAACAATGGGCCTCGGGATGAAGAATGCTATCTTTGGCCTCAGCGGTCCCGAATCCACATGTCTGTGAATCATAATCCTGCTTTATAACTACCACATCTCAACACCATCAGAACTGACCTGATTGTCGAGGCTGGCACTGCCTGGAAAGCCTGGAAAGATGCTCCATCCTAAGGTCTGCGGACAAACGCACATGCAAGCACCAATGCAAGGGAATGCCGCCCTCTTCACAGTCAAATTCTGAGGCCCAGGCAGATAAGCTGGACTTCAACGATGCTGCCCGCTGACCAATTGCAGTAACAGCTCCTGCTCATGGAATGAAAGAACCTGTCAATGAACCTTTTCAACAGGCGCTGCATTGCAACGTGACAGTGGATGGCTGCCTGCTCCAGCCTTTCGCAAAGCGTCCACGCCAGACGGATGCGAAGCGGCCTGTGTCTCTTGGAAGTGTCGAAGTGATCTTGCGTTTTCCTTGGACGGAACGGTGGATGCGGCTCACGATGATTCCCAATGTGTGTGTGTGTATTGGAGCCGCACGTCTCGGAGCTCCTCGGTCTTCATCTTGAGGTAAAGTAGCTCCTGTTGATCTCGAGGCTAGCAATATCTCGCAGCTGCAAGTGGTTGACATGTCTTGGGTCCTGCTGTAAGCGGACAAACTCCTCTGAGCTCAGCCCTGCGGCCATGATGCTTGGCAGATGCCTCCGGGCTCGACTTGCATCCGTGAAAGTCTTGCACTGCTCTCACGCAACGCCCCCGAGAGAAGCACTATAGTCAACCCACTATGCCCATTACGCATTCCACTCACTCAGGTCGGCACCCAGCTCTGGCTGGAGTAATCAGATCGTGGGTCACGAAGGATCATTGTTGTTAATCTTGGGCCAAGACGAAGTTCCCAAGACTCTGGCAGAACAGCCGCAGCTGGCATCACCGGGCTTGAGATTGAGTGGGCCTTCTATTCCAGCTATCAGTATCTTGCTGACTGACTCATGAGCGCCCGAAGACTTCATACTTTGTATACTTGGACACGACAAGCGGGTTCAACCCAAGCACAAATGAACTTGGCCTTCCTGAGTCCGAAAACACTCCTTAGTATAAGGTTCTAGGGCAAACCTGAGATCATGTGCGGACTTTCGGGCCCAAGCCGCAAGAAACTGCAATCATGTCAGCGGCTCTGCGTTCTCACGTGGATGGCAAACTTCCACAGGAAACTTTCCGAAGGCGGCACAGCAACAGCTGCTTTCTACCCTTCTCTCCTGAAACCAGAACCGAAAAGCTGGGCTAGGAAGTATTTCAAGATGACCCGACAGGGCTGCAGTAGTCACTCGTCAATCGTAAATGGGCCTTTAATCCGCCTGCCTTTTCCCGCGTGTCGAGTCGCTGTGGGCTTGCCCCCTTCTGTACATTCTGAGGAGACAGGGTTGGCCTCTGCTTTAGAAGGCATGTTTGGGTGCTTTTTGTTCGGTGGCTTCCCGGTCGTTTTGGATGCTGAGGTCAGCGGAGGTCACCGGTCGGTCAGTCCAAAGTGTTCACCCATTCGGATCGGTCCTGTGGTCAATTGAAGCTACTCGAAACTGTGTGAAGCACTGCGTCACTGCTCTGCAACGATCTGCAACGTGCCTCTGGCTCGTCGCCGTCGTCGGAGTTGCTTCTACGTGACCATGCGTCGGCACCGCCTGGGCCGGTCTGCTTTCCCAAAACACCACACGTAAACCTGATATCAGCACCTGAATTTGCACAGCGACAAGCGACAGCACTGAAGATGAAATCAGTAGTCTAAGTAAACGAGGGAAAAGTGCGGAAAAGTGTGCCGTACCAAAATAAAGGGAGTCCAGGGTACCCTCAGATTGGGGCCGGCATTTTGCATTTTGGGGGTCTCTCGGAGGGGTTGCTTCAACTTCAGGGTCTCAGCAGTACAGGTTTAAGAAAACCAGGGTGGGCTCAGGTTGGGGCTGCCCCTCAACCTCCTCCCAGCTTCCAACCCTGAAACTGAAAATTCAAGTTCCCAACACCTCTCCCTGTCAGTCGCAGTCCTGAACTCCAGTTCTCAACCCCTCTTCAACCCTCAACCCCAACTTGCCCAACTCCAGTGCTCAACCGCTGACAAGTAACCTTCCCCAACCTGAACTCTTCACTCAGCCTCTTGAATCCTTTCTGCCGCCCTCCGGGATTCGAGGCTTTGGGCAGGTCTGGGAGGGTTTGGGCCCGAGTTTCCGAAACCACTTTCGGGCACAAGGGAGAAAGAAGAAATGAGGGGGCTGCTTTCGTAAAGTTCTGAACATGAAGACCTCGCATTCTTGAGTTTGCGAAAACGATAGGTTCGCTTTGTCACATGTAAGAAAATGAGGAGCTCAGCAACCTGAAGACTGTTTTTGCATCTTAGGCTTTATTGGACCCGTCCAAACTTTCCAAAACCCAATTGCCTGACAATTGCTTGCGAAATCCAGTGCCCAGCATGTCTTCATTTAGTTTTGGCCGGCTTCGGGCGCTGCAATAAAGGCCTTAAGAAATATAAACTTTGCTTTAAAAAATCAGGGTGCCCTCTGGGTGTGAGTGCCTCAACTTTAAGAAATCCAGGGTACCCTCACCTGGAAGTATCGCTTTCTTATCCAGCACGGTCACTGTAGTGGGATTGCAAAGAAGACCATCAACAGGCCTTCGTCTGAAGAGTCCATCGACTCCAGCTCATCCAAGTCCTTTCTGGCTCTGGTTGCTTTAAGCTTTTAGACAGTGAATATTTCTCCGACACATGGCAGGGATACCGTCTCTTCCAAACTCAGGACGGGATCCTCAGCCCGCAAGCCATCCCTGGTGCTCATGCCATGCTTAGTAGTCAGTTCTGAGGAGGGCTCGCTACTTAGTACGACTGCATGAGCAGAATGGCACAACCACTAGACAACGGCAGCCATGGCTCTTGCAACTGCACGGCTGCTGCTGGTACATGTTGCACTGGCTCTCCAAGCCTGGGTGATTATCGATCGACACAGCGTGCTCGCAGCTTGAACTGAAGACGAGATCCCAGCGCATACACATCCCATACGAAGTCATCTTGGCTCTGAGATTGCCTCAACAGGAGTAGAACATTCCTGATCATGTGCAGCACAAAATGTCAGTTCGTTGGGGTCCGGCTCGCAGGGAGTGGCAATGAGCTCCATGCCATTGACCGTGAACCCGGAAGTCGACGCCTCGGCTTGAGATGAAAGTTGTCGGGCCAGGGTCGGTATCCTCATGCGGGAAGCTCTCAGAACTGAGCTCACTGCAGGCATCGCACAGTCTTGAGAAGGATCGCTTTCAAAGCGATCGACATCAATTAGCTGAACGCTTGTTGACCCGTCGGCCAAACACCTCAAGAATGCTCGCTGAAAACTGTGAGGCTTTGCTTGCACAGGTCACGCTCTTTGTTGGGCGGAGTCTGAGTGCCATAGCCCGCCAACGAGGCGGCGTGATGCCTGCGCCGAGCAGCAAGTAACGCCAATGAGGTTTTGCCTAAGACTGAAGTTTGCAGGTACTTCCATGCGCTTCCTCTCTAAGCTCAAGCATCGGCTCGAGGCGGTGCAAACTAGCTCCTGAGACGAGGTATTGCACTCAACTCAGGAGCATAACTCCTCAAGTCAGCAGGTGTTGGCATGTCCTGGCGGCATATTGGGCCATGCAGCATTTGCAGCTGCATGGAACCATGATACTGGCAGGCCATATTCCTGCAACACAGCATGCGGCCCACTGTTGAAGAAAAGCTTGAGATTGCTAACGCCACAACGCCCCCAGCACTCATAAGCATCCTCGTCTGGCCACTGGCGCGACCTCTAGAACAGATCACAAAAACCACCGGAAAATGAGCAGAGGATAAGTGGAGAAGCCGCTTCTGCAGGTCGTGCTATATGCCGATTAGGTCTCCCGCCCGACGGTATCGACCAGCTTCAGAGCTGCAGCCGTGGCATCGGGCCTCTGTCCTTAAGAGAAGAAACACACATCAAAGTGATAATGAGATAAAGACATGGAAAGATAAATGCAGCAGGTTCGTGACAGTTTGAGAAACGGGTTTGAACCTGCAGTCGAAGCAACGACATGCTCTACTCCCAAACGCGGAAGTCCTTGCAAACATGGTGTTTACAATGAACACGGCGCGACGAGGGGGTCGCGGCAGGGTCCTTGCAATCACCTTTTGCTGCAAGGAACAGCCTTCCCCAACAAGCCATGAAGCAGATCATTCAGAGAGGCATTTGGCACTCAATCCGCAAGGAACAGCACGTACTTTCAGTGCATTTCAGTTCTTTCTCCAGGTACTAACATTGCTTTCGGAATTTTTCTCTGGTCGGGACGATACCTCTCGCAATTGACTTTTTGTATAAGGACGATATCTGCGGGCGTAGTTTGAAGGCATCTGACCATAGTATAACATTGTTTCCGGAAAATGTTCTCTGGTCGGGACGATACCTGTCACAAATGACTTTTAAGGACGATACCTGCGAGTGTACTTTGAAGGCGTCCTGTGCTTTCTGCTATTCTGTCATGATAACTGTGGTTCATCTGCGTGCGCCAGATTCTAGGATTCTGCTTGACCCAGCTTGTTCTCCCGTCTTTGTCGGGACAGCTGAGTCATGTTGAGTCACTTGTGATATAACTCAAGGTTTTACTTGGCTGCGCGCGTTCTCTTGCGATTTACGAATAGGCACGACGTTCCTATAATCCTTTCCCGCTCTTGTTTAAAGCAAACAAGCAAGGACTTCTCATAGACACCCCAAACGAAACGACCCCCCGAAACACTCTCCCGCAATGTCTGCTGGTCACATGTAAGAAACGCAACGATTTTGGTCCTCCGAACTTGCTGACATGTCCCCTACAATTGGTCCCCGACATGCTCCAGGTTCAAGCGATCACGTATGCAAATCTGAAAGAGCAAGTGGTCACATGCAGATTGGTTCATCTCTTCACCCCGCGTAAGGGACCCGACTCACCAAAAACTGCTTTCAGTCTCAGTCGAGTCGATCATGCTGAGCAGCAGACGTTTATCGGCAGTTTTTCGTGGTTCCTGCGGAGCACAGTGATCGTAAAGCTGTCGCTGCCAAGCCGATTTTTGGTCTACGGCCTTCCGGCCAAGGCTTGTTCAGTATATCGGTAGGACATGCGCAGGTAGACATACTGAGTAGCCTCCACGAGGATTTCTGGAAGCGGCTCTTCATCAAGTCGCCTCCACCAGTTGCTGTTCGAGAGCTTGCAGTCAGTTGTGCCACGTGCCAGAGCCAGGGGCGGCCTCTTCACGCGCACGAGCACGCGTCTTTCCTGGCAATGGTCAAACATTAATCTACCAGGTACTGCGATCATACAAAGCGCTAAGCGAAGCATCAAAAGTTCAATCTTAGGCCGCGGCATCCATTCCAGCACCGTGCACTAACGCAGGGAGCAAGCAACGAACTAAAACTGGTATGGCGGATTATGGCGGTCTGGCTTGAGATGGTTCAGGCCGGTTTGCTTCACGCTAGACTAGAAGCAGCAGCTGGCAGCGGTACAGACTGAAGGAGAATTTAAGAGAAGATGTTCCTGACAGCTGATGTTCCGGACACATTCCGTCGGCCGGAAGGAACGGCGGTAGCAGCGTGAGGAGAGTCGCACTCAAAGCAAACGATCTCAGATACCAGGTTCTCACAGCAGCCGCCCTCTGAGGCCTTTACACGAACTTTAATTGCGTCGGCATTGTGAAACAGAGCTCTCTGCTGTTCTTCAGCAAAAAGTTTTCTCAAAGAGAGCGAGGCCATACGAGGCCAGCGGGGCCTAATGGCCTGCTGTGTCTGCTATATCTACAATGGAACTTCAAATCACCTTGACAAAGTCGACTATTGGACACATACCTGGACGGTTAAGTTCTACGACTAGGCTAGCGTGAACGCCGGCTCTTGCTAGCATTCGAGGATTCCGGCAGTGTGGCACTGGCACGCCCGACGGATCCGCAGCTGGGCGCCTTACCGGGGAAACAATTGGGGCATTTTCCTGGCATTTCATGACATTCGAATTCAACCTTTCTTACTCGCACCATCTTGCAGCTGCTTCGACCTGAGGACTTGGCAGTGTTCATGTTGTCCAACTTTTTTCGCAATTCTTCCAGCTCTCGTTCTGCTGCCTGCTTGAAAGATCTTGCATGCAATTCATCTGAAGTCATGACTCGTGGCTTTGAGGAATTCAGGGAAGCTGCCTGCCGACGCTCGCGCTCGATCTCGAGTTCCTGCAGAATTGGGAAAAAATTGGGAAACATCACCCTGCAAGGCCTCTCCAACAACGCCCTGAGACCACCACCACTGAAAGTACGGTTGAGCGGCATGACATTCCAGAAACCGAACTCCGGGCTGAGATGCCTGCGACATAGCGTCTGGACTTTCTCTTGTATGTTCATGTATATGGGGGTGTACTCTAATATACTACATGCTCATTTAACACTCTTATTGTCCAGGCCGGGAGTACCTGAGCAAGCAGTGCCCAAACGCTGGCCGGTGCCGAGGCGGCTTGCCTCGAAGCAAGGCACACAAAGGGAACCGCCGAAACCGTATCCGTGAGGTTGAGGCAGAGCTCCCTAAGCCCCTTGCGGTGCCCTTTTGTAACTCAGAGTCCGCCTCAGTCGACTCAACTCATCTATCTTTTTTCTATTGGCGTGTTGAAAGATCATGCTTCGAGTTCGCAAAATGAGTTTCTCAGATGTTTGGGGTGCCGGGCCAGATCCTGCTCGCCTCGGGCAGAGAGGATCTCTTGTCCTGCAGTGACCAAGAACATCCTAGATTCTTCTACGTATGTGTGCTGTATGCCTGTATGATAACTATGCTACTTGACCTGCCTCTGCATGCCAACGAGCGACCCGATTGCCTCGACCTAGCAGCACATCTCTCATGCGTGAATTATCTCCGCATTACCGGCTTCGTGGGCTTCAGCAAAACCTCATGGTAGCCGACACACATACACATAAACAAAGTGGGCGGAAAAAACCCTGCATGCTTCGCCGTGCTGGGGAAGGCTGGTGACCACGGTGCACAGCTCCAGGGGGCGGAGAGGGGGTCGCTCCGACACTGCGAAACCGATGGGAACAAAATCGAATCGAACAGCACCCGAAAGAAACTGAGGTTAGGTTCGCCTCCCCTGTTCCACTAGGAGTGGCAGCCGCATGCTAAAGCAGCAGGCGGCAGCACCAGTGGTTCACAAGCTGGGAACCACATGCCGGAAGGAGGCAGAAGAGCGCAACACCGTCGTGTAGAGGTGTGCGTTGTGGGTTGCGCAAGTGCGCGTTGCCAACAACTGATGTAAGCAGTTTGTCTGACACGAGACGGGAACTTAGCGTTGGGCCATATGGGCTTGGATGGCTTGGTAAAGGCTTCAAGCGGCTTCGAGAATATCGAGAATATGCTACTGGCCTCAACTCATGGTGTGAAACGCCTCTGTGGTCTGAGGGCTGCTAGATGCGTGTGGACATTGTGGACTCGTGCAACCTCAGTTCACATGGCGAAATTCATCTTAAAGGCTGGCCAAGGGAGTTGCCAAGACACCACAAGAATGTCGGTAGACTATCGGTGGCCCTGTACAGAAATGTTCTCAGAACCGGGAGCTCTGTCAGATAGGCGTTTTACACCGTGTGGGTTTGATAAAGCTGATGCCTCCAGTTGATAAGTGCAGGGGCCTGGTTTAGGCATGTGCCCGTGCACGTGCTTGCGGAGTCTCTCTTGCCACCCATGCCTGCCAATGATATCCACACCCCAAGCACATTCCAAAACAAAACCATACTGTCAGCTGGCGACCGGCGACCAGCCTCCAAGCCATAAAACTATGGTGTGGATTGTGGCTCATATTGAGCATAGCTGAAAGCTGCCGCTCTGATTACAATGATTAGCTAATTTTCGCGAGGAGTGGGCTGAAGCCAAATGACTGAATGGCAATTAAAGCAATGGGAATAGTCTTGCTGCGTTTTGCTGTGCTCGCGGCTCTCCGGTGCCCAAGCGTCCCTGTGGAGTTCTTGGTATTCTCCTTAGCCACAAGACGGGGCAACCATTGGCAACCATGTGCGTTGTCCGCGATTCTGGTGGGTGCAACTGTTGAGCACATCATACCTCTGTGTGCTGCCAAGGACCGCCAGCTGATTGGGCAGCTACCCTCGCTCATCCTGGGCAAAGGATGCACGTCGTCAACAGCCAAGTCCATCGTACAAACGCATTGGTGGTATTCGGTGGTTCTCAGTCAAGCCACGCAGATGCCGTGGCCCGAACAGCTGCGCCCTGACAACTCACCGCAATCGAGTCTTTACACGCGTTGACCATCTCAGAGGACCTCTTCGGCATCGATGCGATTGCGCCAGAACTTTTCGCACTGAACCGGATTTTTCGGTTCTGCGCCAACATAGTAAGACATTGCAACCTGCAATCTCATTTGCATGTATAGCGACCACAGTGTCACAGTGCCCCAAGACATGAGCGAAGTCTTTGTGACTGAGGACCAGGCAGCACCGAGCCCAGAGGTGACGAGCCCAGACTCAACCACCGGAGCCAAAACGAGTCACATTATGCTTGTCCCTTGGCCGTGAAAGTGATCCAGAATCCCGAAGTATTCATGCTTGACGCTTCATGCTAGCCGGGGGATGCTGACTACTCTCAGGCAATCGTACAGTGCGTCCTATTTTCCACGCCACTTCCTGCTCCAATGGTACTTTCACTGGAGGGGGCGCGTGACCTTGACCTCATTTGGCCTCATGTGACCTCCCCATCAGTGATGGGGGGTCGCCTCTCTCGAGGCTGCGACTTGGCGGATTGCTTGTCTGGCATGTTCGTGCTACCGAGAACTCACACAGGTCTGGGAAGCTTTCCTGGGCAGCCATCATCTGGGAGGCCTGGGGCTATGCACCACAGGATCACATCGCTGCACTTTTTTGCAGCAGCAATTGCAATCCTGGCCTCGAGGCGCTGTCGTCGACTGCGGGCCTCAGATGCAAAAGTCTTGGCATCTTACCAATGATCACACACAACAGCAAGCTGCTGGCAGACACCAAGATCTGGTAATGTCGCTTCATCTGTTTGGGCAGCTGCCCGAATCTCTCGTCCATGGCCAGCTTTGTCACTTCCTCGATGGCTTGCCTCCTAAGCATGTTAAGCATATTGTACAACTGGGTGAAAAGTTGCTCGCCCTGCTGCCCTGCATCCCTGTACATTCCGGAATCTCCTTGCCTCGAACCAACTCCGAATGCCATGAATGAACTACCACGTCAACGCAAAGCAGTCCCAGTCCTGGCGTGCGCTTCCTTCTCAAAATCTGAAGCGACGGTGTCTGAATTCATCTCGGGCTGCATGTACCTGAGCTGCTATGGGCACGATGTGTCCATCTGCTTCCAAGCATCCCGGCGACTGTCCGAACATGCTGAGATGTCGTCGTGTGGACACAGATGGAGCCAAGGGCCATGGAGCCGAAAGATGCTGCCTTGCGAACATGATTTCTGTCGCTCTTGAGCCTTGAGATCCGCAAATCGCCCACCATGGTGCCAAGGTAGTGTCGCAGCGGCATGCCCATCGCCTGAGCGCTTGCTTGGAGAGAGATATGGTAGCTGAGTTTTCTGAGTCATGAGTTGCCACTTGTTGCACAGTTGCACAAATGTTGGGTCCGACAAGGTTTGGGCAATTTGGGGCTCATAGGGACCTGGCCATGGTGTCGGAAGAGGAGAAGGGCCACGCGCACACCTCTCTGTTGTACCTCTCAAACCTCACTTTCTTTCTCTTCAGGCTATGGGGACTACGGTGTACAAATAGCAAAACTTTAAGCTTTGCCCGGCTGCCTATGTTCACTGCAGCGGTCAATACAGGCTCGCGCGAAAGTAGGCAGCTTGGGAATCTACATCTCAGTCGTAGGTACCAAGCTGCAAAGCACTGCAGCTACTGCTACTGCAATTTCCATTCCGCAAGCATTGGAACGGTTTTTTTCTCAGCACCCGACTTCAGCGCCGAAGTACATTTACCACTGGCCCAGGGCTGACTTTCATGGTGGCGAAAGTCTTGGGAGTCTTGGAGCAAGCAACATTGGCCCAGCTTCCAAGGCTTCTCGCAAGGCTGAGCCTGAAACATCCGTCGCTTAAACTGACATAAACGCCAAGCTATCCGTATACTCAGATTATCAAGCTACTCGAGCATGAAGCCCAGCCACTGCATGAAATCCGCTGGCATTCCAAAGGATCTCAGGCGTGGGCTAGTCCTTGTGGCAGGGACTTCAATGGAAACATGTGCAAGGGCATGACAAGTTTAGGGCACAGGTCGATGGATGTGCTGCCTTTGCACAGGCTATCACGGTAGACCAGAGAGATAGCACCTGATTGCAGCTTGAATGATCCAATGCGTCCAACTGCTCGAATGCTAGGCTGATGCTCTGGCATCTAGTCAGACTCTGCTGCCGCGTTGCTGCAACGTAGTATCTCAGAACTAGCTCAAGCAGCTCAGGGCAAGACAAAACGAAGCAGCCACACACGTTCGAGCAATCGCAGTGCGCCTCATCAAAGCGGCTTGTCGCCGGTCACTGACCACTCTTCACGGCTTGCGGAGCAAAGCTGTCCCTGTCCTTGAGTTCGACGTAGAGACCGCCGCACGAAGCCGGGCCACTCTGAGCGCGCCTGAAGACCACAGAAACTCTTCATCCGTTGCTCTATCCGCCACCTTCTTGCCACTCTCTCTACTGGCAGCGCCTGTCCGAAGCACACGTTCAAGCGATGAAGCCTACGAACGTCATGCGTGGCCTGTTGCCGCACTGAAAGCCAAAGTGTTCCTGGCCGGCCTTCCGCGAGATGTGACAGTAAGTTGCCGCCACAGCCCGAAGAGCGTTCTGCAGCAAAGCAGCGCCAGCCTCGAGAGATTCCGAATCGTGGGGGTTCAGTAATGCTGAAAACTGTTCTGTCGCGCCTGGACGAAAGGTTACGTCCTCGACGAGCACTCCACGCCTGAATCTGTATCTACATACACGCAATGCAGAGTGCTGGCACAAATCACAAAGCAGTCAAAAGATCCTGCCTGCAGCAGGCGCTCTCTGCTGTGCGTCTCGAAGGCTCTTTGCTGATCATGCCAGCCTACGAAGGCTGCCCTCATCAGAAATTGCCTTGGTGTCCACAGGTCTCTGCTTGTGTCTTGATAATTCAGCATGCTGCTGAGCTGTGACATTCACTGGGGCTGGCACAAACCTGAGCGTGCCAAATGAGACAGCTGCCTCAGTGCCAAATGAGTGACGCAGGCCCTGGGGATGTCCACGCGATCGCACTTCCAGCGAGGAAGCGAAGCAATCAGCCTCTGCTGGGCAAGCACTTCTTTTTTCGCTGCTGTTGCAGCAGTGTGGCATCGGGTCACCAGGTGGCTCAGTGTCCCTCTAGACAACAAAGCTTGTAATCAAGTCAGTGTTTGCACGTGTCCATGCCATGGTCTAGTCTAGTGCTGTTGAATGTTGTGCTTTGCAACGGGTCCTACGGGAGGGAACTTGCGACCCTTGGGAACAGACTGAAGCCCAATGCTTCAAGCGAAACTGTACAGTCTCGTAAGGTCAGCAGATGTCCATCACTTGGTGTCTGCCTCTTCCTGGATGGCGTGATCCTTTGAAATTCTGCGAAACAATCCAGGAAGTGCCGCTCCCCGGGCACAAGATGCTAAAGCATCCTCGTCTCCGAGGCATCCAGGGCTCCATGGCGGAGTCACACCGGGAACATCGTTGTCAATGGCTTTAATATGTTTCATGCTTTCGTGACCTGCGGATGTAAAGGCATGCTTTGTAAAGGCGAGTCGTGAAAGTTCCACGCCGCTGCTTGTGGCTTTTCTCGATAGTTTTTCGATCTTGCGCAATGTAACGGGGTACTCAGTAGCCGGGAACTCAGCATGTAGAGCGACTCAAATTTCAAAGCGGCCACATCCGGAAAGAGTGCAGCAATCCTCGCCTGATGTGGATGGTCTGCAGCAAATCCACCGCTGCGGAGGCCTGCATCAGTCTCGCCTATTCGGACCACAATGACATGTCTGCATCATTTGGATGCCGCCTCGCTGGCCCCACTGCTCCACAGCTGTCTTCTCGAGCGGTCCTGCAGTGAGCTGAGGAATTTGTCCGATTTCAACCGCCTTGAACGGCGCAGTTGCGAGCAGGACACCGCCGTCCTCGTCGCGTAGCCCGAGCCGGGCCTCATCCTCTTCGTCCTGGGTAGCTCATGTAGCTCTGATCTCTGCTCTGGTCTGCTCTGGTCTGCTCTGGTCTGCTCTGGCAAGAAGGTGCGGCTGCAGCAACTGCACGGGTTAAGCCTTGCATGGTCTAGGTGTGGCCAATTGTGGCCACATGCTAAGTTCATATTGCATGATATTGCCACATTGTGGGTGGCCACATTGTGGCAGCAGTGTCCAGGCAGGGTCCTGGGCATCTACCAGAGCTGCCTCCAGATCCGCCTCCAGATCCGCCTTCCACACTCAGTGCTTCACTCAGCGAGATGCACCCAAAAGCGGGCCTCCAGAGCCTGACTCCTGAGCTTGGACATCTCCTTAGACGATACGAAACTCTGTGAACAACAATGCACCTGAGCTTGCCCTACTTTTAACTTCCCCTGAGCCTCCCACACAGCGAGCCTCGGCTCTTCTGAGCGCTTCGTCGGCGGCACTCACGGCGTAGTCGAGGCCAGGTCGCGGCGGGCGTGGGCGAGGTGGGAGTCCGACCGCGCCATTGCTCTGAGCGTCGAGCCGCGAGCTCTCCTGTGACCTCGGCGGAACGAACGCATGCAGAGCCGAGTTTGAAAGGAATATCATCCCAATCCCATCTCCTGTCTCCGATCCTGGCCTTGTACTGCTTTTGCTGTCTGCCTGAGCGGGCTCGGCAGCATTCCACTTCTTCAGAATGACAATGCCACATGATGCCCGCCCAAAGTATCAAGATCCTACTTCGGCAAACGCTGCCAAGTCTCTTCAAGTCCCTTGAACTGCAGCAAGGGTTGCCGCCACGCACTGAAGCAGGCACGAGCCAATCGAAGCCTGGACTGGGTCATCGCATGGACGCTTTGAGCGATTGAATGGAGCGTATTGCCGTCAATCGGCCTGTCGGCAAACAGCCAGTTATCAGACATCCGCCCGACCTGCCATGTGAGAAAAGGTATCAGATGAGCTTTCATGTTCTGCAATGGCCACCCGTCTGCATCTGCATGCAGCGAGATGCCCGTCTCTCTCTCTCTCTATATATATAATTAGATATATATACATACACACGTATATATATATATATATGTATATATATATATATATACATATGTGTGCGTATGTGCATCAACGAATATCTAATATGTCCGGGTAGCAGCGGACACAGTCGACTGACTTAATGACACACTTACAACCCGAGCTTTGCAGTTTGCGTGTATACAACATGCGGGCACAAGCTTGCGGAAAGCTTGACCTCCTCCCTCGACAGCATGTGCTTGGACCCAAACCTTCTGCTGTGATGCCAGCTCGAAGCTCTGACAGAAAACGTGGCAAGCGAACCCACCAGCGAAGACGATGCAGCGGTCCCTGCTTTGCAAATTCCGTTGGCCTGTCATGGGCTGCCTTCATGGAGGGAGCGTCATTCAGCTGCGACTGAAGCTCCGCGCGAGACTCCACCAGACTGCATTCCAATCTGGCTTCTGCCAGGGCATGGTGCATGTGTGACAGCTCCTGGCAATGGCCCTCTTCGTGTCGCTTCAGCTGCTCAACTTCATGCCGGAGCTGCTGCATCTCCTGCATCTCCGCATGCTCCAGGAGCTCAAAACGCTCCTTCTCACGCTGTGCATCTTCGAGGTTCTCCTCACTGAGATGTCTCTTATCCAGCTCGAGACGTCGGCAGATAATGCTTTGAACGTGCAGCTCATCCGAAAGAGCGCTGCAGTGCTCTGCCCACTGATTGCTCTCTTGCCGACGCTGGGCAGATTGCATTTCTGAAGCCTCCAGCTCCTCTAACATCGAAGAAACTTCAGGCTGGCTACGTTGGTTTTGAAACCTCTCAAGCTCAAGTTGTTCGACTGCGGCCTTGAGTTCGGCAAGCTCGCTGCTTGCATTAGAAAATTGTGCTGACTCCTCTCGGTACGTCGCTCGCTCCGCCTGTCTTTCAGAGACGACCTCCGCTCGAACAGCGCGGAGAACGGCCATCTCGGCCTGCGCAGTCTCGGCCTCAGCCAGCCTTGCATCTGCGACCTCGGCGTGTGCCGTTGCCAGTTCAGCCGCCAGTTTTTCGCATTCGCCTTGGAGTTGGTCGGTCAAAAGCCTGTATGACAGCTCGGGCCGAGCGAACTGACACTCGCGCCGCGTGTGCCAGTGCTCCAGAACTTTGTCCGCGGTCTCATCCATGCGGTCGCAGTCGAATCGGTCGAAAGATTCGGCCGGTATGGGCGAATTCTGCAGCGTCTCCTTCTGCCATGCAGCAAGACACCATCGCAGCAGATATCTCAGTTGTGCCCGCAATGCCCGTTCCACCGCTCGGACAGATTTTGGGGCTTGCTGCGCATAACGTGCCGGCTGCTTTCTCGGTGGCTTCTGCCCTTGCCGTGGAGAAGACGCAAATGACTTTGATGGGGCTGACTGGAAAGGAAGCTCAAAACTCATCGCAACCTCGCGATTGCGCCTGCCAAGGCTGGCTGGCATGCCTGGCTTCGCATTCGTTCCAAGACCCATGGATTTCTGTCCATCGCCATCCAAGTACCACCCTTTGCACCTCGGAGTCCCTGGGCTTTCGCCTGAAACTCTGACATTTTGGAAACCTTCGCAATTTTCGCAATCGCTTTCCTGCATTTCCTGTGAAGGTGCAATGCAACTCGCCCCTGCTGGACGGCGAGGCCGCGAGCGAGGCCGCGAGCCCACTCCGAATACCGGCGTAGCTGGTGCGGATGCTGGCGCGGATGCTGGTGCGGTTGCTGGTGCCACTGCTGGTCGGAGATCGGGTTGCAGAGTTTCCTCTGAACTGACTGCGCTGCCGGCGCTGCCGACTTCACCGAGTTCACTTTTCTGGAACATTCGGTCGTGCTGCCGCTCTGGCTTCTTTACCGGCCCACTGGTCTTCTGGGAGAGTTGACTTGGGGCCTGCAACATCAGAGTCCTACCAGTAGGCTGAGAAGTGCTGCAATCTGTGAATCTGTGGCCTGCAGTGTCACCGGCTCCTTGTAGAAGATCCTCCAGATCGGCGTGCATTCTTCGCAGTACACATTGCAAACTCTGCTAACGGCTTGTGGGAAAGTCACAGAGCCGCAGGCGTGCCGTCTGATCCTCTCTCATGCCTCACCTCCAAGTGCAAAAATCAATCAAGAAGCTGTGAGAAAGAGAGCTACGGTGGCCCCTGGGTGGCCGGGTGCCTGTGCATCCAGGAAGCGCACGACGGGGCCATCTCCCCATCCGTCAACTTCAAAGCATGCCTGCGACAAAACATTGACATGCGAACTGCACTTGCACTGCACTTGCACTGCACTTGCACTGCACTTGCACTGCACTTGCACTGCACTTGCACTGCACTTGCACTGCACTTGCACTGCACTTGCACTGCACTTGCACTGCACTTGCACTGCACTTGCACTGCACTTGCACCCTCACATGTTCGTCGCATGTGATGGTATTGCTGTTCGCTGCTCCGAAGCCCTGTTTTCAGCCGCCGTCCGAAGTCGACCATCTGCTGCGCTCTTCGCGACCCCTCATTCCAACATACCTTTGACACCCTTTCCCTTTGCCGAACTTCGCGCCTCTGGCCACATCTGAGTCACTGTGCTCCCGCTGCTGCCGGTGCCTTTCCGTCATCGGCTGAGGAGATAGGCAGGAAACGACCAGTAAGCACCAGGCTTTGCAGCTCGTCCTTCGCTCTGTCAAGGTCCTGAAGATCTCGGGGCGTCTGAAATGGCATTTTCGTTTAGGTGTACATTCTGAGCACCGCTGTCCCATTCCTTGCCTGCCATGACCTCCCGTGACTTTTCATGAGTCCTGCGCGAGGTAAAGGCTGTGCTCTGCCACAACCTCCTGCCGCAGCCTGCACACGTACACTCAGCACTAGCACTTTCCACGGAGTCATGTCGACACGAGTGACAGCGGTCTGACAGCGTGTGAGGGCACGGTAGACGTCGAAGTGTCGTATGATGTCATGAAGTTCTTTTGATTTCTGCTGGTTCTCGAAGCTTTCTGCAGGCTTGCGATACTTCGGTCAGTACGTCCACGCAGCTGTTCAGGCTGCGGAATGCACCGAGCAACGCAGCAACGCAGCATGAAGGGTGTTGGTTGCTTCAGGATTTCACCCTGCGAGACCTTTCCTTACTTCAAATCTCTGCAACTTTCTGTTTGGCATGAACAGTTAAGAAACATCATGACAAAGGCATTTATTGCATCGGAGGTCCCAATATGCTGTTGTCCGCTGATACCATCACTATTTGGATTTAGGACCTTGGACTCTCAGTGCCATCTACTGCCAGCTTCACTTGCGCATCAACTCGATTGCTCATCTTGCGCCCTACATTGTCGATAATGTTCTACCTGTTCTAGTGGGGGCTCTGGCAATAAAGTCAGATTGGCTGGGCTTTTCAGGACACCCTGACTGTTTGGGGGTGTGCGGTGGGATCCTGAATGAGGTCAAATCGTCCGGGCGCCGTAAGAAAATTCCACAGGGCACGCCTTTAAAATCATTTGCCGGGCTTCACTGCCCGTTTTAATCTTATGCAAACTCACTAGAACCAAATAAAACCGTGGACCGTATAAACAGAGCGAAACCAGCTTCGACTGTTTGGGGGTGGGGTGGGGACCCTAAGAAAAGCGGATAGAACATCAACCCGTCATGTGGTTTTGTGGGGCATGGTCATGGTCCGCTAGCTTATTAAAGCTTTGCCGTCTCCTCCCTGTGCCACAGGATCCCATTAGCAACGCCAACCATGCCGTTCAATGCTGATCTAGTTCGCCTTCACACAGCCTGCTAGCCACACTTCCAGCTTGAGCTTGGGTCTTCGGGTGCCCTATAAAAACAGGTGAGGAACCATTCTAAGGGTCAGTGTCGTACTATACCCTCACATGAGCCTATGATGTCTACTTTGACCGTTTTGACCTTCCCGTCCTCCCCAACATCTTAAGGCGAGCACTGGTTGGCGAGGACCCTCTCTTGGCTGATCATGCGGCGCTCATGCCCTGATGGTGGTACTGCAAGAGATCGCTGAACACACTTCACACAGAAGTTCACACAGCAGCTGTAGGCCAGCGGACCCATCATACAACATGCGCTGGATCCGGCTTGGTCTGCAGATGCAGGCTTCAAAGTTGAACCCATTTGAACACTTTCCAAAGCCGGACTGTGGTTCCAAAGCGTTCTGGCCTGAGCTGAAAGGTGTTCAGCCATTGGCGCGGAGCCTGCCCCTCGAGGACACCCCGTCATCTGCTAGTAACTCATGACTTGTTTCCGCGACCTTGCTTTTGCCTATACTGGTTTCCAGACGCCCTTGAGCGTGCTACCTGTGCCTGCTGGCTACCATACTGACTCTACATCATTGCCGACCTGTGTAAGTCTGGCGGGCGCGACTGGATGTCCAAGCAAGTGGTGCGTCAAGCTGCACAGCAGGTGAGAAACTGGGCCATTGTCAGTCAAATGCTTGTCGCAGAGTCGCAAAGATCATATGTGCAAGTGGGGCGGTAAAAAATTTTAAACAGTTGTGAGACATTGGGCACTTTGTAGCGACCTCTATGGTATTGGGAGGTTTTCCCCCCATAATGCGAGAAAACGTGAGTCTTCATTGAGACGCGGCACACTGGGACAAACAAGCGAAAGCCGTCTTGTCCAGGAAAGTATGCACTGTGGAAAACGGTATTGAGGGCAGCCCATGTATCAACATGAGCTTTTTTTAGCGCCGTCAGGAAAAATCAAGACTAATCAATTCCGTTGCGTGATATGTTGCATGTCAGGTTCGAGCCATCAGGACCTAGATAATGTTCATGTGGAGTGGCAACCGCTGGTCATCTTCCGAAATCTCACCACCCGTGGATGTGCGAGGTTGTGCCGCCTTGGTAGTTCCATCTTTGCCGCTGGTGACCTCACAGGGATTTGCTAAGCATAGGATCATGCGCACAAGTCTATAACCTGAAAATTCGATTCTTTTCTTTACTTTGCCTGTGCAAACTTCTTTCGAGGTCGATAGCTCTGAGCATGGCGTCCTTGTATCATGATTTGGCACGTCAAGAGCCACATTGCTGGTGTGATGAGAGCGTTTTGCACACAACCTGCCACCGCCCGAAAGACAATCGAGTGGATGGAAAACACTTCTCCCGCATGCATTGTTGTGATAATCATATTCTGCAACATGGGGAGCAGCACGCATACCAATGCAACCTGCAGTACTAGTGGAAGAAATGATTCCACGAGGGCCGAGCTTGATGGCATCTCAATGATCCCTGCGACCTGCAAGCTGTAGGCGATGATCCCTGCAGGTAGGAACCCCAGCTGGGGATACACTCGAATCACCAGCGCAACTGCCAAATCGAGAGCTTTCCACAGCATGGATCCCGGTGCATAGAAGGCCCTCAACGGAAGCGCCCAAAGGGATCCACCAAAGAATCGGCGCTGCTGCACTACAGTCTCCTCAAAGGCCTCCCAGAAGCTGTTGCCCATGGGCGGAGCTTTGATAACTGGCACCCACAAAGACTCGAGGGGAACATATTGATTTGTCCACTTGCACTGGTCCATCGTTAGCTCATCTTCCGGTACGTAGGAAGGGTGGTGAGTCCCTGCACGGAAGTACTGTTCCAACGGCATCCCATACTGCCCAAAGGGGTAGAAGTTCAGCCAGTACAAGCTACCCATGGTCTCGGTCTCAATCATGAGAGCATATGCTGAGCCGATGCCATATGCCGCATTGGAATGGATGGCGTGCACGACAGGTGGCGTCCATGTCACCGCTCTGCGATGATGTTTCCAAGCATCCAACTCCTGCGCCAATGCGCAGAAGAACCGAGGATGAGGAATGACCTGTGCATCCAATTTCACGAAGCCCCAATCTGCGAAGTTCACACAGTCAGAGAAAAGCTCCTGTCGGAATTCGCCCATGGCGTAGCTGCAGTTGCTTGCAGCTCCAGGCAGGTCACCAGGGATGCCTGCGGGATGCTCGTAAAACCTGATCTCCCTGACGTTCGTCATGAGACTTTCAATCTGGCTCCGCAACTTCTCGTTGTTGGGAGCCCTTGCTTCCATGGCGATAAGAACGATCAGGTTCTTGGCTTGCCGGCTTTGGTTCATTGTTGCAAGACCTGAGGGCCCCAATGAAACATTTCGCAAGCTACCAGGAAAATTGCCAGCCCCAAATTCCGTACAAACTTGGGTCTGGATCTAGTGCTTGGGAACATGCGCAGCAATGAAGCACCTGAAGCCTTTTGCCAGGCTGCCGTTTCTGCACCCACAAACCCGCCCAGGAATGGAAAGTTGCACAAAGTTGCTGCTGGAATAAACCGCTTTCTGGGCAAATCCTGGTGTGGCGGGGGCCTTTCGGAAGGCTCGTTGGGAGGTTTTTGAGGCCTCTTGGGAGCCTGCTGAAGCCTTTTTGAAGGTTTGCTCCCCGCCCACCCCGTACGTGTAGGGGCATGCTTGTTTTTTACATCTGCACCTGGCTTCACAATGTCGAAGTCTTCCTTGTAGATGGGCACGAGGACAGCCACGGTAACGTCCAGATCCAGATCCGGGATGGATCTCACCCGGGATTTGATGCGGAATGCAGCATAGAGGTACGCCAACCCATCCACGACGACCTTCAAGCCTTGCAATCGTGTAATCACCACGAAGACCAAGCCAGCGACCGTTGGACCATAGCCCAAAGCCACAAACCATGGCTGAAGGCAATAGCTGCCACTCCCAAAGCAACTGCCCAGTAGACTCCGAACTCAAACACAGCAGGAGGCGGAGGAAAGCGCCGAAAGGCCGTCCGCTCTGCGTGTATCGAGAAGGTCTCTAACTTCAGCATTGCTGACACGGAGCTTCCCGAAGTGGACATGGCGAACAGGCGAGGAGCAAGGCACGGCAGGGGGGCACTTCTCCGGATTTTCCCGCGCTTGGAACATGCGATCACAACAACATTCATACCCTAACATGTTTCAGGCGCAAATGTCAACTGTGCAAGTCCAGTTTCGGCATCATGCTGCTGCTCCTGCTGCTGCATATATCAAAAGCCAGAAAGATTCAAGCAAAACCTCCAAGCAGCGAAAACATGATTTCCACATTTTCGGCGTTGCCCATCAGGATCGAAGCTGCTCGGACTCGGACAGCTGATGACTTCAGCAGGGCCACTCAGTCGTACTCAACCTGGGCACCATGCATATGTTACATTTCCCACGGCCGAGGAAAGCACTAGCAGCGGTCGCACAAAGACTGCTCACGGTCGCCCGCCCACATTCTAACAATCGACTCTCCGAACCTCCAATCGACAGTTGAATTCGCATGGTCAGTTCTGCAAGAAAGGAACTAAGGCGTATGGACCAGAACCGAACTGAACCGAGTTGCCTGTCTGCTGCTGATTTGTGCTAGCCCTCACTGGCTCCTCCCCACCCGGCCCACCGCCTGCCGGGCTTTCTGGGGTGTTACTTGCATTCACTTCGCTCACGGTGTTCGCTGGTTCATTTCATTTCACACTAGTCTTCGCGAGCAATTATGCCGCCAACCTTGGTTGCATGGGTTTGTGAAAACCTTCCCGGCTTTGTCCCAAAACCCGCTAATTACGTTGCGGGGTGGGAGGGGGGGAGGGAGGAGGGTGCCCCGGCAGCTTCTTGTTTGGGGTCATAGCACGCCCCTGGGACTGCCTGAGGGGGGCCCCCTTGGGATCCCCCGCGAAACCCACGGTTACCTGCTTTCCTGGGCGCCCTGGACCCTACATCCCCTTCGCCCTCAAACATCTAGGCTCCTCTCCCCCGTCGGTTCGGCCAGCTGTTCCTGCCTTGAGCTCAACTGCTTGCCCGGCTGTTCTTGATTGTCCGTGAGCATGGCCAACATCGCGAGCTGGTGTCTTATTGTCTGCTTGCAAGGTCGGCAGCTGCATGAGCCGGACGCTCTTACCACTTTCTAAGTACTGTTCCAGCGCCAGTAGTACTACTAACTGTAAGCGCTGGGTACATTATGCTAGTATAAGCGTGTAAACCTTAAGAACCCCCTTGTATTATTCTAATGCGTTTAACTCATCTTCGAGGGAGTTCTCGTTTACACGGTTCATGGACAGTGTAGCTTTGCTGACGGTTGCACGTGCTTGAAAAATTCGCCGAGGCCTTGGGCCGTAGGAGTCTTGGCAATCTAGCACACAGCAGGTACCCACCACAACTCCCCTCCCAATGCCCCCCTGCGCAGATCGCACCCCTATTTGTCACCTTTTTGCTTGGAATGGGTACTTCCCTAGCCGACAGGTGTCCAGGACCAGGGGGCATTTAAGTCTGACCACAAAAACCCCCCCCCAGCCCCCCTTTGTCGCGCTTGCCCCAGTCCCGACTCCCAAACTTTCACCTTAACCCATCACGGCCCCCGGATGGCTGCTCTTGTCTTACCATTCCCACATCTGGGGTGCCCAGTGGGCCTAGTCTATGCATAAGCCTGCGCGTTGCCCAACGCAGAATGATTGCGCGAAGCCTCCCTGAAACCTAACAGCACCTTCACACCCGCGATCTCCGGTCAAGGCTGCCGTCGCCGCTGGGCAGGCCCAGATCATCCAGGCCGAAGCGGGTCGCACAGCGTTCGAACATAGGACGTCCTGCCGAATCGAAACGCCGAACGCTAGCAATTGACCTTGCGCGTGACCTCCCTCACGGCTTGCGCCTATGACGTACCATGTGCCAAACGTTACTTGCTCTGACTACCTGTCGCCTCGGCCTCCTGCTGGAACATCCAGGTCTCCGTCCCCCTCCACACCCTTGGGAGTAAATTCGGGGAGTTGCAATCCGACGCAGCCTGCGCATCAACCCCGCAGGTGTGCACACGAACACGAAAGTGGAGTTGGTGGACGCTGGGCCTGTGTCCCCCTTTGAAAAGTTCCGGCACACACGCAATCAGCCTTCAAGCAATCACGGCAGTCAATCTTGTCTTGAGCACTTGAGCCACACATGGAACTGGTACCCTTAGTGCCCAGAGCGTCAATTCGCACTGGCCGCCTACCAGTAGAAGTTTAACAACAGACCCGCTGCCTTGGATTTGGCCTTCTGATGGAATGCAGACTGAGCCTTTGCCGTCGTCGGAACGTGTAATGCGTGAGTGGTGCTGGGAGTCGACCTGCGAGCATCGCACTGGCGAAGACTGGACTCACTACTGCAGTCAAACTACCGCTGGAATGGCTGCAGAGGAAGTGAGTGGAGCGTCACAATAGACTCAATGCCATTGGGCGACGGCAGTTCCCGCGCAGCCCAATTTGGCCGACCGGAGAGTGCACCCGAAGCCCAGTCGTCCACCGACCAACTTTTCACAGTCCGTCGCTTATCTGCATCAAATCGCGATCGGGGACTCGTCCAGTCCGCTTAGTCGTCAGTAGGAAGTCTCAGTAGCGGCGGTTGAACCATCGCAGCAGCATTCCATCTTCCAGTTTTCCCATCTATTTGTCAACCAGGCAGCGCCTTTGGAGCAGTGCATGGCTGGCAGTTGCCATGGGCTGCCACATGGTGCCGCGCGGACTCAAAACCAAATTCAGTTGATTATAACGCTGCACGGTTGCCATTTCGATGACCGCGAGGACACTGCGTCCCCGGGGCAAGAACCTGGACTGGGAGATCGCAAAAATGGCACTGTGACAGTTGCTGTCGCCCAGAGGAATGGCTAAGGGACAAAGAGTCGATGGGGGCATCTGGCCAAAGCAACTGTCGACTGCCATCAGGCACTGGCCTCTGGAGCCGGTGACAGGAGGTCACAGCTGAGTGAAAGACGGCTGTTAGTTGAATGCCCGTTTTGACTTGATCGCTGCGCATCCTGATGCGTCTTAGACTGCGTGATCATTTAGCATGAAAATTGTTTTAACTGCCTCGCAAGTTGGTGCTGGAGTCTTGTCACGGGCTGCGTTGAACGTGTGCACAACTGTTGCACGCTACGACTGAAGCTGTCGTCACTGCGACTGTACTCGTTTCCGCCAGCGCCCGAAGCACTCGAAGCAAGTCCTTCGATCCTGCGGCACACAGCGCGTTCGTCCAGTCTCATTCATCAGCTCGACCTGCGTCGCTTTCCGCATCTGCCTTCCGACCTTGCGGACCGGAAACTCCGAGGCCGCTTGCACTGCCCACGTGCACGTCCCGTGGCTTGATGTGGCTTGGTCCGGCTCGGCTGCCAAGGCGGCGCAAAAACATGTACAGTTGGAAGCCTTAAGATCCTGGCTTCCAAGTGCCTCCTATTCTTCTGCCCGAGATGCCGGAACCTGGACGGCTGCATGTGCGCAGAATATCGCAGAATCGAGACAGGTGCCCAAAAGGGCAAACATGGCAAACATTCCCTGACTCGTACATCAGGGGCCGAACTTCTGGCCAACGCTTCCTGACGCCGATTCGGCATCCACGTACTCCATGCTGCGCAGGATATCTTGGTTGGTCATGGTTGCCAGCCTCCATGGCCATTGTGCGCACCATAGTTTGCCCAAGGTCCCCCCTTGTTGGAGTAGTAATCCATCGGATAGACCTGAGCCGGCGAGAGTACGTTGATTCAGTGGTCAAATCTGCATCTTCCACTCGAACCTGAAGGGCTAGGGGCGTGACATCTTTGTAGGCAAGCCCCTGGCTTCAGGCAAGAGGTAAGTGGGGCAGAAATTGCACATCCTGCCAAAAAGAACCGGTGCCCACCCGGAGTCCCCAGTGATTGTCGAAACAGGTGCAGGAACTGAACAGAAACATGAAACGAATAGTCGCTCCTTCTTGCTTTGTGAACCGATGTGTGCGAGTCCAAACTCCTGGCAGAGACCTGCTCTGCAGATCTCTGCAGGCGTGTGAAATATTGGCAATGTGCCCGATGCCTGTCAATATGCCTGGACACTGCGTCCTCTCAGAAATCGTCCATGGTATGATGCGAATTCTGCTTCGCCGACCTCCGTGCAAAGCCATACTGGAGTATCCGCACCTCCCTCAGCACTGTTTCCAACTATGAAGGACGCAAGCCACAAAACATTGCTCATGAAAGTCCCACGGCCAGTAGCCATGTGTGTCCTACAGAGGCCTGGACAGATCGCGCATAGAAGCGCTGGCGGCTTGTCTTTCGCCAAGACACGGTGCAGCTGCGTCATCAGAGCTTTGGATGTTCCGTAGGCCGTGCCTGGAAAGCCCTTGTCTCTGTGCTGCCCCTCTCTTGCCGCTGCGACAAACTCCTCTGCAATCGCATCCAGGCCTTGAACTGTCAGCTCATCTGCTAGTAGTCGTTCCTTAAAGTCCGGGCGGCATTCTGGAAGAAAAAGGCTGTTTTCAAACAGCCTTGGGCCTAGAAGGTTCAAGAGACCCAGATGCTCGGCGTCTGGATGCAACTAAGGTTCCTTAAGCTGTGGCGACCAGCTTGAACCCAGCTGACCAGCAGATGACGACACCCCTACCGATCTCGCATTTGGCTTGAGCAATGGGCGGAGTATGGTCAGCATCCGCTTGGTTCCGTAATAGTTGACGTCGATCGTTTGCCTTGCCTGATCTGGGAAGGGCGTCGGATCGTTCATGGGGAAAGCCAGCCCAGCATTGTTTATGAGAATGTCGATTCCGCCCAGCTCCGCACGAACGAAGCTGGCCAAAGTTTCGACGGAACCAACATCGGCTATGTCCAGCTGGTGGAAAACCAGACTCACTCGGCCACCAATCTCCTTTTTCAGATTCTCGGTGGCCTCTCTCCCCATCTCAGGAACTCTTGCTGTGAGAAGTATGGTGCTGCCTTCTGGCAGCTTGTTTGCCAGGCCACGGGCAATCTCATAACCAATACCAGGAAATCGATTGGCACCAGTAACGACTGCCACGGACATGGCTCCTGCGGCTCTCCAGGCCGTGCAGCTAGGTTTTGCCCTGGCTTTGGAGGAAGCGCCACTTGAGCAAAAATGCGGCATCAGCGAAACTATATATAAGAAAGTGGCCACGGCACAGGACTCGCACGGTCTGCATGTCCACGTGCTCGTGCAGAAACTTGGCGAGCTGGACCCCATAAGCTACATGTGCCTCGTAGGGTGTGAGCCTCAATTGCGCTCGCATCCACGAGAACATCGATGTGAGGTCAGGGAATGCTTGAGCTCTGACATCTGGCTGAATCCAGCCAGGTTGCAGGGGCCTCTGGTAAGAACTGCCCCAGTCCATCGACAGCCGTGGGCAAGCGACTTGTACCCACGCCTCGACTTTTGGCCTGGGCTTTCGTGATATATAGCAACCTTAAGAGGCTCTTCACGGCTCTTCTAATCTCTTTTCAACTCTGCTCCCTGTTCCAGATTTGTTTTTCAATAGATGCACTGAGGTCTGGGCATGAGTGCAAGCCGCTCTGGCGAAATCTCTGACAGAAGAATTGTGAAGTGCGCAACACCTGGCAAGCAACGGCAAGCAACGGCTCCCCACATCCCCACATCTCCTCACAGTACTGTACCATGTTTGTCTCTGTGCCTCGTTGGTCCAATAGTCGCACAAGCTCCTCCAGTACTCCAACGCTTCCCTGCCGTCCAAGTGTCCCTGGTGCAGGAGTGCAGGGTGATGAGTAGTGGCAGTAGTGGGCACAGCATGTGCGCAGACGCTGGCAACATGGCGGAGTCACCAAGAACCAAGCCCACCTTGGAAACGTGTGGAAGCTCCCAATAGCACATTGACATCAAGTTAGCCTGAAGTGCACGAAAGGCCCTGTGCGTAACACTCACTCGCTAGGTATCATGTGCTTTAGCATTGCAAGTTTAACAGCTATCTGCAGCAGGTCGACTAGTTGTGCTTCCCGCGCTGCTGCAATCGCAGCGCGTCGGCTTGAGTGCAGCTCGTCATGCGCAAAGCCTTCTCGCCTGGCACTTTTCCCGTACAGTGTGGTCATGCACAAATGGCAGAGCTGTGTCCAGGCACGGCGGACGTCAGCGTGAGGCAGGCTGGGTCGTATCGGAAAAAGTTTCCCCGCAAGTGCCTGGCGCAAATCTCCATATTGACTTCTGCAACTGGTTGTCTTGCTTAGCTACCCATGCTGAAGTGAAACACGATTTCCTTGTTGCACAAGATTTCCGCCATGTCGACGGGGGTATGTTCTGAAGGTTGCCAGCGCGTGTGTTGCCACCGAGGTTTGGGTACGGGACAGCTTCGGACACCTCCTAACTGGCCAGGTCTCCGGTGCTGTTCGGTGCTGTTGAGGGAGGTGTTCATGGTCATGTGTTGGAAAGCCTAGCAAAGTCAACTAACTCGCCAGACAGACGGATTCTGGATCATGGCGCTCTCCAGATGGAACCGGCCATCACAGACAAAAACTACCTGGACATGCGCTGCAAGATGGCACATCTTCGGGTGAGTTCCAGACTGCACACAAAGCAGCAAGTAACTAAGTAACCTGTTCACTTCAGAGGAATCTCACTTCTTTGCCTTTCTACTCAGGATGCAGCCGCATCGACGTCACCAGCATTGGGCGACGTGCAACCAAGTGTTTCTCCAACACCCAGAGGCTTCACCTTGAATCGCACTCGCGACTGAAGCGAAACAGTCTGTGCTCAAAATGTTCAACTCACGGCCTGCTGGTAGATGTTTCAGCCCCCCCCCCCCCCCAAACCGCGCCATCGCAGGGCTAAGTTAAACAGAGGACACATCCGGGAAAGAGTCAGAACCAAAGCTTTCCACACTGGGAGTCATCATCTTGGCCAGTGACCTGTGGGACCTTTGCCCTGCCATCATCTGCCTTGCAAAACACTGCATTGCATTGCAAATGGAAGATGTCGGGGGCTGTCTGAATGTTGAATCACCAAAGTCACCGAACAGCCTCTTTCTGAAGCTCGTCCACGGCCTCACGGAGCTTCGTGGCATGTCTGCAGCTCAACCATGGTGTGGGCGCTGGCCTGCAACATGCCTGATGAGAACTGCACACTGCTCATGAAGGCAAGACCTTAGCGAAGACGAGTGCCAACGATCTTGTACTTGGAATCGTTATGCTGCTCCAGAGCAGGGTCTGTCGACTTGGAAGCCTGGTCACTGGCGCTTGTCAGCAGCAAAGTTGTGCTGGATGGTGTCCACCAGGTGTTCCACATCCACCTCAACCTTGAACCGTGCACAGCACCAGGGGTGCACTGGGGTGCACAGCTGTCCTGAAGACTGCCCACCTCGACATGAACATAGAGAGTGGTGACGGTAGTTTGATCTGTCGGCACCTTGACATGCGACCATGAGCACTTCGCGAGCTTACGATTAGCTGCATACTAGCAGTTACTAGCAGCATGATCACATGTGAGTGGCTTCACACATTGTCAATTCAAAAAGAATTGCTGTGCCAACGACAACCAAAGCAACACATCTTGAAACTCGGACGACTTAGGACCTCACGATGCAGGAGTGACCTCCCGGGCTGCACAACAGGAATGGGCCAAGCTCGTAGAGTCGTAGAGCCGAAAGGTTCACCACACCCCCCCGCCCCACTGAAGCAGTCCTAAGAAGGGTGTTAAGGCTTTTAAGGCAGGTTTTGAGGAGCGCAACGAGTTCCAGCCAAGTGGCCGTAGTGGATGAGGAAATCCACTCCAAGGGCAGATGCCTGAATGCGGAGGAGAGGATGTCTGGGAGATCCAGGTCGGTGGCTCGTTCGGAAAGGCTAGAGAGATGAACGTCTTCACGCTATGGTCTGAGGTTCTGAAGTTTGGAAAAGACCAAGGTGGCACAAATTTCAGTGACAGTCTGGGGAGCAGTACGAACTTTTCATTTCGGAGCCAAGACATGCACAATGCGAGGAAGCTTCCATTGGCGCAGGTCTGCGCTGCAAGGACGCTTCTGCCCCCCTCTCCAAGCTCGATCCCCCTGTAACAATCCATGTGCCCAGCATTCACGCTCTGGAGTCTAGAACTCCTCTACAGTTCACCAGTAGCTTGCAGATCCGATGATAATGAGCTGCAGCTACAGTATAACGCTGTGATGTGCTGTGGCAGGGACCCCGAGGTCGTCAATGCAGCACGCACCGAACGTGACATCGCCGAAGATGGTGCTGCTCTCCACCTCAAAGCCCCCATTTGAGGAGTTCAGAGGGTCAAGGGCCAATGGCATCCAGCATTTCCAAGAAATCACCTGAGATCTGCCACGGTTGGGACGAAACGTGCAAAGATGTCTGCCAAGGCTGTGGCCTCAGTGATCGACCGAAGTGTGATGCCACTTGACACCGGGAGGGCCACAAAGGCAAAAGGGGCTGCAAAGTCTCCGGCCCAGCCCTGCAAGCCTTCTGGCAGCTGCAGGCCTCGAAAAGATGAATTGCGCAGAGACGATGTCTCACGCCACTGGCACGATTGCCCCATGCGTGCCTACATGCCTTGCAGCGGCCCGCCGCAACTTCCAGACAGAGCGGTGAACCTCAGGCAAGCTCGTGGATAGCAGCTGTGGAGTTGGAGCGAGTTGAGTACGCCATGTGGTGCCTTCGTGTGGACTGTGCACATCACGAGCTCGCGGTGTAGATGATACGTACATAGTATGTGTTCTCACCCAGTGCCTCGAAATCGTGGGTCCGCGGGAGCTTCGTTGCGATGAAGGCGTTCAGCTCGGGGTTGTCTAGGATGTCTGCAGGAATGCGTCGGCTCGCCTCACTTGGCAAGCAAACGTTAGAACATAGTCGTATAGCCCTTACATTCCAGCCCAAAGAACGCGTAGGCTACCAAAAGGGGCATGACTTAATGTTAAGCACTTCGTCAATCTCTCGAAACCAAAGGCCGAGCACCTGACAAACACCCAGCCCCTGGGGAGCCGGCGCTTGTCCTCGATCTGAACGGGGAGGCCACTGCCACAGGCTCCGGCTCTGCATGCACTTCTCGCCTGTGCCGCGCAGAGCGCAGGTCTTCCATGGTCTTCCATGGTAATCTAGGTTTTCCGTTCCTATTAGCGACGGCACTGCTGAAGGGAACTCACTGGTTCAGAAAAATAAGGGGCTCGGCGGAGAGCTGATACCCAACAATGCGGGGCTGTACTTCTTAAAAGTGGGGGCCTCAATTTTAAGAAACCCAGGGAACCCTGACATGGAAAATATCGGATTAAATATCGCTCTCGTATCCAGCGCTGTCGCTGCATCCTTGCTCACACCAGCTTCTACGGCTAAGGATCCCGCTGCTCGCTGAGAGTTGGCACATCCGGTGTAGCTTTTCGGACTTCGGGTGTGAGCGACACGCTCACGCAACCGGCCTGTCATGTGTCAACGACTTCATCCAAGCTAACTGCAGAACGCTAACATCAAGCTAACTGCAGGCTTGGCAGAGGTGCCTGGCTCTCGACTGCGCTGCCAGCTAGAAGGTCCCAAACTTCTTCCTCTTCGTCACCTGCCGTAACTGGCCCTACACGACACGACGCGCGTGGGGTCAGCATGCTTGACAAAACTTTTCCAACACGGTCATGCCAGCTAGCCAACCTAGTGGTGCCATGATGCAGACTGACAGAAAGATGCATCGCTGACATCTGCTCGTTTGTCAACTTCGTGCTGACGGCAAGGTCGTGTGCCGGTGAAGTAGAATCGTTTACGTGCAATGCCGGGGCTGTTGCGATCAACTTCGGATATGTTCATAGCTTGACCCCATCACAAAGCGCGAGGTTCACAAGACTCACTGTCCGATCAGCAAGCTCCACAGGCGCTACCCCCGCTTTTCGTTCGCTTCTGGTTCTGAATTCGACTAACATGGGGTCCGAGACAGCTGAGCATTGCAATTACTTGCTTGTCACAACTTGACACATGCCAGTATTACAAAGCTGAAGCTAAGCGACCATAAAGAAGCGAAGGCAAGCACAACACCTAAACTTCGTAGCTGCCAATGATTGCCAATGCCAGCCTCTGCGCAAGCACTTTGTGCAGAGCAGACGAGTGGTTGGGGCGAATCATGGTCCTCGGGTCCTTCAGACGCAAGGACGCAACAAAGAAAGAAGCGGTCACTGTCTTCGGCAGTCTGCGAAGACTGAGAGCCTCAGCACCATCATGCAGGATTGAGAGGCTCAGTGCAGCGAGATGAGGTGATTGCGCACATGTGTCAGTCACAAACCATCTCCAGCCACCGGGTCTATGACTATGTGACTGACAGCCATCGGCTATCGAAAGTAGGCGGCATCTTCGTCGCCTGATCAAGGCATGAGAGCATGCATTCGGGCACAACAGAACTCCCTGCGTGCTGAGTGCCCCACTCCAGTGCACGCGAATGTGCATGTGCGATCCAAAGCGGGAAGGCTGCTCAACCTTGAGTTTGCAATGGATCTGAAAGCACAGAAGGCACCCATCCTTGATCAATTGCTTGCTGCTTTGCTTCATACTTCATCAGCGCATCCTTGAGCCAAGTCAGCCCCACACCCATTGAGTCGGCGCTTGGGCTTTGCACCTGCGCCACATTGCACCAAGAAATTCAACGGCTACGGCTCAATAGGTCACCACGTGTTAGGTGCGCACCACTCAATCTTTCGGAAGCCGATGCTGGTCAACTTCCTGTCTTCTGCCATCAGCTTTGCCTGGCATGTTTGTCAAGATTCAAGTTGAGTCGCGAGAGAGGCCAAGCAATGCCAAATGCATGCCGATCCTAGTGATGCACTTTATGCACTGGTCTGCGAAATGTGATCACGAGGGATATCACTTGAACTGCGCACAACATTTTGAGACACCGGCGATGATCGCCAGAACGTCATCCATGTCCTCATCGCTACCGGCAATCCCGGCAGGAACGACGGTGCCCCAAGTCCTGGCACGGAACTGTTGCAGATGCTGGGCGCATCTCACGAGGTTGGGAGCTGCTCCGCTTTGACATGCTTGCTTAGGTCCGGGCAGCTGCCGGCGCCCAAGCTCATGGGCTGTTCCACACGCCGCTTTCAGATCTGCCAGGAGGCTCACGGCCAGAACCTGTGCGCATTCAGCATGGAGCTCGAGTCTTGAGTGCTGACAGCTGCCTGACAGCTGTCAAAAGTGCCTGGAGATTCTCTGCCCTTTGGGATGCTTTACGTTCTGCCAGGGTTACGACCTCGGCCGAATTTATCAATGAGGAGGGGGGGCATGTAGGCAGACAATGGAGACAATGGAGGCAATGGAACTCCTTTTGAAGCTGAGATTGGGGCCATGTTGACAACCGCTTCGAGGCCTGGACATAATGGACTACAGAAAGCGTTAACTCGTCAATCTCAGCCATGGCAGGCTAGTTGTGCCTGTTCCCAAACCAGCCCTATACTTCCCTTATACACAACCCTGAGTTGTTTCCTGAGGAGGATCTTTAGATAAACCCCCTACATACCCCTACATATCACAAGTTTTGAATAAACACAACAACATGACACTCACCGAGCACTGTACCGTGGCCAGGAGAGCGTCGCTCGCAGAAATCTAGCTCCGTCGGTATACAAACTGCAAACCGCAACACGAAGTCCGAAGGGGTTATCAGGGGTGTTTATCAGGCTGGGCAACCTGGGGTACACAGTGATCGCTGCCGTTGTCGCATTGTCGCATCTCGTGTATGTCATCTATGCGAAGCCGAAGATGGCAGCAGCATGCACCATGCTCAGGCACCTCAGGCACCTGGACTCACCTCCTACGTCCTGCCCCCTACATGCTTGGAATATTTTGGAATTGAATGCTCTGGGATCCGTGTTGACGGACTAGCACCTAAACATCAAGAAGCCCAGTACTCTGCGAGCCTCTTCTGAAACAGCAAACAGAAGCATTTCCGAGAGCCGTTCTAGAAGTTCTACAGTTCCACAGCTGGAAGTCAGCGCAAATGTTCGACTCGATGACTTCGCAAAGCTCAGCACGACGAACACCCTAAGCTTCCAGCTTCCATGCTCAACCCCGAGTTCAACGAGCTCAACCCTTGGGAGCTGCTTCTGAAAATGTGCCCCTGCCACAACTTCGGAATGCCTCACTTTCCGCATAGGTCCGCCCTTCTTGCTCGCGCGGCTTTCTTAGTCTAGGGATAGTGGGCATGTCAGATGCCAGCCCAATTCGAGCTGCAACTATGCAACATTCTCAGATTCTGATCACCTTAATATGTTTCACTAAGAAGCACCAGGTCCAACGTGTTGACGTGATTGTAGGGGACATTGACAGCCATGCCCAGGCTGGTGCGAGCCCTGGGTTTTTGTGCCTTCGAAAGATTTCCAAAGCTTTGTTTGCGCTACAAGCAGACGAGCTTATGTGAGTTGTCTGAATCCTTCTTAATCTCCTGTGAAAAACCAGAGCTCTGTGGTGACACGATCGCGTGCTCGCAAAGCTCGCACCTACAATTGCTGAAGCTCTGCAAGCACAGACTGCCTAAGTTCGGATACTCCTCGAAGCTGGCAAGTGAATTCGAGGAAAACTTCACTGGCGATAGGAAGCTCCAAGAGGAGTTTGGAACTGCTTCGCGGTATGATCAAAGATCAAATCATGTCGACAGGTCTGTTGAGCACGACTAGCGACTTGAGTTCACCATCTTCACCCCTCAGAACGACATGAAACCTTACATGCTTTCCAGGAGGGAGTTCAAAGCCTTGGCAAGCACTGCCCATGAATGACTCCATGTATCTCCACATGACTCCATGTCACAAATCTGGGCTTTAATGACGAATCCTTTATGCAAGGTCTGCAAGGTCCCGGCAGTGGTCTCGTCGTAGCCATGCTTCTCAAGAGCGGACCTTCAGAGAACTTCACAAATCCGTGCAGCATCCCAGGCGCGGTGTTTTTGAGGCTTGCGGCTCAGGTTCACTGAGGTCTCTGCTTGGCCTGCTCCTGCGTAAATCCCATGTCGACGATCTTCTGCACCTGCAAGGAGCCAAGGGCTGCAAATGTGTAACCGGGTCTGTCTTGTCACCGGCCACTGCCTTCTCATCATTGGAAGACTTCTGCTCGCAGGCGAACGTCTCCGTCCAGTATTTGGCAGTCTGTCCAAAGCCCCATGTGCCGCTCCCGCCCGGTCCCAGCTCGCATGCTCTGCTTGACATGCATTAACACGCCTGCCTGCACAAAAAGTTCTCGGTTGTGCTTGTACATCTCTGCAACCTGACGCTGCTTCGCACAGTTTGTGATTGGCACTTGCCTGACACGTGAATGAGCCTGCGCCTACGCCTACGTTACCTGCGTTTGGCCTTGTCCAAAAGTTGCTTGGGGATCCCAATGCCAATATCCAAAGCTTGTGGCCTCTGCGTCTTGAGGGTCATCCGGCTCCGGAGAAGAAAGCAATGCCTCACAGACTCACGGACACACGCAACTCGTGGTCGTAGCCGCTTCGACATATTACTGCAAGAGCGACAGAAGCACTTACGCCGCGAGCACAACTCCAGACAAATCAGTTCACAAGAACAGCGCCTGAATTGATAACAGCGCTGTTCGAATTGTCAGTGCAGGGCTCCACTCCTGCAAGGCTTGTCATAGCTGACAACACGCCAGCAAGCGAGCTGCTTCAAGCTACAGCCATGGCACAAACCTCACTGCATGAACATGCACTAGTTTCGACATGTACAGCTGGCCAGCTGGCGAACTGGCTATTCGATGCACTTCCGCAAAGGCCTTGCCAAGCACGTCGAGGCAAATGGCCCCAGTCTGCCAAAGGAGTTGGACGAGTTAACTTCCACATTCCACTCCCCAGTGCATGCACAAAGTGTCCATGACATGCATTGCGTGCGACTCGGATTCCTTTTCTTGCGTGGTTGCCACTTTGTGGCAGCGACAGCAAGTCCTATTGACTTTGGCTTAATCGATCACAAGTCAACGAATAAATGTGCCTCGCACAGAAGGCACGCGTTAAATGTCCTACCCTGGCAACGGCAAGCCACAAGGCCAGGGAAGCGTGACCTGCTGCTCATTGCTGCTCTTGTCTCGGGCCCAAAGTCAGAAAGTTGGAGTTTCCCGCGAGACTTCCCGCTGGTCCAATCACACCTAAGGGCAGAACTCATGGTCAACCAGCAGAGGCAAGACCGTGCACTTGCAAAGCTCACGACCACCTGTCCATCGAAAAGAAGACGCGGAGAAAGCTCCACCTGCCAACATCTGCCAACATCTGCCAGCATCTGCCAGCATCTGCCAGCAGTGTCTTCGTGATTCCCCGCGAAGCCCACGAAGCAGCAGGGACTGGCCACTGGCCAGGGACTTCCGCACCTCGCTGTCCTCCAACAAGCCCACAGCTTGGTTTACGAAGGCGACGCCACCGTGAACCTGCTCAGAATGGAACTTTGTACACTCTTTGTACTGTAGACAGTTGTAGGACCTTTTGTAGGACATTTGTAGACACTCGCAGGCCCGGCTTCCAGCTCCAAGTCTGATAAGACTCAACAGAACCTTACATGGTCAACTGGAGCGGCCGAACCTGAGATGTTCGGATGGAGGAATGGCCATACGCCTGCCGAAGCTTCTGAAGCCATGACAACAGCCCTACCTCAAGCAGTCAGCGCTGGGGAGCTGGCGTGAGCAGCACTTCGCACGCGTCGCAACTGGTCCTTCGAACGCAAAGTGGACTTGAGGTGCACTTAAAAATGCAAACAAAAGACCAAGCAGCCTCGATCTCTTCACAGCCCATAGCTTGAGCCTGCTTGCCTGGCAGACATCTGGATCTACGCAGCAATGCAAATGGTCGTCTGTTTTGTCTTCCTTTTTAAGGGCATGCCTTGGAGATGTTCTGGGAAAGAGCTCACAATAGCTCACAAAAAGCGCGTAGATTGCCAACGAGAAAAACTGCTGAATCATAACACATACGTATTGGAGCACTGACGGGAAACGCTCCAATGGCAATTGCTAGTGGCAACTCCTCATTGCCAGTACAAACAAAGCGATACCTGCAAGTTGAATGAAAATGAGAACAGCGAGAGCAGTAGGCGTGGGCCACAGCAGCCCAAATGAAGCGATGTATTTCATTCTTGTACGCTGCTTTGTACGCTTGCCTGGCTACTGCCGGGCTGCTTCAAACGCCCTGGCGGGTTCATCGTGTTTAAGATTCTCGGGACGCCGCCTTGCTGGACGGTTCGTTTAATCTTTCTCCTAGAGAAAAATTACCCCACTCCCCACCACCAGCGAAATCCGGAAAATACCGAGACACCCTGTCCGCGCAACTGCTTCAGAAATCATGCTACTGCTCTGCTGGCTCGCTGATTAAGGCGGATGGATGCATGACCAAATTCCAGCTGGACACCTTGTCCGTCGAAAGGCAGCGTAGTCAGTGGGACGAAATGGGAGAATGTCAGGACCTCGGCGTCAGCGACCCATCTAAGCCTCTGCCTATGTGAGTACGCCGCAGACGCATAGCACTTGGATCTCGGCAGTGCCGGGTAAAGGCCCTGCAAGGAAGGCCTTTGCAGATTCAGCTGAATTCGAGCATGCTCTTCATAGGCCAATGGAACTCGACAGATTGGGCTACTCGGGCTCAGAACCTCATTCAGCTTCAGCATCCACCTGTAACATGCAAGGTGCAAAGATGTGCACCATGCTGGAACGCTACAGCTGTCCAGGACTCAGGTGCGGACTTCCACAGCTGGTTGGGATCGAGCGGCCAAACCTGTTATCAGATGTTCATAACCCTGATTCATGAAAGGCAAGAGCTTCAAATCTGCCGCATTGTGAGGCGCTGGCACACTGAGAATCGAAGCCGTGGTTGGGATCTGGACCTGAATAGAGAACGCAGATTGACATATGCAACCCTCTGCACAGGTATCTACTTCGACCACTGCCTCCAAGAAGGAAAACGCCTGAGTCTGCAGCGGCTTTTCTTGTCAAACTCAGCATTGTACCAGGAGTAGAGCGGCACCACATAGACGTCCTGCTCCATATTCAGTGGTGTCAATGCGCTTCATGCTGCGGGGCAAACTCTCCTGGCAGACGGCTGCAGGAAACATGTCCACCTTGGCATGGCCACTGCTGGTAGCAGCCGTGAGAAGAGGAGCGGCTACAGGTAATCATGCGGCGAATCTGGGTGCAGCACCCCAATTTGGTCACACGCCCCCAACAAGCCCAGCAACTTGGCAATGGAATCCGGGAATCGAGCCGTTCGCACCTAAAGCTGTGGGGCTGCTGCGCCGATCTTCGCAGATTCCTCCCTTTTTGTGCTCAGCCCCTTATGTCCTGCCTCGCTCGCGTTGAGAGCAAGATCTCGGTTGCCCGGCACATAGAAAAGACGGCGGAACTTCGACCTTAGAACCTTAGACATCACTGAATCACGGAACTTGCGGAGGGGTCCATGATGGTCCATGTGCTCGCACACATGGTGCCTTCAGTCCCCGGATGATGCTTTGTAGCGTTTCGGCCTCGGCGAGCGAACGCTTGTTGCAGCGCTTTGCAGCAGGGGGCTTCAAGCCTAACGTGTAAAACTAACTTACAGTTCTTCATCCATTGCTGCGACACTTTCAAACATCGACTGGGCCCCTGTGCAACATTGCCAGCAACGATCAGGACGTCGTCCTCTAAACCATGCAAAGATAGAAGACATCATTTCACTATGCCGCGTGCAGAAATGGCGCAAGGCCTGGAACTTCGCATCGTCCAGGGCATTGCACCACCTTCGGCCCACAACCGGCTAACGTCTGCCAGGGATTACAGCACTTGGGGATCTCGACTCTGCATTGCTCTTGGTGTCGAAGTGCAAGTCCGAGAGAACCCAGACCTTCCGACAGGATCCCCCAAGGGATCACGAATGAAGCACAAGGCAAAGTCGAAGGGCAAAGAAGAGCAAAGAAGAGCAAAGTCAAAGAGCAGAGCCAGGAAGAGCAAGGGTAGAGCAAGGCAATTATATAGAACAACTGTGGCAGGTGCCAAGGCAAGGCTCTAAGTAAAAGTAAGTAGCGCCTTTGTCGAGGCTCTTGGACGAACACGGTCTTTCTCCAATCGAAGGCGTTGCTCTGCCTGGGGAAGCGGCGTGTCACGCCCATCCCTTCCAAGGACTGAGGTTGCATGCTCCAGCGGCCGGGAACCAACAATTTGGTTAAAGCATGTGGCATTTGGTATGAGTTTTTGTGATGTGGCATTAGATTAAAACCAGACCAAGCGCCGAACCCTTCGGTGCCTCCATTTAGGGATTGCCGTCAGGCAGGCCTGAACAGGGCTGTCCCCAAGGAACGTCAACGCGATGAGAAAGGTCCACAGGCAGCTCGCCAGCTCAGCACCAGCCCTATCAGCATCAGCCTCCAGCCCTTGCCTAGCCACAGCGCTGTGGCTATCCAATGCCTCAGATCGAGAACATCAACACATCAAAACATGGGTGACGGTTGAGTCGGAAAAACGAGTCGAAAACGGGCTGGGCCGAGTCAGGAAACGAAAAAACGAGTCGAAAAAACGGGCTGCCGTGAGTCAGACCTGAGAGCTAAAACCCTGAAATAGCCTCAAACCCTCAAACCCGAAACCCTATATAAAGCCAAAAACCCTTAAACCCTGATATTGTAAACCCCTAAAACCCTAATTCCCAAACCCTAAAAACCCTACAGCCCTAAAACCCTAAGACCCTAAAACCTTAAAGCGCTTGGGGGAGGGGGCCAAGGCCCGCCGACCATATACATATACATATATACATACATGTACAGATGCGTATGTATCATCTATCCGTATATAGATAATATTTTTTTTTTTTTGGGGGGGGGGGGGGTCTTGTTGCTTTCGAATCGGGGGGCTGCGGCTTTTCCGACTCGACCCTCACTCGGTTTGGTCTCCTGGGAGCCCCGGCCAAAGCCCAAGCAAACTGGACGTAGGCATCCTGATTTCTCGGTAATGAGACTACGTATCACTACATCACTTTTCATCTCCATTCTCTCTTCTGCTTTCTTCTCTCTGATTCTGCAGCTCCTTTCTTTAAGCAGAGAAAAAACCTGGATTAGAGAATGCGTACCCCTGGCACCCCACCCCGAACCTAGCGGCCTGCTTATGCCTGAGAAAAAGAGCCCGGAGAGCCCGAGGCGGGGAATAGGCTCTGCGAGTGCTCTGCGAGTGCTCTGCGAGTGCTCTGCGTGTCCTCCGGCCGACCAGCCCCCAGAAGAGCCACACCGAGGCGGCATCTGGCCTGCGATCTTCCACGCATTTCTACACTCTCAGTTGCTTGTACTGTGCTTAGTTACAACTGTGCGATGCTGTGAGGAGGCCTCTCGGATGTCATGCTCTGAGCTGTGGTGTTAAGTACTACGTTCAGCGGGGCCGCCCTTCCGAACGTGACAGGAACCTGGGAACTTTAAGACACTTTAAGAGTGTCCAACCGTCCAACCTACACGACAGCTTGAAAGGCCTTGCAGGGCCTTGCCCGTTGTCTGGATTCATGCTTATATCCTGCCCTGGCCGCTGGTCACTAGGCTCACTAGACCCGAAGTCCAGCATGGCCGGAACAGCCCCTGCCCGTCCTTGGGCCATTCGCGCTGCAACTGGGTGGCCATCTGCGCATCTTGTACAGCCTGCGATAAAGCCTACTCCAGCAATGCACAATTCGGGCGTGATCGCAACTTGTCATCAGGTTAAACAGTTAAATAAACCAAGTGAAGTCCCAGGCCGCATCCCAGAACCTCATGTGGCAAAGCCTCGGATGTTCTGCGCACCACCTTTAGCTCAAACCAGGAACGAGAGGAACGAGCTGTGGCTGAGAATTCGGCGATGCAGCCCTGTTTGCGTACAGCGCCTGACAAGCTTAGGGAAAGCAGAACTTCGCGGTTCATTTAAAGTTCCAGAAGGGAGCAAAATTGCTTGCACGTGCTTGCATTACCCGTCTTACAGTAGTACTCGGATTGATGCTCAGCCGAGCAAAGGCGCAGCTAAGGCAGAGCACCGCCAAGCCAAAAACGTCCTCAGAAGACGTGGCCTGCAGGCTTCGGGCATCTTCGGGCACTCAGAAACACGCTCAGGATCTCACATAAAGGTCTCTGAGCTGTTCTGCCTGCTGGACTTTCCTTGTAGCTTCCCGGAAGCTCTCCTCGGCATTGATGCGGCTCTCCGCATCCCGGAGCTCCTCACTCAGGGGACTTCCGGCAATGAAGCTGAAGATCGAGAGTCTTTTGAGAACATTCAAATCCACTACTCTGGCACTCTCTCTTGCACTAAACCCAGATATCACAACAGCCGCGCTCCTCTTCCTTTCTTGCGAAGGCCTCACGTCGAAAGGTGCAAGTAACGAGTGACACGTCCTGTGCCATCTGATATCTCAAAGGCGGACCTCCATCTCTGCAATCGGTAGTTTAGCCTCAGGGCCCAACAGATGTGCGATCAGAGAACCGGTCGAGATAGGGGTGTTTCTAGAGACGGTTCATTCGAAAACATGAGCAACCATTCTCCGACGAGTCACTGGATGCGTGGCCAGCGCTATGGTGTAGCCCGCGACTGCCTGACCTGTGGCATGACGTCCACACTGTCCACACTGTAACACTATAAGAGGCCCACCACTGAATCCTGACAGGTTGAAAAAACAAACCGGGCTCGAAGCCGAAGTTCTTGGAGCCCCAGGATGTATTGCCATGGGCGTACTCCTGGCTGCAGTCGTTCTTTGGTCAGGGGGAAAAGATGCTTTCCGGCATTGCGTAACCGTCCTCCGGCTGTTTGCCTGAGAAGAACTCCATTGCGACCTGTATGCACGGTCACATGAACCCAAGGGGCAGGTCAACACAAGGGCACGGGTATGCCAGCAATGCTCGAACTGTAGCCGCTGTAGCCATGTGGGGCTCCGGACTTGGGCCAATCCCTGGAGATTGTCCCGAGAAGGGTCAAGCCTGGAAGTGTGTGACAATGCATGCTACCTGCTGCCAGAATGCCAGCATCTGCTGCTGTTGTCGCTTTCGCTTAGGTACTGGCTCGACCGCTTGTCGGTAGGCGTGAAATGCCTCCTCCAAGTAGTCCTTCGGCAGCGTGCTCAGAGATCAGATCTCACGGTCTGCTGCCCTGCCGGAAAACTCACCCAAAATCAACGTCGGCTAGACCCAGGCCAAGGGCCACGGAACACTTTCCGTAGGCAAACTTCAGCAAACCTCATGCAGTACCAGGCAGCGTATCCTGCCCGAGGTTCTGGGCGGCAAACCCGACTCTTGCCCAAGTCCTGAACTCACAGAGGCAAGCGCAGCACAAGCCCAAGCAGATGGCCATGATGGCAAAGTGTCACCCCACAGCCAGGAGCTGGACCTCCCCCAATCAGGTCGAAGAGCCTGATGCATGCAGGCACGGCCTAAGACCATCTGCACGAACCAGTGCTTACACAATATCCGTGAATGGTGCGGCGATTTCCTTGGCAGCTCGGGCGTCTTCAAGAGATCCCAAAAAATCACCCACCTTAGTTCGGTCTTAGTCTTGGGAGTTGGGCCATGATTTGCATGATGCCATGATTCGACTCTCGAGGCCCCACCTTGGCAAAACATGCAGCTCGGTTGGACAGGGCCACGGCCTACGGGTTCAAGGACGAATTCTCGCATGCGAACCATTACGAACCCTATAGTAAACACCCCCCCTTCTGGAATAAATGTGGGCTTCGCACGGGCTGCATTTTGAGAAGGTACAGGAAGGGGCTCTTACTTTGGCTCACTATGCTGTAGGCAGTGGCATCCTGCTCAGGATGCTCGCCCACATCCACCATCCACCTTCCAACAAGGTTGCTTTCAACAGCGCAGACCCTGCGGAAAATTTGGGTGAGCAATGGTTGCGTCTAAGCAGAGCATCGCATGACCTTGTGTAGTAGTGAGCTGCCAGCCAGAAGTCACTTCGCCTCGCGCGTCTCAGAATCTGGAGCATTGCTTCCCCAAGCGTCAAAAAGTCGCTTAAGGCCCAGAAGGCCTGAAGGAGTCCGCTCCCAGTCTCCTCCATGGCGCACTTCCGGTGGCCTCGCTGGCCTGACACCGGATCCGGTTGTGCAGAGTGGCTCCACGGCTCCATGGGATGATTTCTATTAGCACTGGCTGAACCCCGGCAGTTGCTCAGCTTCCCACGGCTGCTGTCGCGGCGGCTGCGAAGTCGGCAATGCAAAGTGGCTTGTGCGATCTGGCCTAACATTGGTCACATGCGTCACATTCGTGCTTCATTTTGGCGAGACATGTTCGTTTTTGACTTACTTCCCTTTGCCTTTCGAGTTCATTGTGTTGCACACGTCTTCTCTTGGAGATGATTCCGTTCTGTTTGCACTTGCTGCCTACACCTCTCAGATCCTCTCAGGCTTCTCGTCTCTTGAGGATATGAGGGTTTGTAAAGCTTCGGGAACGCCACACGACGCTTCCCACTTCTTTCAGGACATGTTCCTTGCAGATCCCGTGCGGCATGTCGGATTGCCCCCTCCTTGCGGTTTTGTCGGATTTGAGTTTCGATGTCCATTGAAACGGTCTATAGGGTTGCTGGCTCCAGTTACGGTTCAGGTTGTGCCACGGACGAAATTTCAGAAGACAGTCTCCCTAAAGAAAAACCTATTAGAATTGGAAGCACACGCGAACCAAAAGCAGGACGACTCTGCAAACCAACCGACACTGGAATTCCTCTTTCGACTGCGGTTTTCAGGGGAAAATATTCGGAGAAATCGAACAACAAGACGAAAGCAAGAGCTACAGGCACAATCACAACTTTGTCCGCCTAAAGATCACTGAAGATCCAGGAATACTTCCACGCTTGGTAATGTGACAGGAGGGTAGCGGAAGCAACTTGGCTGCTGGCCGCGGGCATCAGCTGAAAGATGCTCGCCCTCAGTGCAAGATGCGAAAATGCAGCATTCCGACATGCTTCGGCAAGTTCCGAAAGCACGTCTTTCGCCAAGGCGCTCCAGCACGGGTAAGAGGGTCTCTTCCAGCTGCTTCCAATCAGCTTCGGCCTCGAAGTTTGAGAGTTGAGATTCTCTCGAGGGAGGGCAAAACAGGTTTCGTTCAAAGATCGCGGAGAAACTGCAACACAAATAACACGACAACATCCAACGCCTCTGGCGCGGCACAAGCTGCAGATGCGAGACCTGGGCACTTGCTGCGACTTTTAACATAGAGCTGTCGCTGAGCATATTGTCGTGCCCGCAGTATCGGATGAGGTACACGACAGAATGAGGTCTACAACGGAGGCTTCAGTATTGGTATGTCTGTAAGCATTCGGTGGTATGGCAACATGTAACACAATTTCAAAATGTCAACATGTTCAACCAAATGAAGGAAAATTGGCATTGGGACTGTGTAAAGCACAAAGTGCAAAGCACGTAGTGTAAGGTCTTGGCACACGGCGAAGACTGGCAAAATGTTTGCGCCTGAGCCGAGATCTCAACTCTCAAAGCTAGTCCCAGGAACGCGCGCAGACCTTCATTCCTTAGTGGACCTATATGAGGTCTTCTGTATACCTACGCCTTACTCCTACTTACGACGCCCCCCCCCCTTAATTTCCTGGGTTTAACAGGCCAGGAGAAATGCATAACGGACCCTAATGACATGTGATCGATTATTGCCTTTGTGCTCTTCGGTCGCTTGTAATCACAGAAAAAGCCGATCCCCGCATGGGCCTTTCAGGAGTGAGTTGGGAAGAGCACCTAATAACGGAACGACGAGCTACGATGCCTGAGTTGGCCAAAAAAGAGTTGGTGACAAAGTGTGAATCTCTATGAGAAGTTTCTTGGGGACGTGGCCTGCGGCGGGGATCTGCTAAGGCCCGGAGAAATGTAAGCTCGCCCCCCCCCCCCCCCCATACATTCCGTAATTTCCTAGAAACCCAGGGGCTGCCTCCTGCAATTCATGGAGCTGCATCGGGAGCCGCAGAATGTATGACGGACCCCCCCCCGCCCATACATTCCCCACCTCCCTACGACAATGTTGGGGATGTACCTCAAGAGACCAAGGCCTGGAGCCTGGAGCTGAGATCCAATGAGACTGTCTGCTCGTGTTGCCCGTATCTACCCACCAAGCTAGGCATGTACCTCCCGTAGTAACATGAATTCGGCCCGGCAATGTCACAGCTTGAATCCATGCAATGTCGGCACCTCAGACCTCACTATACCGACCCCCCCCGTCATACATTTTTGCCTTGGTGGCCCAATTTTCCCCCTAAGTACACCCCCCCCCCCGTCATGCATTAGTTAGGCGTGGGGATTCTTCTGTGGTGTTATGTCGTCATGGCGGCTCATGAATCAACTCATTGCCTCGATCCCACTCTTGTGCCACCTCCTCCAGGTTGGAATAGAATGTCAAGCCTAGATTGCGCCACTGCCAGCTGCCACATCACTGCTCACATATCGCTCAAGATGCGGGTGCCAGGGGGGCCATCTTGGGCACAGGCTGCTGTGTGGCTTGGTGAAGAGCGGCATTACCTTCAGAAGCACGGTCGGAGTTTTCGATGAGTTTCTCAGCTTCTGTGACTCTGTTGTGTACCTCTTGTGCGTACTCTCTGGGTGCCTCACCTCGCCGAGAGGACGAAGGAACACCTCCTCTTTGCTGGGCCTCTGTCAGTCTCTTTGTGATAACAAACGTCTCTGTATGTTTGTCTGTCTTCTATGTGAGACCCAATACATGCGGCAACGAAGTCGTCCCAGCATGTGGTGCTGAGATCCTGACAGCTGCTTGGACCTCAAGCTGAACACTCAAAGAGGCGGTGGTACATTGACGATGACAATAATATATATATGTATATATATATATATGTATTTCTTTATTCATCTATTTATGTTTTTTATGTATATTTATATTTACTTATCTATGTATTTATGTGTGTGCACAGCTGTGCACAAGTACTCAACCATTCTTGGGTTTGAGAAGCAGGAAAGGGGTACGCGGGCATACCCTTGTACAGAGATGGCAAGTCAGGGACACCGCCGCCGGTGCTGAAACAACTAACCCTTTAAAGCCTGCACGACCACGGAGGAACATGGGGCGGGGGGGTCTTGAAACATGCGTCGTCAAGTTTCAGTAGTGTGAATGTTTTTGGACAGGGTAGGGTGATGATACTGGTCCAGACCCAGCTCTTTGTTCGGTTCAGCCTCGGCAGGATTTCTCTGCATTTGCGACATTCATATTCGGACACCCGCCACACCTTCATCGCGTGGCGTGGTCCAGTAATTCACGACATTCCGTTTTGAACTTCTCAACGTCGGCACAGGTTCCTTCAGGCTCCCCCATCGCGCCCTCTGCTTCTGCGTTAACTGATATGCTCTCAGCAAAGAGGGAGACTCGCCCATCTCACAAATTTGTTGCTCAAGGCCAAGTTGCCGCCACCCAGCTGGGTTGCCAGGCTGGGACTTGGCTGAGATGTTCTCCCAAGGCTCGGGCCTACGCCCATCTCCTTGCCGGCTGCCTGCATTTGTTGCACCCACATGGTGAGGTCTGAGTCTGAGCTCGAGTAGCCGGAAAAAATGCTGTCCTTCCTGACTTTGCCGTTAGCAATGGGCAGCGTTCGCAGCGCAACCCACTGCGCAGAAGACAGAATTGAATCCGCAGAGAGCTCGTGGTGTGTGGTTTGCGGTGTTTTGTTTGTGTGTTGTTGCGTGTTGCGTGGTGCGTCTGTGTGTCTCCGTGTGCCTGAACCCTGCGTCAAAACAAAGATGGAGTCATGGTAGTTTGGAGAGTTTCTGTTCTGTCGCTGGGCTTGAAACCTGTGGCAGAGTGCCGCCGACACCTGACTGAAGCCCTGGCCTTCTATCTACAATGTGGTCTTGAGTCAATGGTCCTTCGCTTCTGCATATGTCTACGACTCTACGAATTCTGTTATTCTGTTTCGCGGTTTGATGGCCATTTCTCGGCAGGCTTGACCCTACCTGCTCCCTAACCTCCAATCTGCGAGCTGCACAAGCCCTGCTGCACTCGACGTTTACGTCTACGTTGTCTGTAAGTTTACAAGTCTGGGGATCTTGCAGCCTAAGTCAGGAGCAAGTGACGTAAAAACGGGCCCAAGGATTCAAGCCGATCAAGAAGATGCACTCCGTTGAATCATGCCCCGCCTTGCACTCGTTGCCCGCAGTGGAAGTTCATGGCATCACTACCCGTGCTTGCTGATCCCAGCTTGTGCCTGTCAAGCGCACTGCCAACATAGCGCAGCACGTGGCAACTTGAACCCAGGATGTGCCATGGCCTTTCCAGGAATTCCGGAAGACTCGGCAAGCTGGCACCAAGCCCAAACTGCAGCAGCTTCACCTCTCTTCCACATCATCATGACTCATCGATTCATATCGCTTCTCGGTTTCGGGAGCCTTTCGTAGGTACAAATGAGAACTCTCTTAGCTTAGATCCCGGCAGATTTTGCAATTAAAGCCCACTCACCAGGGATCGCTTGCAGCGCGGATCCAATCTCGGCAAGGGTCATTGCATGGCAGATGTGGCGTATTTTCACTTGGTGTCTGGGCCTCCTGCAGCCCTCCGGATGGATTCTGGATCTGTAGCTACTTGAGCTTCGCTCGCGACTGGCGCCAATCTCGCCCAACGAGACTCGCCTCCAGTTGTGAAGCCCAGAAAACGACTGACACAGACACAAACTAAACGAACTTTCGACGGCCAGAGCTTGAATTGAGGCCACGACTATCCATGCCATCTGTCAGAGCCTTGTAACTTTCGTCACCCTCTTTCAACGGAAACTCTCTGCAGGGTCACCGCGCACTCGACGCGCTCACGTCTTTGATTCTGAGCCCAGCCTCGCTGGCAGCAAGCATGTCCTGGCAGAGTGCCGGGGCATGTGTGCGCCAAAGCAGCTGACATAGATACTTCGCAGTCACAGACACTGGGAACCAAGAGCACACACTTTCCGGTGCAGGGGGGGACAAGGGTGCTCAGATCCATTGTTTACTTGATCACCTCCGTTGAATATAGTTCCCTGTCACCGGGCATTGGCACATAGGCTTACACAGTCAGCGTTATTCTTTGATGCTGTTGCGGCATGTTGCAAGCCAACCACTTCACCGCGGCTCTCCTTCAGAAACCGCCTTGCCTTCTCTGGTGAGAAGGCTTGCGGGGTCTCAGGAGCCCCTCATGCAGAAAGCAGAACTGAAGCTGATCATCCTGCACTAGTGCTGCTGAACCACACTAAGCCTCTGACTGAAACAGCATGTAACTCTGAAGCACCCGTCATCATCCATGCCCTCTCCACGCACGGCAATCTGCAACCTCAGACTCGCGTGCAGCCTCGAGCATCTTGAAGCCATCGACTGGCTGCGTGAGCCCAGAACCGCGCTTCGGAGGAAGGCGGGAGGCTCCTGTCACCACAAGGGTGGAATCGACACCGACGCAATCAGACCTTCACATAGCTTCAGACACTGTGTATGTTCACAAGGTCTTCTGGCACCTCCAGCTGCTGTGGAATGGGTTCCTTCCCCAAACGAGCAGCCTGCAATCAGCGCAAGCTTCAGTTTTTCGATGTCCTTGGCCCGGTCTGCCACTGGGCCAGCGCTGGCATCCTCAAGCTTAACTTCTGCCTCCGCCCTCGAAGCCCAGGCACTTGAGCGGTAAAGTACGCCTCCGAACTGAAGTAGGCACGATTGCGCTGTAGACTGGCATGCCACATAACTGCTGTGCCTTCGCCAACGATCCAGCGGAAAGCTGAATGTCCTTGCCCAGGCCATACTGCCCAGGTCTTCGATTTGTGTTGCAACTAGCCTGGCCTCTTTTCTCACAAGGTCACGTTCTCGCCTGGTAACCACCCCGTGTGGTCGAGCGGTGACACCTTGATGAGATGGAGGATGTGGGCAGCTCAGTGACAATGAAACGCAGCAACTCCATGAACGAACCTGTAAGCCTGCCACAGAACTTTACAGTGTCCGGTCTTGTGTCGGGGTTGTGATCCCCTTGCTCCTCTTGCTTTGCAGCGACGGCCCAGCAAGGGCTGGATTACAAGAGTCACTCGTGAAGACTCTGCGAAGGCACGGCACTCTTGAAAAAAGGGAATCTCCCGAAGCTCCTTGAAGGTCAACTCCAGGGGCTCTCGAGCCCCTCGTGGAACGTGGAATCTGTACACATGCTCCTGCAACAAAAAAAAAAACACCCATGGCAAGGGCGGCAAGGGTTGAGAAGGCGTGGCAACGTGTTGCAACAGCTCCTGGTTGATCATGCCCGCGTAGAAGTCTTTGACGCGTCTCTCCCGGGAAATGGCCTGTAATTTGAAAGTCGGGTGATGTGACCATGATGTAGCAAGTTCTATTTTGGTGTCAAACGTTGTCAGGAAAACTTCCTGGACCAAAAGGAGACAGCAGCAGTTCAGCCCTTAGCCTTGTGGACGCCATAGAAAAATTGCTCGAGCCTGGGCCACTAAAATGGTGTAAGTTATCCTCAGAATCCTCAGCAAAGCAAAGCATTGCTCTGGGTTCCTTGCTCTACTTCGAGCGGAACCTCGACAACTTTACCGGGAGGCCTGTCGCAGGATTTTGTGTTGAGTGCTCGCTCGGCGGCACATGGGATAAGCTGTCCTCTGCATCTCGCTGATGCGCTTCAAGACCTGATGGATCAACACTGAAGGCTCGAATGCACCAGCATCCACAGCGGGCACACCTCCGTGAGGTCCACGTGCTGGGATGAAGGAGCCTTCCAAATACTCTGCAGGTAGTCCGTGCTAAGTTGGTGTCCAGCAGTATTCTAACCGGAGTTGCATGGCCTTCTGCTTGCCACCAACCTCCTACAGCTTTCCTCTATAAAGGCTGCCTTCACCCCGCTGACGACTTCCTTCGCCTTGTCTTGGTCGCGGTCCTGGCAGAGACTCACAGAAAAGTCGCGTCAGTTCTTTCGCATGTTCCGGCCCGCAGCCTTGTCATACTGTCTCCGCGTAGGCTGGTCTCCTGCAAACTTCTGCCGACTTGGATATCCACTTCGGCAAACTCTGGAAGCACCGCCTAGCACCAGGTGAGCGTTCTTCACCGAGATGAAGATTGTCTCATAATCCTCCAGATCAGGCGACGTGCGAGCAGCTGAGAGGGCAGAAGTGTAGCAAGGCATTGCCTAGCCAAAACAAGGGGAACATGCTACAACAGCTGGCAACAGTTCGTGCCGCAGTCTCCGTGAGAATGAGACAAATCCGAGAGAGCCCAGGGTCTGTTGCATAAGCACGTATCAATTCGATCTGCAAATCAAATATGATTTGATAACATTTGATACGATCAGATGGTGACCGCCATGCTCCACATTCGCTCCAATCCTCCTGCTGCTGTGCGGTCATGCCCTTCGTCTTGTCTGGATGATAAACCTCGTCTGCTCGTCTCGTCTGGTCAACGTAAGGCATCTTAAGGCGAAATCCGAGAGCCAAAGGAATCAAAGGCAAAGGGAACCAAGGTTCCAACGAGCGAAAGGCGTTTGTAGGCGCGGTTCACTTCGTCCAGGGGCGCATACTCATCTATCCCCAGAATCTCGCAGCACGCGAATGCCATTCTGCGCATTCGAGACACATCGCTTGCAGCGGGCCTCATAATAGTTGACACTGCGATCATAGTCGTAAGCTTTCGCCGCAGAGAAATCTGCCTGTGGCTAGAAGCGTATGTGTTCGTACATGCGCTGTGGACAATCCTTTGCTAGAGCAAGACCAAAACGCCTCAACAAGCTACTTAGGCATCGGCATCATCCGGCGTGAAGGACTGATCTAGCGTGACCCGCTTCTTGTCCTTTGCTACGAGCACTGCGCACCATGCGCTTTTTGAGGTTGCCATCACAACGCTCACGAGCGCCAGGCACGTTCTTCAGTGTACTCCTTCAGCAGCTCTTCGAGGCGCAGCTGGGCCTGACCCGTACTTGCAACGTGACTGCGCTGACTGGCATCATCTCTACTCTCCCGAGGCCTGAAATGCTTTGCTCTGCTTCAGCTGCTTCCTTCCCACGATGCTTAAACTTGAAAAACAATTCGACTGCTGCTGCTTCGCTGACAGAACTGCAACGCGCTTGGTCGCTTGACTCGCTGAGCTTCGAACTGCTGCTCCTGGGCACAAGGAGCGACGAACCAGTAAACATCACAGAACCCACGGAGCCCCGACGCACCGGTCTTCCATTTGCACTGTTCCATGTGCAGAGCACTTGGCACGGGAGGCCTCTGTGAGTTTCGACGATCCCGCCCGGTCACCGAGGCGAGCAATAGACTCCTGAGTGCCGCAGATGGGCTCTTTTTACGACTTGCTTCGACCATCCAGACCTCAAAGCTAGCCAATGTGCCATCCTCCTTTCGGATAGGCAATTATCGGCAGGATTCTGTCACAGTTGCCTCCATGGATAATTTTTGTGGGATTCTGCGCAGTAGGAGATTCTCCAGAACTCTGGGGGTCAACGCACGAGGCATGCTTCGGCGGGGCGGGACTCTCTGGTAGGAATTCCCAGGGATACTCCACGGAAATCTCTGGAGGCTTGTCCAGGGTTTGACTCTGTGGGGGTTGGGCACGGGACTCTCTGCAGGTGTCTCCGGGGGTCGTCTCCCCTCGCGCTGCAGAATGGTTGACTAAAACCCAACCTAACAACACCACACGAACGGCGGGAAACATGAAAGCTGGCTTCAAAGGAGTTAGATTCCCTGTGTCCTGGGAAAAGCTGAATTCGCCATCGAAGGTTGCAAGAGCCATGTGTCACTTCCTCAGTTTTGGGCTTCGCCTACGAGATACAAGTCATGAACGTTATTGCACTTGAGCACTTGATGAGAGGACGGAATCTGGACAGTGAAAGCATAAAGCAAGTTCACGCACCTTTTGCATTCTGGGCACGTGGCCAGAATATCATGTTTTTGGGTCGTGCAGACGTTCTCAGCTTCTTGCAATGATAGTGGTATGTGTTCCATGCTCTTTGGCGTTTGGCCACGGATGTTGGACTACGAGAAACCAACATTTGAGACGACAACTGCTGGATTTGGCATACTTAAGCCCAAGGTGAACGCAGTCAGACTGGCGCGCGGACCTGCATCAGCTGGCAATCATGGAAAAGGCGAGTATCTCGGAAAACTTTGGAGCAAAGCTCTATAATCATGTTGAGCCACGATGCAAACCCTTATGCCCTTTTGTTCTTTCATGCTTTTTGTCACAATCTTTGTTGCTCTTTCACGCCCTTTCGTGCTCTTTTGCGCTCTTGCAACTCAAAAGTAAGCGTTGCTGCGGCTGCGGGGGGTATGTAGACATGCTCCACCTAGGCCTAGATGCACAATGCTTGAGCCCAAACACATTCAAGGAGCTGGGAAAGAATAACGCGCTGCCGCATCAGAACTCGATTGTGCCAAGCCTGCGAAGATATGTTCGGATGCCAGATCTTGGTGTCAAACTTCATCTTCGGAGGGTTGTACCTGCTCCATGAGCCGTTCAGCTGCTTGGACATGAGATCCGAAAGGGCTGAGGCCCGGGCGGGTATTCTGCTGGAATCTCGATGTCAATGTCGAAAAGTCCACCCGAGTACCTCCATCTCCCAAGGGTCCCGCCATGTCCCGCCGCTCTACGTCGCCACTACGTGGGGCGCACGGGGTCCCTTCAGGGCCTTTTAGCCAAGCCTTCCAATGCGTAAGGTCGTTGTCAACCTGTGGCTCTACGGATGTGCATTCTGAGCAGCGTCACAAGCACAAGATCTCAGCTCCACAAGTTCTCAGGATGATGCCGAGTCAGCAGAGACCTGAGCCTCTTTACCATCTTTAGCAAGAGCGCGGATGTCCTGGCACAAGATGCCTTTGATTGTCGGACATTTCTGTGCTTCCAAAAGTGCCACCACATTCTTGACTTCATCTGCACCCATCACTAAAACCCACCCCACATGCACCCAGCCCGCTATGAAAGCATTGTGAAAGTGCGAGAGGATACGAGCAGACATCAGTTTCCTCAACTGTCTCCCTGCCTGCAGCTCCTTCTCCAGTCTCTTCAGCTCGCGCGGCCTCGCCTCAAAACACACCAAGCTTTCAAATGTGGCCTCAACGTTCAGCGCCTCGTGCTCAGAGCTGCCGACCATGATTTGACCTGTGACTCGCGGGACCTGATCTGATGTCCGCTTGTAGGGTTCTGAGCTTCCTTTTTTGAAAACAGCCCCAACGCTCCAACCGCCCCGGCCTTCACACGCTATCCTGCACGTCACAAACAGAATCAGATGCACCACGAAACAAGACGCGCACACGTGAAGCACCTGCCTCGGTGAGGCCACAACGTTTCACACCATTTAGGTTAAGGCCAAACGGGCCGGGTACAAACCATTCTTGAGCGACGGCGGCGGAGGATGCGCACACGGCACACGTGAGTCCACGTGACAAGGACGAATCCATGAACTGCATGGCTACTTGCGGCTACTTGCTCTGCCGGTGCAGCCCACACGAGCACGCAAGGATTTTGCTGAGGCTGTCATCCGCGCAACAATGTGCAGCCGACGACTGATCTAGGCGATGCCACGGCCATACACCTGTAGCATGCGACACAAGGTTCGAGCCCAGGGGCGCGAGCTTGCGCGAATTGAGGGCCTGGCACCTTGCACCTGGTGAGACACACTAACTCTGCCGAGTTCGACTGACATCCAACATCGGGATCTCGGCACATGGAGCTGTGAGATAGCTCGAGCTCTACATATGATAAAGAAGCATGAGTAGGGGCCTAAAAGTTACTCCCATACTACATGTTGTTTTCAATGATCTGTCATCCACTGGTCATCCACAACGATTGGGACAATGGAACATATTTAAATCAAGTTTGCAACTAGGAGCATGCAGCTGAGTTGATATTCACACAAATTGCACAAAGATCCTCTTGTGGGGACTTCGAGCGGCTCATTTGCAATATCTGCAGCTCAAGTCTCAACCAGGAACCAGCTGCGAGCATTATTAACATACCTCGCAAGATGCAGCGATATGGCACAGATGCTGTAGGTTGCAGAAATCTCCTGCTGCCAGGTTGCTGAAAGACCTCTTTTGCGTGTGCTGAGGAATTCTTGTCCGGGTGATACTCGACAAGAAGCTCCTCTGTGAGCAGATCCGCTAATTATGAAACGGCATGAGACATGCATCATATCTCTTCAATCACTCTGTAGAGACATCGCAAAGCGTGAAAAGGAGGTTTTAGGGGGCGGAAGGCGAAGTTGATGCGCTACGGGCAACTGGCCTTGAAGAGCTTCCTCCTCGTAGCGATTGGCTGATCCATGGTGTCGTGCAAACGCTTCTCCACAGCCTTGACCTCATTGGGAGAGCAAGACAGAGGCGGAGACAGCGACGGAGACGGAGACAGAGACAGACAGAGAGAGAGAAAGACAGACAGGTATCAAGCCAACAGACAGGACAACACAGACATGGCAACAGAGAGAGGTGATACAGGGTTGGACACTACGGCAGACAATGGCAGACACAATCAGACTTCACGGAGCGAACGGCAGCGGACCTCTGGCGACAGGTTCGTTTCCGGAGCAGGCGCCGATGCTGGCGCCTGCCAACAAAAGCTCGCAAGAAATTCAGAGCTCACGCTGGATTGTGTTGACTCTGACTCAATTGAGGTTCCAAAATCTCGGGTGCCTTGTTGCCACCACTGGAACCTGCTCAACACTCGGCAAGGAATGCGAACTCTAGACTGCAACGATAAAACAGAAATTGAAGCACGCTGTCTACAGGAGTCTTGCAAATCCATTAGGCCCCCGCCTTCACCAGCCGGTGGAGGGGTGGACCGCCTGTTCCGGCCGGCATTGAAACCAGGGTGAACCTTGGGCGACGGCGAAGGCCCCGTTTTGCTGCCTGGCCGTTGGGCCCAGGTTGCACCCGAAGCAGGCTTGGACTCACTGTTGGCACTGTTGGCACTGTTACTCCCAGCATCTTTCCCGAGCCGTTCGGCTGCAGCCGCGGCTGAGCGATAGGCCGTCTCTGCGCGAGCTTTCTCTTCCGCAAAGGGTGAGGCTGAGGCACTCTTGTCGTAAGCAGGCTTGGTCGTCTCAGGCACCGGAATGCTGATAGGGGCCGATTGCGCCGGCTTTCTTCTTCCTGCTCCCTCCTGCGGGAGGTAAGCCTTCAATTTGTTGGCGTGGGATCGCCAAAGCTTGATAGTTCCGATGCCGGCAGCAAGTGTGCAGAACACGGTCAAGGACACTATCAAAATCACGATTCCCACCGCGGTGCTGCTGGTTGTCTGCTGCGGGGTGCCCGACACATTCGTACCGGTTGCAGCTCGAAAGTTGTATGCTTGCGCAGGGAGATGAGCAGAAGGGTTGCCGGCCATATCCTTCCAGAATGCAGCGGCTGCTCAGACACACACTCGCGTCAGCGCAACATGCGCAACAACTGCCCCTAGATGGCTCTGCTTTTGCTTCCAAGGCTCCCTGACCGCACCTTCCGGCAGCTCCAGCGTGTACGTCTTGCCAGACCTTCCAGGCTACAAAAAGGCATCGGGTACAATGCGGGGCTACAAGAAAGCCTGCTGCTTGCCACTTGCCACAACATGCTTCTTCAACATCCACGCTTTTAACCATCGGTTCGAAATGCCAATGCCTCAACAAAGTGTCCAGGTGGATGCGCAATAGCGAAGACGAGAGGATCTCCGCCGAGGGCGCCTGCAGACCAAGAGGACGAAAACTCAGGTTCGGATGGAGAGCTTCTCTATGTTTCTCTCTTTGGAGTGCTCAGGGTTCTCTCTTTGAGCCCTCTCTTTTTCAGTTCTCTTCCCCCCCTTCTCCTTGAGGACAATCGGAACCGATTGCACCGCAGTGGTGGTGCCAGTGCTGTCCACCTGCCACAGGAAATCGGTGTATGCAAGATGTGCTGGTCTTTTTAGCTAGACCACACCAGTGCCACAAGATGCACTACTTTCTTGTTGTTGCTATTGAAACTTGAGGTGTTCCGATTTGCATTGATGTGTCCAAGTTAATTCCAAAACCTACGTGTTCAATTGCTTCGTTCGTTCGAATTTCACAGTGAAGCCTTGCGCTTAGAGAAAGCTCAGCAAGACGGTGATGCTTCTTAGGAGGTGAATCTCCAGTTAGTTCTTGCGCCCGCAGTCTATCCTCATAGTTCAGGGTTGGGCTGGTGGGTTGGTATATCGGATCCCAAACAGCCCCTCGGCCTCATCCCGAGCCCTAAACCCGGCTTTCACTTCAACCCTAAAACCATCACGACCACCCGGAGCCCGAAGGAGGGTTCAGGGTGCAGAATTGAGGGTTTAGATCGCCCACGGGCCGAGCATCATGTGCATGTGCAGAAGTAGGGTTCAGGTCGACCCATTCTTCCGAGCATCATCTTGAGAATTCAGTGGGAGCTGGTTTCTCCACTGATCATCACTGATCCCTCCCTAGATGGACCCTCCAAAAACAGGCCCAGGTCCCACCCACCCATTTGGGTGGGGCTCAGCCCCAATGAGTGGCTACGATCTTGAGGTCCCCCCCCCCCCCCCCCGGCGCACACCCCAGACAAACACACACACACACACACACACACAACACACACACACACACACACACCCCGTTTTCTCATTGAGCAGAATAGCTCTCTGAACGAAAGCTTGGAGGAAGCTTTCGCAATTCGTAAGTACTGACTCTGACTGTGGTAGATTCGTTAAACTCTTGGACTCTTGGAAAAATTGTAAAAGAAGGATTTGGAAACAGGACCCAGGAATATGCAAACAAATCCTTGGAAACGAGTTGGACAGTAGTTCTGAAAGCAGAACCTTCTTTTTGTTGGAAACTTTTCCATACATGCAAGTCACACAGATACAAAAATGAAATAGAAACTAACAAAACCAAAACTGTCGACTTGAACCGAAACGTTCCAAGATCCTGCTCCAGTTCTTGCAATATTCTGTGTTCCAGGACCCTGTTCTTTCCCAATCCCAAGTTAGTTTCTTGTTTCCAAACGCTATGTCCAAAATCCTGTTTCCACGATCCAGTTTCCAGAGTTCTTTCCAAGATCCTGTTTTCAGAGCCATGTCGCCGAGTTTTTGGTTCTGAAGCTCTATTTCAAGATCCTGTTCACGGACATTTGCACTCGGACTCCTGCAACGATGGAAGCCTCCAACCGACTCAGCGTAGCCGTCAGATCCCCTGAAGCCCTTAGCGGAGTCACGGCAGCAGAGATGTGAGATGTCATCGAACATCATGCTTCAACGATTTCAGCGATTTCAGCATTCGAGTGAGTGGCAGCAGCACCGGCTCACTCCACAAGAGGTTTACAGCGCCGTCCAGGGGGACAGCCACCTTGGAGCGTTCGAGGCTTTTGAGGGCTCCAGGAGGCGCTCACGGCGCCGAGGAATATCCGCGGAGCAATCCACACGGGCTCACCATGAGTGCAGCCACGTGCAGCCACGTGCAGCCAAGTGCAGCCAAGTGCAGCCAGGAGGCCGACATGCTGTTTGGATCGAAATCGATGAGTATCGGAGGATTCGTGTCCAGCAGCTGGAAACTGCAGGCCGAGTGCAAGAGCGCTGCGCGTGTCACGCCGTTGCAGAGTGCGGCGTTGCACGCAAATGTAACAACTGCTTGGGCTCTTTGTTTGGGGCGAGGTTGCGGGTTGCTTGGCGCCACTGCTCTGCATCAGAACACAGTTGCTTTCAATAGCTTAGAGACCCAGATCGCCTGTAGTCTTCTCTCGACAGCCCGGCATATGGAACCGCATCCTGCAGCCGCGACAGACAACATTTGCTTCGATCATCCCATTCCCACCCTACATGTGGGAGCAACTCTTCCGTTTTCAGACAGGCAAGTACGCATACTTCGCCCAAGCCTCTGTCGCGGGACTCTCCACGGAATTCTGTGAAGGTGGGCACTGCAGGGACACACCGAGGGTGGGGAAAAAACATCTCTGCCTGCGATGCGTTGCTTTGCAGTTTCTCCTTGGTGCTGCCTTACACTAGCGATTTGAACAAAAAAGGCTTCTCCACGCTTGGTCCGCTGGGTGCAGTCTTTCGAGTCTTTCGACCTGGATCAACCTTGATCGACCTTGTGACGAAAGAAGTAGAATCACTCCTCGTCACAAACCGTCATGGGCTCAATCGAAATGCCACAGGTCCTTGCAACCATAATGACGCAGGCCAGTATGATTCCAGCATCTTCCAACAATCGTTGAGACATCACTCCAGCCTCGCGCTCTCCAGCTGTATCGTGGATAGATACCAAGACATATCGATGCTCAAAGTTCTGGATGATATCTGCATGTGCCTGAGCAAACGTTTGTTCCCTGCACGGCCCCCAACCGGACCGCCGGGCAACCGGCAGCGGGGCAAGAACCCGGTCCCTGAAGCCAAAGCACGTTCGAGGAACTGATTGCTCGTTAACCTCAGACAGAGCCACCAATTCATTGCCGTTCATTAATTTTCCGCACTTGTCCCTGGCAGATTACTCAGATTTTGGATCCTGAGAGGGTCCAGCTACCAGCGAGATTAGAATTAGAAGCACCCTCATGAAACAATGTGGGGCAGACCACATTGACTCGCGCTGAGCAACGCTTCCCGCGCACCAAAAACTCACGCCTGACGATATGGAGGAGCCACTACACCACCTGACATTCTCCGTGAACCGCAAGACCTTGCACATGGGAAATGCAGAGGAACCCTCATGATGAATGGAATTATTGCCAATGGCATCCAGGCGATACTGGGATGCGTCAGATTGTAAGTTCCTGAAGTTCGATGAAAGTTGAAAGTTGGGGCGGCGGCGACACGGAGATCCGAGCCGCTGCTGTGGGAACCTGACTCGACGATGCAGGCATAGCCCCCGACAGCGAGTGATTCGATCCAATATGATACATCTACACATCGAAACAGTCGAAACACCTTCCCCTGCGCACCTCCTCGCTGTGGAAAGTAGCTTGCAAGCTGAGGCGGGTCAACGTCGCACCCTGCTTGTGTTGGACAAGCGGTGCAGGAAGTTGACGACAGCAGTGAGCTCACACATCCAGAGGCCGCGTCAGCCCAAGCGCAGCCAGCAGCTGCAGCACATGCACATGCAGTGGTAATGCCAGGACAAGTTATCGTGGCGCAGTGTTCCTGCTGCGCACACAGGAAGCAGTCGATATGCCCCTTGGTACCGACATTCTCGCACACACCTCCGCCCCCTGAATAGGGCTTCCAGACACAAATCTCTCCAGCGGCACATTCACACGCCGTCGTCGAAGATGGACAAGGGTCAATAGTCCTTGTCGTTGTGAAAGTCGAGGTGGCTGCTTGTAGACCTCGAAATCTTCGATTGCTCGCCGCGGCCTCTTGTGCCAAGAGGAGAAAAGCCAGTCTCCTCTGGAGTCCAAGCCTTCTCCGGAAAGAAAAGGAAGGGATAGCCACCTGTGCCATTGGAGAGCCATCGCTCATTGATTTGCGCGGCTTGCGCCAGACCGTCTTTCCATGCTGCCATTACATGGCTTCCTACACCAACCACAAGCAAGCTTAGAGCCACCATAAGGTTCCAGAATGTCAGCCAGAATGTAACAGAGCAGCTTCTCATTGCTTCTCGCATATTGTGATTCCGAGCTCGAAAACTCCGCTCGCTTCAGAAACACCTCTATTTTCGCATGCTGTTGCAGCAGTCCAGCTCCATTTTGGAGCTGTCACAAACCCAAAACAGAAAAACAAAACACCGAAAGAATGAAACCGTCTCCGACGACAACAGTTTCCTGCATACATCTGAGATTACTGCGTGGCTGGCGGCGAGTTCATGAGCCTTCTTTGGCCACGATCCAGTATCTACAAGCGGTTTCCGGCGGCCACTGCCACCGTAGCCCCTGAGTTTGTGGAGGCTAGGACCAAACCTTGACTCCAGTGGAACCTGCTACTAGTACTCAGCATTTTATTACATTCAAACACCAAAATGCTTCGAGTGCTACGCTTCGCTTCGGACAAACCAGCGAGCCATGCCGCCGAGCTGGCATGGCTGCGCTCTCTCGCTCTCTTAGATGTCTTGGCAGTTTACCTGGCAGAGAATGGCTGCACCCGAAGCATGGAGCTAGGCGCACGAAGTGAAGCGCACGAGGGCAGAAAGTGCACGAAAGCGTTCGCCGGCGGGGCCACCACGCGGCAGTAGGAGCCCGAGAAAGCCTCCAAAGATCATCACAAAGTCACGAAGTCTCAGATCAGGCTCCTTGGAAGTTCGCGCTTTCCAGCCTCAGCAAAGGCGTCGTTGATCTGCGACAGGGCGTAGCCTCCACGTTAGCAGCTATCACATCCATTGGCACATGGTTCATGGTCTCTGCAGCTTCAGAATAAACACGGGATGCTGGCTCGAGGGCGACAGAACAGATTCTAATGGAAGCTCCTGTGGCAACCGGCACGTTCGGTGAAGATTTTCGAGGCAAACACAGCGGTCCTCACGGTACTCATTCAAAAACTTGACCTTGGCTCTCGCAGGCCATCGGTCGGCCGCCCATCACTCAATCACCAAAGCTCTCTGTCACCTCCCAAACATCTCAAACCACATCTCAAACCACCTCAAAGCACTCTGTCTCCACCCATTCCCAAAATTTCCCCTCTCCGTTTGCAAAAGGCACAAAAGGCAAAGGCCCGAGCCGCTTCTTCGAGGTTCCACGGGGTGTAGTTGTGCACGCCGCGGATGGTGAGGCACTGAGACAGCCGCTGCACTGCCCAACTCTGCCCAACTCAGAGTCCCTCTCGGATCATCCCCCGGATCCCGGCAGAATCCACACCTTCTTAATGATGGTCTCCCCAGTCAGCGCAGAAAGCTGAGAATCAGGGTGTACCTTCTGCGAGATCGGAGTGTGCGCAGCAAGCACTTGCATGTACATGTGTATGCGCGCTTTCGCTTGCGAAGCAAGCAATCACTGTAGTCTGAGCATGCTGACCATACCTGCAAACGAATAATGCCCGCCGTTGCGAAGCAGCTGCACACCCTGTCAAGTTTGCCAGAAGCATATTCGGAAGATTCTCAAGCAAGTGCGCAGGCCTCGTGGATTACACCTTTGGCCCCAGTCATCTCGACAGCGACATCGACTCCGTGCGGGTACCGTTCACGTATGGAGCGCTGCCGCTCCCAGAACTCCTTCAATAGCTCTCGAAAGCTTCTTCAAAGGCGCGACAAAGACTTCTTTAGAGCAGCCTCCTCTCCACCTGAGACCAGTAGAGGAATGCCGCCGAACCTGACTTGTCCAAGCCGCGCTTGCAAGGCTCCATCAGCATTGGTTCTTGAAATGGGAATCTTGGGCTTGAACTGCACAGCCGTTTTCAGGCGTTCCGGCTGCGTGTCGAGGCAGAAGACACTGCCCAGAAGCTGCAGGACGACGAGCGTGTCTCTACTGTAGTCACTATTCGTGACGCACGAGCGAGCGAGAGAGAGAGAGAGAGAGAGAGAGCGAGAGATCCAGAGAGATTGATTGACTGACTGACTGACTGACTGACTGATTGATTGGCAAGCAACAACTCCCGCACGCTCCAAGGAGCTGGCTTTCGTGACAAGTGCATCCAGATTATGAACCAGAAGTAACCCCCAGCCTTAGTAAGTGACACGTCCTTGATTTCTTGGCCGCTTGGGCTTGGATGTCAACTTCAATTGAGCAACAACTTTCATTGTTCACCCCACAATTTGGTCCTTTATCTATCTCTTCCTCTTTCTCTTTCTGCTCCTCTGTCTCTTCCGTTTCTGATTCCGCTTCCGCTTCTTCTTGTTATAATCCTGCTCTTCCCCTCGTCCTCCTCCCACGCAGGTATGAGATTGGGGTGACACCCTGCCCCCCGCTGTCCTGTACCCCGTATGCCTTTATTTATCTGTGAGCTCTGTGCCTGTCCATGCCCACGCGCTTCTTCAACCACGCAACGGCGTAGATGCCGAGAAGCCCCACACCTGCTTCGGAGAGTCTTGACATCTTTTGCCGCCGACTTCAAGCAGGCAGCCACGGTCCTTGTACGACGGCACTCTTGTTGGAGCCGTACCTTGTGACAGAAGGTGCTTCGTCTGGGGTTCAGTTTGCCTAATATTTTCAATTGCTTACCGAAAGTTTTTCTGTGAACACCGTTCCCCCAAAAGCACTACTCCACTACGGACTCCGAAGGTGGTCACATTATCCAACCGGAATGAAGCACCTTCGCGAGTGTATGTAGCCGGGTCATTGAGCCCGCTCTCAGGATGCTTGGAACAGAGTCAATAGCCGAATTGTGGTCTCAACAACCGCGGCTCAACTCATTGGCACTTCACTGACACCTGAAGCGTCCAATAAAGCGATGGACATGGCTTGCGCATGTGTCCCACGTCGCCTCGGAAGCCTGGCCATGTCCAGGGCATTGACGACCTTGGACAGTCATCAACTCAGAGTTCACAAGCCCAGTTGCTTTCCAAGTCTATCTCAGCCTCTCGGGTAGAGACGGTTGCAAGGGCACAGTTCGCCGGAGAACACACCTCGCCGAGCAGTAACCAATTATTGCCAATGGCTGCGGAAGTGCACCAACCGCGCAGCCAGCAAAGCCAATAAACCCTTAAACCCGAGGAGTCCAGGAGGGGAGCTAACAGCACAATCGCTCTCTCAAAGACTTAAACTAGAGTGGCAGGTCCAGTCCAGTCTCGGCCTACAGTACAAAAGGCAGCCAGAATCTAGTCGAGATGGGGCTAGGCATGGCTGGAGTGGATGGGACCGCGCACATAAACGAATCCAGCACCGGCAAGAAGTCCAAAGCTCGAGGAGGGGAGGTGAAAGGAGGTCACAGGGCCCGTGTGAAGAGGACATTGTCAATACATTGTCAATGCGTTCTGCATCCCGGTATATTCCGGTCATTTCGTGTTGACTCGAAGTTTTGGCTGGGCCACCGGAGCCTGCTTCATACCTCACAAGTCCCATAACTTCTACAAGTCCCTTATGGGCGCTGATAGACTGATACTGTCGTACTAAGCCATGCAGAGCAACTAACTTTCCTGGCCGTGGACTTTGAGACAGTCATGCCTCGATGTCCCCCCCTCTGCAACAAGGTGTGGTCAGCCGTGGCACATGCAGCATCCAAGGCGCAAGCCCGCGAGCTCAATGTGTCGGGGACCTTCACTGCATGAGTCCTGCACGCTGTCCCGCAAAATCAGGGCATACAGTGAAGTCACTTAGACTTAAGACATGAGTATTCCTAGCTTTTCTTGGGGCTTCAGTCCCTGGGCGCAGCAGGACATGCGTTGCGTACCTCTTCACTATCAGTGGGTCAAACAACAAGAGAGATCTCATCAAGAAGCCCAACGGTGGCAAAAAAAAACCATTCGCAGTACGGGCAGCATGGGTCACGTGCCGTTCAGGCCAGTTCCCTCCGACATGCGTGCGTGCCCATACCTTGCAGATCGAAGGCCCTTGGACCGAACAGCCAGTGACGATCTGAGTTGCCGGCTTCATCAAAGAAACGCACTTCTGCGGCAACCTGTGCAACACATATCTGACATATCTGTCCTGGCCGTTGTCCGACAGCTCAGGATGGCTGAGGGCCGAGCTTGTGCAAGGTGCACTCTGGGCATACGCCGCAGGAGTCCGCGACGCTGAAGGTAACCCTGTCACCTTCCTGCAACTTCCAGCCACGGTGCCTGCCAGCCACAAAGCTGTGGATGCTCTGCCCGTTCTCATCTGCCGTCAAACTCAGGCATGCTCAGTCGACTGAGGGTCAGCCTTGGACGGCTGCCACTGAAAATGTCACTACCAATTCTCTCGATGACCCCCACACCTGAAGGCACTGACAGACAAGCTAATCCAAGCCACCAAGAACCCACATGAAATCATTCTGGAATACACAGGCGAACGCCGAACGCTGCCTTCGTGGCCCAAGACCAGCGGCATTGGCTCTTGTCTCTTGCCACTGACCTTGCGTTCATTTGTGTTCCATGTGGCCAGCAGCCCCACCCCTCCACCCCGAGAGCTCATGTCCACCCCCAGAGACACACCAAAAGCCTCTAAGCCTCACTCGGTGTGCAGATCGCTGCCGCAAATCGTTGCAACCTGCAATTCACATGTGCCTGTAGAAGCTTTGCATGGCTTTGTGAGGCGATCACCACGCTCACACCAAGATCTGGCCTCCATCCGCACCAGAAGCTCGCCTTCATTCAGCTTCTCAGGAAGGGGGACCTGACAATGGAGTCAATCGGCTTTGCCATCTTGACCGTTTGATCTCTGCGGGCCTCCTGAAGTTCGAAAGGCTTGCCAACCTCGTGGAAAACGGCGGCAACAGCTTTGGCCGCACGTCCTTGGCCAGGAACACTGATGGAGCACTTGGGTTCAACATGAAGCCAAGCGGTGCCTGAGGTGCTCCAAAACAATGGCAATCGCCCAAGCAGCTGACGCTGGTTGCCAAATCCTTGACTGCCTGCAGGCAACTCGAGGGCGCAACTTGAGACTGCGGCAACGAAAGCTAGGGATGCACCGGTGTTTTTCATGTCTGAGCAAACCAATAACTTACAAGACAAGACAAACACGAGCGAGAGACAACGCCGCAAGTCAAGCGGTCAAGTCATAAACTGCAGGCGAGAGATGATGGTACAGTCAGAAACAGAACGAGCCTTGAGGGCGTTATTAGATAAACAGAACCCATGAAAAGAAGAACACACGACGGCCGCGTGATAAACATCTGAAAAATTGGAGACATACATCGCCCCAACATCTCATGAACCAGCAAGCTTGCGCATGCACGACGCGCCGACGGCTGCTAGAGTTAGGGTTCCTTGAGGAACTCCAGTGGTGAAGAGCCTATACCGATCTAGTTTGCGAGCGTGCGTGCATGCCTACGAGCCACCTGCTTAAGTCTGAATGCCACCTGCGTATATCAACAAGCAAGCTTGTGCATGCAGAGCTGCTAGAATTAGGGGGTGGGGGGGGGGGGGGGGGGGGGGGGGGGGGCCCTCCCAATCCAAAAATGGGGGGCTGCCTGCCGCCTTTTGACCCACCTGAAACACATTAGTACGACAACCTCAACACGGAGTGACAGTTTTGATAGCATGTTGGTGGTGGAGTCTAAGTATGGACAGGGCCTCTGCGCCAAACCTGTCTTGGTGGTTGGCTGAGTCGACTCAAGCTGCCCAGCACCATGGCTGCCGTGGCTGCGCTGCTGCACGCCTGGGCCGTACGAAGTGGCTGGAGGTGAGGGGAGAGAAGAGGAAAGAAAGAGAAAAGGGAGAGAGAGAGAGAGAGAAATAGAGAGCAGAGAGAGAATCAGAAGAGAGAGGAGAGAGAGAAGAGAAAGAGAATAGAGAGAGAAGCGAGAGAGAGGGAGCTCAGAGAGAGAAGAAAGAGAGAGAGAGAGAGAGCAGAGAGAGAAAGAGAGAAGAGAGAGTGAAGAGAGAGAGAGAGAGAAGAGACAGAAAGCAGAGAGAAGAGAGAGAGAAGAGAGAGAGAAGAGAGAGAGAAGAGAGAGAGAAGAGAGAGAGAAGAGAGAGAGAAGAGAGAGAGAAGAGAGAGAGAAGAGAGACAGAAGAGAGAGAGAAGAGAGAGAGAAGAGAGAGTGAGAGAACAAAGAGGGAAGAGAGAGAAGAGAAAGCCCACAAGCGCGCTCACCTCAAGGGGCCACAGCGTAACAGCCAAGGCAGAACAGGAACGAGACTGGGAGCGGCTGCGGCGTGGGGAACATTGACTCCTCTCATCCTTTTATACACTCAACTCCCTCTCTTTCCATGTTCCCTGAGAGTCGCTTTCCTCAGCTGTCGTGGTGCCCGGATCTTCTTTTCTCCACTGCATTTCTGGAGCACCTTGTGGTGATCTCCAAGAGCGGATGTGAAACACGCAGCTAGCCGCGACTGCCAACTGGGTTGAATGTGTCTCTCCGTGTGTGTGTGTGTGTGTGTGTGTCTGTCTGCCGACTGGACATTCTTGTTTGCACAAACTCACAATATCTGTGGCACTTTGCGCCGGCGGCTGCCCTTAAACTTCACAAATTCCGGCGAACTGGGCCACATGGCTTGGGGATGCTTGGGGTGAGACCCTTCAGGCCGGGACGTTCTCCTCAACACCATGATAGGGGTTTGGTCGGTTCAGGAAGCTCTTAAGCGCAACTCACCAAAGTTTGTCCATGATTGGCATATATTGGCATTGTTTCTGAAGTTCTCTGCCGCGAGGTTCCCTGCTGCCCTGCCTCTTCCGGCGGCGTGGCTTCGGGCACCAAGGATTGCAGCTCTTGGAGGGCAGCTGCCTGGTACAGACGCACACGACATGACGACCGGACCATCGGGAGAGTCGCATCTGAGAAGAGCATACGCCCCGAGGTTTACCAGAGAATTCACCATGCCAGTACTGGAGAAGTCATGATGCTGGGACTTGCTGCTGAAGCTAGTGTTAATGTTAACCATTGACGCTTAATCCTCATCCTCTTCATCCTCATCCTGCTCATCATCCTCCACATCGTGATCACCATTGTCATTCTTTGCCTCGTAATGTTGACCTGCCATTTATACGCCTCCCCCCCAATACAACTTAAATCCGGAACTCAATCCGGCGAGGCCCCAGGCCTAAGGCGTTTGGGGCAAAGAAGAAAACGCACCTCCCATGTGCCACTCCCTGCCCCAGCGCTGGAAGCCAAAGTGGCCACCCCTTCGCTTGGTCCGGGCCCATCTCGCCTCCGCGCCATTCTAGAGGACCCCCCATATAAGGGTCCATGTACACCCCCAAGGACTGCTTATGGACCTTCTCAATGGACCCGTCTGTGCTTGACGAGGCGGGCGCCGTAGCGTTAACATTCCTAAACCCCCTCCAACTGTAAAACAAATTCAGGCGCAAAAAAAGAGCGGCTGTCGCTCCTTCTGCAAGAGGTTCACCCTTTTAAGTTGTGGCAAAAGCTGCTGAGCCCAAGCCGCTCGGCTTTTTGGGGGACCTTGGACCGCCTGTGAACCTAGTTTTCTCGTTACTACCAGCACAATTTACAACCAAACACTCAAGGACAGATGCACCAGCATCTTTTGGGCAGCTACGGCGGCGGCTACGGCGCGGCTCTGCGGGTAGAGCGACATGCTGAATGTGGAGACTGTAAGGTATGGATCATGGGACCTGCGACGATGTGGCGAGCGGCCAGTCAGAACCTGCAAAAAACAGATTCAAGTGAGGCTTACACTTCTTAGGACCTTAGGCCTTGGGATACAGAAGACACCACTGCAGACTCGATGTCTACGGAAGCCTGCAGTTGGGAAAAGCATCTCCAGACCGCGGCGGCGGCACAGAAGCCCGCCATGGCTGCAGAAGGCCCGGAGAACCTCATGAACCGACCATGCAAACCATGAGAGCACGAAAGCTTCCATGCCGACAAGGTTACCGGCTACGCATACCGTTGCGAAGGGCCACGGCAGTCTTGCGCTGCAGAAGCACTTTCTCGGAAAATGCCTCCGGCAGCGGGCGCTGAGTGTTGTCATGGTTGTCAGTATAAGCCTGCAACTAAGACAACTGAGCCGTAGGCCACCGTTGCTTCGTCGGGCGGCGGTGGTGGTTCAACTTCTTCCTGCATGGCTTTGCATTCTTTTCCGTTTTAGCATGCTGACGGAGAAAGATTGTAAAAGATTGTCACTGACGCTGCCAGCATTTTGTCACCGCCTCGACCTCCTGCTTGGCTTTTCCCTGCAGTTCCATTCCAAGGACCACTGCACTGTCACTGCCCCCTCTGCGCACGATTGCACCCACCTTGGGCTTGGGTGCCGCCTTCCCTTTAGGCGCGGCCGCGGCCTCTACTGCTTTGGCCTTGGAAAGCACGAGGTGGCCACACCCAGTGTCCATGCTGCTCCCTGCCTCATCCAACAGATTCCCGCAGAATGTGGACAAGTCAGGACCAGGCGCCTGTAGAATCACATTGCTGTGTTTGCTGCAGTCACAAGAGCCTCAGCGAGTCAGAGTATGTCGCAGTCAGTCTGGGAGTGGAACGATGAGCGAGGATGGTCGACTGCGCTGGCTGTAAAGGAGTGTCCACAGGTCCTCGAAGCGCTGAACATACGAAGGAGAGAATGGCAGGCAAGGTCTGCAACGTCCTTCACCAAGACCTGTGCAGGTTCTTCTTCAGGGGCTGCCAAGGCATCTTGAGGCAGCACCAGCCTGCGCCAATGATCATCTGACTCTCAGATACATGGAGATATGTTACATGATGGACTGCCCCCATCACAGTCGTGAGCATTCGCCTGCAAAGCCTGCTGAAGCTGTCTGAAGGGCTGTGGCCCATGCCCAAGTATCCAAAGATCCTGGCCGTGGCTGTGCAGAGGCCAAGACTCACAAGGTTCTCACATGGCCGACAGGCAGACAAGCCTGTCTGCCGACTGGCACTGCAAAGCTTCAGGGGCTTTCCCCGGATAGGGTGGGGGAACGTCGAACCTCCTTGCAGAGATGGTGCACTCGCTGGGATCTTCTGGCCGGCCTGGGCAATCAGCGAGCTTCAACACCCTGGACTGACGGTGGCGTGCCTGGAAGAAACGGAAGCAGCCGCCCAGAAGCCGAGACATTGACGTGAAGGCTTCGGGGGCAGTCGCACCGTCTCCTACACCAAGAGCTGTAGCAGGGGGCAAGCACTGCACATTCGCACAGATCGGTTGGCAGCAACGCCTCCTCGGCAAAGGTTGCTAGAACCTGATGTTGCATGCGAATGGCTGGCTTGAAGCTGCACGGCCAGCAATCCAAGCCGATCCATTCCGGCCTCGAAGATCCATCTGCGAAGCTCCGTCTGACAAGTCTCGGTCTCCGACCTCAGACTTCCGCTCTGACTCTCCGGGACCCTGCGCTGGTAGCAGTAGCGGCTTTGAGCACAACCACGGATGAGATGCTGACCACAGAGGAAGTTGGCAAAACAGCTCCTTTGGGTGCACATGCTGAGGCTCATTAGCCACCGTGTTCCCGCTTTCATGTACACACGCCTCCGATATTGGAACGTCGGGGTACCTGCTCCATGCAATTTCTGCTTCTTTTTCCGGCTTACTGCGTCCAGGTGATCCCAACAAAGGGTGGCACGAGGACAGAACGTCTGCATCCAGCTGAGACTCCTCAGACGCACGCTGACTCGAAATGAACTAACATGCTCTCCGTTGCTTGCAATGACTTCGTCTTTCCACCTCGGACTGGATGAAGGAGCGTGTGGCTTCCAACGCCTGCCACAAGTTTCATGAGCAGCTCTAGCTCCATTCTGCATGATAGCACTGCTACCCTGACATCATTCCAGCTGTCTAGCTCTTTGCCTTGACAACTTGACAACTCGCGAAAGCCTCCAGTGTCGGCCACGCAACAGCGTTCTCGTGGAGTGAGAGGACCTGCGCGAGTGCTAAGGTTTATAGCGGGGCCAGCCGCGATCACGGGCATTCCAATCGTTGCAGGTGGATCCCTGTGCATTTTTTGGTCGAGCCCGACAGTTCTGTACTGTAGTACAGCTGCAGCTCCTTTGTGTGACACTGCGGCGGTTGCAGGCTGTACATGCAACCATAGAGCGATCATGGAGAGTACCACACCAGTGTTGATACTTGAGACTCTTGGACTCTTGGGAGGGTCAATGTTATTCCCTGTCAACTTCTCCACTTCTCCACTGCGCATGCAAGTCACAAAGGGCATCGCGTGGCAGATCCAGCGATCTCACACAGCCCAGGCGTGGAAACTGCACAGGCGGCTCTCAGCTTGCGCATACAAAGCGACTTGACAACAGCAATTTCCACGTCAACCTCCTTTCACCCCTCTTCATCAGTGACAGAATTGGCCAATATTGGAGCGGCACAAAAGCTACCAAGCAGCAAGCGATGAAACGGTCTGCCCGGGGTGAGGATTGCGAATGCTGCTGTTGCGTCTTTGTCCTTGACGGATCAGGGAGGGACCTCAAAAGCTTTCCCAACCTCGGCTCAGCAGATTGCGGCACGGTGATGAGAGGAGACATTCTAAGGCTCCAACATCTTCTTGCACCAACCTGCCACATGTTGCAGTTCACGCGCGGCACAAAGTCATAGAATGGCATGGCAGAGACAGACGTACAGCGACTATCCAAAATGGCCCACATATTTTTCCTGGCCCCCCCCCCCCCCCAAAGATCCATGGTTCCTTTAGCCTCAAGAAATACAGAACTGAATCCTCAGCGCAACCTTCCACTACTGACTAAGGCGTCGATTCTGGAATACCACACCAAGTACGTATCTCGAACATTCTAACTTAATTAACTCGATAGATTTGTTGGAGGGTCTGGGGGCTTCTCAACGCTTCCCAAAGGCCCAAAAGGTCTCCCAACATGGTACTCATCATGACGGCAGTACTGCAAACTCTGCCAGAAGCACAGTGATGGCAAGCCAGGGTCTCTTGTCCACCCGATCTGAAGCAGACGAAGCAAAATGATGACCGCCGCGGCCACAACGAAAGGCACGGCCTCACATTGCACATGAAGCTTTCAGCAGTATGGTGGCGAAAGCCAGGAGTCGGTATTCTTGGTGCGTATTGTTGATAAGGTCGCCTGTTTCACGGTGTGAAAGATCGTGTGTAAGAACAGTACTGAGAAAAGGACTTTTAAAATGTTTTTAGAAGATGGTGGTAGACACAAACATCCGGGTGCCGAGCGCGAAAGAGGATCGCGCTCCGCCTCTCGGGTCGCACGGAGGGAAAAAAGCGTGCGTCGTACACTGAGAGACTGGTCTTGAATGGACGCCTCTGATACTATTGAGGTGAAAGCAGCCAACTGAGAGCTGCGCACGACGGGCTTCAGTCTCTTGCAAGCCACGAGCAGTGACCTTTACAGACCAGGCGTTCAGAAGCGTGAGGAAGGGTTTTGCAACGATCACACAATGTCGGGGGCGCACCCGGACAGAAAGGGCCGGCGGTCACCTGGTGGACACGAGATGGCACGAGTCATGACGCGCGGGCCGATTCAACGCGTTTTCAAGACCAACACCTGGAGTGTCATCGCCATGCTCAGACACCGGGAACATGCGAGGCCTTAGCAGACAGTGTCTCAACATTTGTTGCGCGTGTGTGGTCAAAAAGAGGCCAGCACGCAGGTGTTGAGACAGCCGGCGGCGTCATCGCAGCCTGGGCACCGCGCCTGGCACGGCAAGGAACAACCTCCTGCTTTCCCAAGTAAAAGCTTCAGACACATGTAAACGCAATATGCAAACTAACTGGACAGCCTGGCACCAGTCGATCGCCAAGAAGTTGAGCCTAAGCTGGCAGCTGGATCCAGCTTTCCTTGCAAACCCTCATCCGCACTTTAAAATGCGAAATCGGATTGAATACTCGTGCTACCACGTGCCGCCCATTGGCTACCGCTGTCAGCACCGCGGCTTCCTGCATTCCTGGCCTGCGAGGAGACTTCAAAGCAGACCATGACCATCGGCTGCGGATGACTGTCATTTCAGTTTGACCAAACCGTTATCGAAGATAATTATACAGGTCTCAACAGGCTACGGCAACCAAGCCGCATGGGCTGGAATCTTCAAGCACGGGCGATGAACTGGCCAAATACCCTCATGATTCCGTGGCCTTTTCAAAAGTGAAGGCCTTCGGGTCAGTCGGCATGCCCGATGAGTCTACTCCCATCTGCCTTGCCAGGACTGTGCTGCTGTCAAGCTTGCACAAACGTATCCACACACACACACAGACAGTCACAGGGAGCGAGATGTGACAAGCCGGGACGACGCCATGCGCTGAGCCAGTATCTTGAGTCGAGCCTGACACGCTGTGCATGCAACAAGCACGAGCAACAAAAGGTGACCCCAAACATGGACAGCCTCATCGAATGTGAGGCCATCTTTCATGAGCTGGGAAGCTTCCGCCATGCCTCCGACACCCAGCGACTCTTTCGATTCCGCTTGACAGGCTTGACAGGCATTGCCAGGCCTCGAGTGAGCCGCTGCCGGTCCTCATCGCTGAGGCCTGCCTCAAGCTCGAAGGTGGTGCTGTGAAAGTCCTCCTCCTTCGAGGCTTCCGCAAACGTCTGAGCACTCCAAGCATCGAGCTCCCAGACATATCTAGAAGAGACAGAGACGGAGACTGAGACAGAGACGGAGGCAGAGGCAGAGACAGAAAGAGAGAGAGAGAGAGAAGGAGAAGAGAAGAAGGAGAGAAGAAGGAGAGAAGGAGGAGAGAAGAAGGAGAGAAGAAGGAGAGAAGAAGGAGAGAAGAAGGAGAGAAGAAGGAGAGAAGCAGGAGAGAAGCAGGAGAGAAGGAGGAGAGAAGGAGGAGAAGGAGGAGAGAAGAAGGAGAGAAGGAGGAGAGAAGAAGGAGAGAAGAAGGAGAGAAGAAGGAGAGAAGAAGGAGAGAAGGAGGAGAGAATGAGGAGAGAAGGAGGAGAGAAGAAGGAGAGAAGGAGAGAGAGAAGGAGAGAGAGAAGGAGAGAGGGAAGGAGAGAGAGAAGGAGAGAGAGAGAGAGAAGGAGAGAGAGAAGGAGAGAGAGAGAGAGAAGGAGGGAGAGAGAGAAAGAAGGAGAGAGAGAGAGAGAGAGAGAAGGAGAGAGGGAAGGAGAGGGAGACGGAGAGAGAGCAGGGGAGTGGCGAGATGGGGAGATGGGGAGATGGGGAGATGGGGAGATGGGGAGATGGGGAGATGGGGAGATGGGGAGATGGGGAGATGGGGAGATGGGGAGAGGAGTCGTCCGGTGGTCGTTTTGAAAGATCATGCGAATATTGGACACACTCAGAGGTTGTCACTGCGAGATTGCTCATGCAGAGCATTGCATAGCGAAGGCATTGTCGTGAAGGACAGGATCCAAATTGTACAGGGATCCGTCTCGTAGCCACAAACACAGAACACGAAGCCCGGCCTCCAGGGGCAGCTGCTGTGCCATTTTGCGGAGAACGGGGAATGCTAGTCAAGCTCTAACCTGTTCTCTGTGAGCTGCATGGTAACTGCTTGCCGATTGCCGCTAAAACACAAGCACTTGCCCTTAGCACTAAGTCACTAAGCAAACTCACGTCTTGTCATGCTGTCACTCTGCAAATGCAGGAAACGTGCGTTGCAACACGAAGGAAACCTCACCCTAAGAATTCAAGGCTGCCGTGGGCCAATTCGATGGCGGCTGGGGCTGCTGGCATGAGCAAACTCCGCTTGCAAAGAGCAAGAAAGGGCAAGAAAGGGCACGAAAGGGCAAGAACGGGCAAGGAAAGCGGGGCACCAAGAGAAACTCCGTCACATCAACGCCCGTGGCACCCCAGGCCTTGGATGATACTGAAGATGATAGGGTTACGACTGGTTGCCAATTGTTGTACGGAGTCAAGCGCCGAACAGGTTTGACCGTCGAGTCGCACAACAGCTTGTAAACCACCTCAGTGCCATGGGTGTTGCAAGCAGGGTTTCCAAGTCTTCACGAGTCGAGGGGGGCACCAAAGGTCTCATGACCCATGGCTCGGGTATCACCTGGCATCCGAAAGTGTCGCGGAATTTTTGAGATGTCCGGAACATTCTATGGTGTGCTGAGAATGCGGCCTGCTCATTGGTGAAGCCCAAGGCGCTATGGCGGCGTTCGAGCAATGCCTCTGTGAGTCTTTCGTCCAAAAGCAGGGCTTGAAACATTCGCCAGGCGCCTGAAGCAACTGCTCAGCCGAACAAACGGAACTACTCAAGTCTGCCAGTCTGGTCAGCAGCCCCCAGAGCATGTCCTGACGCCAGGAACATGAAAGGCAAGAGTTTTCCACAGTAACACATCAGCAGGATGCTGTAACCAAGCAATGCTAAAAAGAGGGCTAGCGGCCAGTGCAAGTATACCTCTCAAGACCATCCGGAAGAGAGGTCGAACTGACCATGTACATGGGAAAAGGCATGTTGCCCAGCAAAAATCTTTGTTCTTAGGTTCCAGCTCAATGGAAGTATGACCGACTCTGGTGAAAGAACACGCGTTTTGCTGAGCTGCTTAGGGTCCTAAAATGTTCCCAATGTATCTTGGAAAACTACTAGGGTACAAAGTCAAACGTTCATGCAATGCACCAAAAAGGGATCCAAGATGCCAAGCTTCTTGTGGGTAGCCGGACCCTTTGGAGAGAGCCCCGCAAGACTGCAACTTTGTGTGCTCTTGAGTTCCACAAGCCGCTGTACATAAAGCAAAAACAAAACAGGAAAACAAGAAACCAACCAAATGTTCAGAAGTCTTTAGAGGAGCCGGACCCTCATTTTAAAAAAATCAGAATAATCATGATAACAAAAATAATAATAATCCCCGCACGATCGTTTTTTGGTGGAAAGTTGTCTTCGCCACAACAAAGAAGCGAAAGAGCCAGAAGCTCAGGGTCTGCCGACGGGGCAAGTCCCTCGGGCTTAAGTCCTTCTGGCTTTGGCTCTCCAATGCTCTCTACAAAAACAAAGAGGTGGGCAATGTGCAAGCTTTGCGACACGTGCCTCCGCAAAAGTACACAACCAAAACAGAAGCCACGGTGCTTCAGGAGACTGTTTGGGAGCCGACCCTCGATAAAGGGTACTGCAGCATTCCTTGTTTTGCTTTTTGTCGCCTTTTGGGTTTTGTTTGGTTCGTGTGCTACATGATTGGAAATGCGCATGTTTCCTTTTCTGGAATGTTTTTGGACAAGTACCCCCGAACTGGCTCTTTTGGTTCTCCGCATGCAAAACACGGGAATGCCAAGCTTGGAGGATTGCAGCTTGTTTGTTGTAGATGGTGTGCATAAAACAATGCTTTTATGAACGTAAAATGCTAGAAACACGCACTCCCACAGCACCCTGTTTTTCTGGCCGACAGCTTGATTGTCATAGAATTGCAGCAAGCCAGTCCTGAGACCACTTCTCTGGCAGCGCCTCAAAGAACTCCGGCATGCTTGTTGAACAAGCTCATGGTGAAATAACTTGCTTCGCATACAGCATCACGTTTAGGCTTACAACCTGTCGGAGTCTTGACAGAATGCCACCGACGCTGGACAGAAGATCTCTGCGTTCGTCCTTGCATGTCTGGGCTCTGTGCGGGGCGGCTCGGCTTCGACGTGGTCGACGGCCGGGATCCCACTGCGACTGCGAGAGAACGCCAGGTACAGCTGGCATGGCTCTCCTAGGTCCTAGGCACAGCGGTCCTGAATTCGACGTCGAGGGTCTGGCTGCCATTCCTTCGGACACCTGGTGGGCTGGCTTTGAGTAGGAAAGGTATTCGGAGCGACCGGCCCGAACCTCAAGCTTCGGAGGGACGTACACATCCACATCGAGCGTTCGGGCAATGATGACCTGTCAAAGGACACCGGATCCTGAACCTCGAATCGGAAGGTAACATTCTGACTCAGTCAACATACGTACGTACGTGTATATATATATATATATATTTATTTATTTATTTATATTTATATTTATATTTCTATTTACATTTATTTAGTTATGTATTTACTTACTTATTTATTTAAACATATAATGCACGTCTAAGGATACTTATCTGTTCACGGATACTGATTTATCTGTTCATTATTTTGCGAATTAGATGTCAACATGCTCCACAGGTGAAGGGTGAATGAACAGGAAGACTAAGAATTACACAGAGTGAGTGCGCCTTGAGGACATCTCGGCGTCGCTTGCCAGCCGCCCCAGTGAGTGCGGGCTGAGCGAGAGGTGAGAAGCGCTGCTTAAACTTGCAGAAGTCACAGCACATTTTTGCGACAGCCATGGGCCGTGAGGCGGGGTGATCTCCATGGTTCCCGGTCTTGCTCCTTGAGCCCTTCAGTGTTGTTTTGACTTTTTGGCTGCTGCACTGTCACTCTACCCTACTCGTCCCCCTTCCTCAGTTTCAAGACCGTGCTGTTGACGTCACACAGCAGACATGGCCGGGCACGGTGTATGTTGCGATATCACGCACAAGGCATTGGGTTCTCAAGACAAGGGGCGCCATTGGTTATTGCATTGGGTTGCGCATGCTGTGATAACACACACACACAAGACGGCTAGTACGAGGTGTGGCGGTGTGTCTTGTGATATCCTACACGAAACAGAGAACGATGGTGCTGCGGGCCTTGGGTTGTGTATGTTGTGATAACGCACACCCACACCCACACCCACATACACACGCACACACACACACACTCACACAGAGACACACACACACACAAGGCAGGACTAAAAGCTCATACAGGCATCGGCGTGTGTGCGTGTGTATGATGTGACCAGTCTCTCGAACGGTTCAAAACACACGTTAATACCAACACGAGCGGCCGTCCTTTGCGAGGGCTTGCTTTCTGAAAAGGGGGGGGCCGTTACAGAACGACGGAAATTTCACAGTGCAAGGCTTGTTCGATGCCACACTATTTGTTGGTGTTCATCATAAATCTTGATTCCAAGCTTGGCACACCCCTCCCCAGCCCGTTCCTGGACTGTACTCAGCAACTGCCCATGACCAGAGTGCCCAGATGTTCCCGGTGGCTTCAGCAGCTAAATCAGAACTGTCAGAGCTATCGCACCGTTGATCGCTGCGGGGCAAGGTTCAGGGGACGTGAATCAGTGAAGCAACTGAGTCAGCAGCCTTCATCGTGGTGGTCTGGGACCTCCGCATGCTCCTTGTTGTCGTGAAGGCTTGCTCCTACCATCCATTGGCCAAGCAGACGGAATTGAAACTCCACGATGCGCAGTTGTACTACGTACGGCCTCATCCTCCCATCTTCCCGAACGAAGTAGAGCGTCTGTCGCCTCTGATTCATCTTCTTGTTCGCATATCAAAAGGCAGAGAAAGCAGAAGGCCTTGATGGCTTCGTTCTCTTCCTTCACACGGTCCTTGATCCAATCGTCCATTCGAGCGAGAACCTGCGGACGGCGTGAGTCGGACAAGGAGGGCATTCCAGCTTGGCAAGATGAGGAGCCTCCGCATACTGCTGGTGCATGCTTTCCAAACGGGCATATGTCCACGCCTGTTTGCACCGCTATGCATAGATCGTGTCGGCGAAAGAGCGAAATCACATAGCCATGCTCCGCAACAAGCGAGAGGGAGAGAGAGAGGGGAGCGGAGCGAACAGTGAAATGGGCTGGGCCGGTGGCAGCGATGCAGCGGCATCGACATATCAGGCCGTGTCGCTCAGCTGCACAAGCACAGAGGCATCAAAGTGAGCCGTGGTGTGAAAGCAGCAACGTGCGAGCGCAACGTGCTAGAGCAACGCTAGAAACCTTTGTGTAGGCATTGGGGCATGTGCTAGTGGCAGACAGCCTTTGAGGGCTGCAACAAGCTCGGAAGTTTCAGTGCTGGTCTCCACGAGCTGACTTGCAGATGCCTGCAACACAAGTTTAAGCGCCGGCCGCACAGAAATGGAAACAGAAACAATGCAGCACCCACGCCTCTAGCAAGGAGCTGTCCTTCGAAGACGCCACGCAAGGCAAACCCAAGTGGGCTGCAGGCTGCAAACGAGAAACTGACAGCTGCAGTATGCTGCAGTCCTCCTCTTCTGGCAAGGATCCAGATTGAGCCGCTTCTGTCTCGAGTTGCATCGCCTCTTGCTCTACACCCGTGGGCTCTGCACAGCCAAAGCCTGGCACATCAACGATCAGAGTGTTTGAGACCCATCTGAGTCAAAGTTGTACTATTTTGTACAAGATGTCACACTTCTGTGGACCGCACGTTCTGCAGACTCATCGAGCCAGGTTGCAAGCTCCTCAAATTGGAGCATCTGGGAACTGCATGCTTCTGCTGTAGTCACAATGTCACGGCCTGGAGAGAGGACAAATTTGGAGGGGGAGGCTCCACACCAGCAGCATCGAAGCAGTTTAGATCCTGCGCATGGAAAGCCGAAGGACACACAAGCCGAGATAGAACCTTCACAGCAGCGCTGGGCCATGGGAAAGTGGGCCCCATGGGGCTTCATGGGCCTGATCAGCTTGGCGGAAGGTCCACCTCAAGACGGCCGCGGCGACTTTGAACCTGGCCAGCTCCAGCGCCTGACCAAAGGAAGCATTAGCAGAGAGTTGCCGACAGAGAATGCGGGACTCGAAGATGGTTGCGGCGCCTGTACGCGCCTATGCGTTTTTAGAGCGTTTTGCATGGATACACAGCGAGAGCGCAATCTCAATTGTTGTTCAGGCAGGTGCGCGAAACACTAGAGGCTGAAGAAAACTTTGGGCCTAACTACGTTTTCGCTCGGGTTTTAGGCTCATGTTTGAAGAGGCTGCAGAAGAAATGCTTATTTTAGAGAGAGTTTGTATAATCAAAGTATTTACTTGCCTTAGGTTACACTTAGGGTTAAGGATTGGGTTTATGCATGTGCATGCATGTGCAGTATGTTGTACAAAGAGGCGAAAACGCTGTAAATACCAGTGTGTTGCACAATATGGATGACGTTCTTACCCCCCCCCCCTCCCCACCCTCCTCCAACCCCCCCGCCCCCCCACCCCAATACCCTGAAACCTGCAAAAACGCATAGGCACGTACAGGCGCCGTCACCTCGAACATGTCAAGAGTGGGATGAGCGTGGATGATGGGGATTTTCAGACAATGCTGCCAAGCGATTCGGGAATGAACCCAGCAGTGTCAATTGACAGCCGCTGGATTCAATAGTGCTTCTTTCAGCAGCAACTCTGCGAACTATGTACAACGAGGAATCCTCATCTCCGGCGCCACGCCGCATATGCCGCATATGCCGCATGGGCAAGTGCTATGGGAGATACCCAGATCGCGGTCTCTGCCTGGCCACCACAGGGCTCCTGGAGCATCAGCGCCAGAGAAGGCAAGTGGTGACTCTGGGCTTCTCTTCTCTCCTTGCAGGGGCAAAGACGTTGCCCCAAGCGCCATCTCTGTCATGCAGAGCGGGTCCACTTCCCTGGGCAAAGGCTTTCGGAGAATCGCATGAATTGGGTGTGGGGTTGAACGTTACAAGCTCGCTCTCACTAATCACTCCAAAAATCCAGAGCATTGCAAGGCCAGGGATTGAGTGGCTGACCCCGGCGAGATCTCCAATCCAATTGGAGCTGACGAGTCCTCTGGGTGGTCCACCTCTGATGTGCTCCTGAACAGCATCCGCGCACGCAAATGCGGCTCACATGCGCAGTTCCTTTGGGGGCGGCGGGCCTGGCTAACCTTCGCTGAGACTGAGTGGACCTCTCTTGCAAGGGTCCGAACCTGCACGCCACAACAGCATGCCACGTCTGTCTGCCCATTCATTCCTAAAGGTTCGGAAGCACCGAGCCTCAGAATCAAAGTGCACTGCCGTCGGCAGCACTGGCCTCTTGCTTCACGGATGAGAAAAGGAGAGGCTGCAGGCTGCTTGGCACAGAACATGAGCCCGAGCGTTGTACGTTTCCTCAGGCAGAGCATTGGATGTCATGGGCGTGCCTCCTGGCCACGTCAGATATACCAGCAAGCTTGCCACCACAAGCAGATGTGAGTATCTGTAAACCAGGCAAAATACGACCATGAGCTTACATGAACTTCAGACCAAAAAGAGTACCACAGAACAGGTGCTGGTTCGGATTCTGTACTACAGCATCTCCGATCTCAAGGTACTTCGGGCCTGTACCCTCATCCATGCCACTGGGATATGCTGACTGGAATTTGACCTTAGCTGTGGATCGGAAGATCAAATGCAACTCTCGACTCTCGCGTTTCGAGAAATGGTGGCCGCCGCCGTGCTGAGCCGGTGGCCGACATGTCTTGCAATGCCTGCACAAAGGCCGACGAGCTTGTCGCAGACGAACACAATCAATTCCAGTGATCCGAGAAGATGCAATGAACGTGATACTCTCGAAAGGCCTCGGTTTGGGCTTCGCAAACCTCCATGTTCGCTCGACTCTTTGCCTGGCGCCCTTCCTCTTCAGCCCGCTCCTCCTCGACAAAAGTTCCAGAAACGCCAGCACTCGGCAGCTCGAAATTTGAGCCGATTGTCTTCCGGATTCTTCCGGTGCACATTCATGAGCTGTCCATGCGTATCGGTGCGTTTCCGTCCTCCTGTATCCGGGCCTCGATGAAGGCCTCCAACCTCGAAGCAGCAGCACTCCAACAAGACAAGCGCACTCTGAGAAGGCGTTCGGCCTATCCAGTTCCTCACTCACAGCGTTGACTTCCTCCTCCGCCTGGCACTATGCGGGGCGCACTCTCATCTTCTGCAAGGCGAATCGCTAAGAGGAGCAGCTGTGAGGCGCGTTTGAGTGTATGGGCGTAAGGGGGCCTGCTTCGGCTTTGGTGGCTTCCTCAGCAGACAGAAACCTGCTTCGACAGATTTCGATTCAGGGGTAACGAATGATCCGGAGAATCTCAGGAGAGGGGGGCGCTGCAGTAGGAGCCCTGCTCAATGGTGTCCCAAAGCTCCGCCAAAACGGTTTCCACTTCCTGCCTTTCACACCAGCGCTTGTTTAGACTGTGGACTTGCTGCTCAAAGCGGCTCTGCCATTGCTGTTGTTGCTGGGGAAGCTACTCCAGATCCAACCCGGAGTCGGCACCGCTTGACCCTCATTTCCGGCGTCTTCTCTTGTCGAACGGCTTCAAGCTGATCTTGAGCAAAATATTGATCAAAAGGGAGCTTCTGAGGTGCTGGCGCCCATGCGCCTGCGCCAGCGCTGCGGAGGCAGCCTGCACCTGCAAGACTCGAACATGCCACACTCCAGGGAACGAAGCCTTGATGGGAACATACCAATGACCCTCATAGACCCTCACCAGCACATTTACCGCATGCCTGCTCCCTGGTGGATGGTGCATCGCTTCTGCTTTTCTGGTTCCACTGGAACGCACCTCAGAGGTGCAGGCCATGCATAAGAGCGTAAGGAGTAGAACAGCTCACCGCAAAGTCTTGAGTAGTCGCTGAGCGACCCCATGCTTGTTCCAGCTCTTTGAAGCGCTGGTGCAGCGACTTCCCCTCACAAATCGTTCAAGCCCCCATTCTCGATAGTGAGAAGAGTCATGAACAGTGCAAATCCGGGCCTCTCCGGAGCTCAAACCCGCAAGGGCCACTTGGGAGAGCACTTTATACCTACGCAAGGAGCTGAAGTACAGCTGCAAGAATCCATGCCTCTGCCACATTACTTCTTCGGTCACTCTGCCGTGGCCCCTTCGAACTCCTCCCGCATCTTGCGGACCTTCTCGTTGTCAACCTAGCAGCCACAGCAGCCAGCGCACTTGAGAAAAAGCACTACGAAAGTGAGCATGAAAACTTTCGCGGGACATCGCGCGACCTTGGCCAGCACTGGCGCATCGCCACTTCTGCCAGAGTACCATGGCACCATTGGCACTGGTCCTGTCTTGATCTCTCATGAAGCTGGCCGAACAGCGGAGCAGCTGAGTGGGTCGGACGCCTCCACGCAGCTGCGCAGCATCCTCCAAATGCAGGCTGACGGCGGGGACAGCCGGGACGGCAGCGAGGACGGCAGCAGGGCCGTCGATCTGGTCCTGGCTCTCTTTGGGAGCCAGTGTCTTGGTCTCGACACCTGCAGGACATCAAAAACTCACGGGGGGGGGGGGGGGGGACGTGCCGCCGGCGTACCTTCACGGGCATCTCGCTGGGCAAGGGCGGCTTCGGCAATCTCACGTGCCTGAACAAGTGACTTAAATGCAACTTTCTGTATCTCGGACAGCTGCATTTTCATTTTCTCAATGACACCTTGGCAGCAGCTTCTGCGGCGGCACGACCCCGCAGAGGTTTCGCCGTTTCAGCCATGGCTACATATGGCTGTTCTCCGGCACATCTTCCAAAGCATGACGGAAGGCTATCTGGAGTATGGAGGTGACGGCCGAACAAATGGAAAAGTCAATGGAGTCAGTGGCCATCGCTATCCAGTTCTATAAGGAATAAGAGACTCAAGTGTAAGGTGCAAGCACTCATGGCACAGGCAGCTCACCTAACAAAGAGTTGACTACTGGAAGTTCAAGTCGAAATCACATCAAGCTGCAAACGGAGAACTTAGGACTTCCCGCCGCCCCTGAACTCTTGTCTTGGCTTGCAGGCCGAGATCGTATCATCTCTCATCTTGCTCCATGCAGACTTCTTTGTGGTGTGTTCGGAGTTGAGCAGAAAGCTGAAGCGAAACTAATACTCCTCTTCAAAATCCAAACTCCAAACCTCAAGCCCTGCCCTTGCCTGCAAGCTAAGAATGCTCTGGCTTGACAACTGCCATGGCTGCTCATCCAATGCGCCACGAACCTGGAGTTTGTGTGCCAGCCGAAGTTGCGCTGAAGCCTTCTCCTCCCAGAATCCACCCCTGGCAAAGTTCAAAGGGCAAGTAGTGAACGCACGAGCGAGACCATAGACAGGACAGGGCGACGTCATTTGACGGTGTCGCTCCTCAAGAAATTGGCAAGTTGATTCTGCACAAGTCAGCGGTAAAGCGGTAAGGAAGGGGATCCTCCACAGCCTCCTGCTTGCGAAAGTTGGCATGTACCCAAAGCTTATCTGCGAGGTCCTGAGCACATCACTGATCTGACTGAGGGATCATGAAGAATGAAGGATAGACAGATAAACTTCACGACGTCTTCCGACGTGTCACTGCCATCGGGGTTGACTGGGCCCGCCTGCAGCTGCTCACTGAGCTCATCTGCTTGCCGCGAACCAGGAGCCACGTTGTTCCTGGAACTCCATAAGAGCGAGATTTTCATGGCATGGCAGCATTGCTGTTGCTTCACCTGATTGGAAAGGACCGAAGAAACTCTTCCAGGACCTGAGCACAAGAGATGCGAAGAAACCCATCAACTCACGGGAGTCACGGGAGGCTCGTCCGGGGTCGCCTGGGCCTTGTCATCAGGACGCTGCAGAAATTCCAGAAACCTGTGAAACACCATTCGGCTCAGCAACGGCATGGGGTCTCCATTTGCCAAACGTGTCATAAACATGTCTCCGTCTCTCTTTATCCGCATTTCTAGTTAAGCTGTACTGGCAGTACTCCACCATCAGACTGACATATCTTCTGAACCACGGCACTACAGGGACTGCAAAGATTACAATCGGATTCAAAGGGCAAGTTCTCGGCTCAGACAAAGACGATGGTTGAACAAGTGTCTTGGGCCGTTCGGGCTTTGCTGCAGACATCAGGGTATCAGAAGGTTTGGCTGCAGCGGTCTACGGTTCAGGTCTCGGGTTTGGGCTGCAGCAACAGAGACCTGGCGGCAATATCATTGTTAGCCCTACCAATGACTGTTCAGTGTTGTACTACACGCTGTGTGGGGCCTTCGCTGCATGAAGATGAGGTCCTTGCAGTAGCCGCCAGCGTGATCATCCACCTCTGCAGACTCACAATTTGCACATCCTGACACACTGAACCACCTGAAGTGAAAGCTCTTGTGGCCTCTAGCAGTGCTTCGCGGATCCCCAGCCTCGCCAGGCATCTCATCTGTGCCATTGTGATATAAGCTCTGACATGCTCTGACATTCCTACTGGTAGCAGGTTTTAAGCATCTCGGTGCTTGGCAGATAGTGACTCACATTCTGCAGCCAAAGGTTCTGGAATGCCTCATAGGCACATGCTCATGTTCACTCTACCGCATCAATGAATACATGATCCACATGCGACATACCTTTGCACTTTCACGATCTTGCATGGCAAGTTAAACAGCAGGGCAGGCAACCAGTCACGGAAGCTGCAACAAGCCTCCTTCGTTTGGCGACTCTCCTTGATGGTGAGTGTGTTCACTTCCTGTGCGGAGCACCGTCGCATTGTAAAGAACCAGGCGGAATTCACGGAAGCTGCGCCTCCTCCTTCGCCTCTTCCTCCTCCTGCAGCTGCTCGACTGCTTCATCTTGCTTGTCCTCTGCTGGTGCCTCCCCAGCCTTCGCCAAGGTGCATATGGTATGGTGAAGCAATGGTACCGAAGATGAGAAGGAAGCCTTTACGCATAGGACTCGGTTCTGTACTTGTGCATGGGCTGAGGAACTGTACTCTACTTGTTCAAGCAGAATGTAGTTGCCCGGCAGTGGGTTCCAACAAAAATCGCAGGTTAGCCACACCCATCCTTCCATTTTGTTACCCTTCATGGCTCGCTGCCTCGTCTGCGGCATCACCCTCTGAAGTCGCTGCTGCCTCGGCCGTTTCAGGTGCCTCGGGTGCTGCATCCGCTTCCACCGGGGCTGCCTGCCACAGAAAGACCCAAGCGACCCATGGCCCATGACCACACAACACCAACGATACCACAAGGAATTTCAAGATCCCCGAACCTCTGGCACTTCCGCTTCTGCCTTTGCAGCATCCCCAGCTGCCTCTTCAGCTTCCATCATAGGCCTTGTGGAAAAGGGAAAAGGAGGCATGAGGAAGTCGTGCGCTCAGCAGAAAAGCGAAGATTCCTGTGCCAGAAAGCAATGAGCTCGCGGATTCGCTTCAGGATTGCCTGACCAAGAAGACTTTGATCAGCAGAAAAATGCATGCCCTAAGGGAGGCAACAGAAGCACAGCAGCGTGAACACGAATGATGGCAGAGGAGAAGGTGCTCTGTCAAACTGCACTACTAGTAGTGCATGTCGTGCCAGTCTCAGGCACTAGTGCAACAAAAACACGAAAAACAAATGACCTATTTCGAAGATCCCACCATAAAAACGCAGCAATTTGACGGGCGTGCAGGGATCAGAAGGGAATGAGCACTCCAGCGATACTCTGGGATACGGTGGGGGGGGGCCCCCCCGGCGAGATTCTCGGTGCGATGCTCAGCCTGCAGGGATACTCTGGGGGGAGGGGGGGAGGTGCGATTATCTGGTAGGTATCCCACGGATACTCGGCGGGATTCCCTGCGGAAGTCTGTGCAAGATTCTGATTCTCTGGTGATTCCATCGACGATTACAGGAGAACCAGGCAAGCAGAACAGCTGAGTGGAAATGTAACAACCCCACTCCAGGGATTGGGACAAAAACACGGAGATTGCACCTCCGGTGCAGGAATGATATCCTCACCTTCTTCTCCGTCCTGATGGAAGGCTTGAGGGCTGTTCCCTTGCGAATGACAGCTTGGAAAGCTGAACTCCTGCACCAGGATGTCATGAGCGTTGTGGAGAGGGGTGGAAAGCTTGGTCGCGAAAACCTGTCTTTGCAGAAGACATGGTGAGCAACATGGAACAAGCCAGGGCCATCATGCAGCATCCTCTTGAAATCGCCACCTGAGCGCTCTCGAACAACCAGGATTGATCCGCAGCACACTGTGCCGCAGCCAGCTCCTCTGAGAAAGTGAGGGAAAACAGAGACCATGGGCCATAGACTCATATAATCGCATATACCAATGTGCGCTTTACCAATTCTCTCGCACGCCCAACAGGCCCGGAACAGCCTCCTCCAAGCCGCGGCAGCGCACGGGCTCGCTCTCATTCGAGCGCCCTTCTGACATGTCCTGGCACTTGGAACGCCCTCTTGGTCTCTTGCACTACAGTGCAGTGAAGCAACAAAGCTGCAAAGCCATTTAAATGAACTGGCGTGCTGCTCCTCCTTTTGCACGGCCTCCAGCACTGCGGCCTGACAAACCAAGCGTGGGGCGCTAGAGAAAAACTTCGGTGCCTCTTATTCAAGTGTTCAGAGGGCGAACAGCGAACAAAATGCACGTTGCGTAGGATTACATAGGCACGCAGAAGTGGGGCAAAGCGATGGAGTATCGAAGGGGGCAGGAGGGGACAAGGCCTCAAAATGCCTCAAAGAACGCCGTGGTGTTGGCATCTGTTACTGGTCCCAGTAGTAATCTCCGCCCTTCTTGTTGGTGGACTGTGCAACTCCTATAACTACACCGCCCTGTTGCACATGCTTTGCTGATGCTTTCCTGTAGGTATGACAAGGCCGCACAAAGAAGACCCTTCGTGCGATGGTTGTGCCGCCTCTTGCCTGAAGCCCAGAAGGGGGGCAGGGGGATCTAGGGATAGGGATAGGTCGACTCGACGTGCGAGGAGGATGTCCACAACCATGCCTCTGAGCACATGGAACGAAGAATCGACCCCGCCCGGAGAGGATGAATGACCCAAGGTGCCAGCTCCACAAGTGCTCTGCCTAAAACAACGGGCTGACTGTCTGGAAAATCAGGAAGGCATCAACGGCATCAGCACTGGAAGACTCAGACGAGTTCAAGCTCCATGTGCTTACTTCCTACGACCACAGTTTGTTGTGAGGCTAGTTGCTGCTCGGGATCGGAACCCTGGGTTGCTTTGCATGGCCTTAACTTAGCACGACAAGTGCAATCCAACGACTGCAAAAAGAGTGCAGCAAAAAGATTGCGATAGGTAAACATGTGTAAGCATACATATACACATGCGCAGCATGCTCATAGTAACTGCTCTTTGCAAACGTGGCTGCTACAGTAGCTCGCTCCCAAAAATCATCAATCACCCCTTTTCATGGAGTGGCTGTTTCAGAAACAAAGATAGGACCGGAATTTCCGTGGAGTATGTTTCCAAGTCTCTACACGAACAATACTGCCGCTGGTCCGTGAAGAACTGACTTCTATCACTGGCTTCAACATAAGCCGACTTACTACAACTACTTGCAAACTACACAAATCCACGCACGCGGGGTTTTAAAGTTTAGGCTTCTCGACACACTCACACGAAACGTATTGCACCCGCCCTCAGCTAAGAAAACTGATTGCCGAAATGTACCTGGGGTGTTGTGAGAAGAGTCGTGCTCTCAGGCTTGCCACTGAAGCTCGGAACGAACGTCTGGTGGGTCGTTCTCAAAGTTGTGGTCCCTTGTTGGCTTCCCCAAATA